GGATGTATCGGGGCAATTTACACAGTAACAATCTCCAAACGTTTCGTAAAAGTTACTTGCGATTGGGTTTCCACAACATCTCCGGGTGTAAATCTCGAAGTAGGTCAATGTTGGTAGAATGAAGTAGGTCAACGAACTTCGTATGATTGGGTTCAGATAAAACTCAGCTGTTTGGTTTCACTTAAAATGGCGGGTAGTTCTGCCGGTAAGGTAGAAATACGTGCGCGTGTCTTTCTAATCTTTTCCAGCGCAATATTGAAAAAATCCCAAATTCAGCGTTTCCACTCCGAAATATTGGTTTCGAATAATGCTGATAATGAAGTAAAGCCTAAAAATGATTATTCAAAGTAAAAGTGAATGAGTAATTGTCGCAAAACGACCTTAAAACTTGTAAGATAAATCCTCCGCAAATAGCGTCAGCGAAGCTTGGAAGTAGAATAACGAAAGAAAACTTCACCCAATTTAACACAGCGCCAGTATATCCCAAAAATGGTCGACAACAATGTCAAGTATGCAATGGCGTGTATCGTCTTGCAAGTAATAAACGAGAATGCGTCTTATACAAGGAGTGCGCGAGTCGGAAGAAAACAAAAGTTCTGCGCGACCTCGAACGACAACAGAATTAACGATTCAAAGAAGGTATACACGAACCACATATGCTCCTGATACAACAGTTTATACAAACGTCTGGAAATATTTCTTCTGAGCTTAGAAAAGACTTCCTCATAGATAATGTTCTCCTGACAGTCACAGAAACACCTCCTTGCACAACATATTCTTCTGATACAATATCGTTTAAACGAAATTATTTTGAAGCCAGTTTGGCTCTGACTTGAAACCAAATCAGAAACTGAACCATTTTGAAGGTAATTTTAGTAGCATTGACCTTTTTCAAATCCCAAGCACAATCCTACTCTACAGGCATGCGAGTAATGGAGGATCGACTATTAAAATTGATCAGTTGTGTACGTTAAATGTGTCACAGGCTCACAGGCTCCCCACTTCGTTTTTTTATGTTCTCCGTATCTTATCAGCACTCGATTAATCTTATTTACTCAGTTTCGAACCGACATAAACCTCAAACCCACCTTTTACTGTGATAGATATTATTCTCCAACGTTTTCGGCCCGAAATGGCCATTAAACGAAGGTCGGTAATCGAGAGTATACCGTCGATAAACTGCTACATGGATTACGATTACGAGCTGTACACCAGAGACGAAAAGGTCAGTTGTTGTCAGAGGTACCGGTGCTGTTTAATTGCGGTGACCACTTTGTGAGTATACTCAAATCAACTGCCGATTCACCTACACGAAATTCTAGACTGCTGCTCCTAGTTTTAGCCTTTATTGTGATTTTCGTGGTGCCCCCGGTGACGTTCATGCTATCCATCGGCGTGCAGCGCTACGTCATTTTTCTAGCAAGTAAGTGGAGATAGTCTCGCAATCTAATTAATCATCACCAAACAGCGTACGGTAACGAAAGTGGGGGGTTTACAAATTTCAAGGAAATCGGCTTGGAAGGGTTGCGAAACCTCTACGTGCCCGTCGACCATAACGTCACGCTCGGGGTTTGGCACGTTCTACCCTTGGAGTACACCTACGAAGCCGTTACCAGCGCGAGTTACAACTATGACGACGCCTTGGCCGACGGAAAGTATCCGGTACTGTTGTATTTGCACGACAGCGGCGAAAACAGAATTACGAGCAAGAACAAGTACATGATCCTGCGGCGGTTCTTTCACGTCATAGCCTTCGATTACCGCAGTAAGTGGCTTGACCCCAAGACAAGTACTTCTGTACCAATTTGAGGTGCGCCATCTATACGCGGAGTTACGTACCTTTCTTGGGGTCTGCGAGCTATTAATTCGGTCAGTTCTAATCGCGAGGTTTAAGGCTACGGCGATTCCACCGATGCCGAATTATCCGAAGGTGGGCTCGTGCACGATTCGGCAAACCTGTACAGGTGGACGAGGACGCACACCGGTAACGACGCGTACGTGTGGGGCCACGGACTCGGCTCTTCGATTGCGGCGAAAACGGTCGCGCAGTTGCGCAATGAGTCGATCGTTCCCAAAGGTCTTTTCCTGGAGAGCGCCTTTACGAATCTCGAGGAATTGTTAACGGTCAATTCCTACATGAAAGTAAGCAAAATTCTTGTTCTAGGGCTCTTTGGTAACCCCTGCTTCGCACCTGTCTTCTCTTCCTTCCAACCATTCGCTAGTGTCTTCCTTTGCTACCAACCTCTCCTCTACCCTCTACCCCAATAAATACCCATATGGATTGAAGATATTAAGAAATCCAAAGGTGATCAAGTTTCATTTCTCATAGGTCGATTTCTTCAGGAATATCAAAATTAGATATTAAGCAAAATCAATACGAAAATTCCTAAAAATAAGCGACTACTAATTTATTCAACTAAAAAAATCAACCCCTGACGTGGATGAGATTCCTTTCAGCTTACAGTTGATCGCCCTCTCACGCTCCCTTTATCTCTCTCCGGCGAAATGCCGCTCCCTTTAAAAAATTTTACTACCCTCACATATGCCCTTTCCTAACTTCGCACCTATCTTCTCTTCCTTCCAAACACCCGCTAGTGGCTTCCTTGCTCACCAACCTCTCCTCTACAAACATTTTGAAACGTTGATTTTCTGAAAATTTGCAGAATGCTCTGGAAATATATCAAAACGCTCTGATTTCCATAATCTCTTAGCCTAGAACCGCTTTGAAACTTTCTATCGCCTTGAAAACACTAAAGATCTCTGGAAAGCACCTAGGAGAATACGAAAAGCTTTCTTCTGTTGCTTTGGAAGGTCATTGAATGTCATTTGTAACGAATTTCGTTACATTTTAAGACCCCTCTTGCATTGAATAAAATTGAATCTTTCTCCTTATCTTGCTGAAGCTTGACCTCTCATCTCCTTCCAAGATCTGAAATCAAAGTGTAATGCTCTAGTTCGATGGTACCCCAATAAATACGCATATGGATTAAAGGTATTAAGAAATCCACCATTTCTCATAGGTTGATTTCTTCAGGAATATCAAAATTATATTAAGGAAAATCGAAAATTCCTAAAAATAAGCGACCACTAATTTATTCAACTAAAAAATCAAACCGCTGACGTGGATGAGATTCCTTTCAGCTTACAGTTGATCCCCCCTCTCTCTCTCACACTCACTCTCCGGTGAAATGCCGCTTCCTTAAAAAAATATGGAAATAGACCGCTGCAATTGCAATGGCACAGTAGACTTTTCGCACAACGTTAACATTAACTTCGTGGCGAGTGCCCAGCATATTGCAGACTCCAAAATACCAGCTCCAATTTCGCGAAAATAATATGAGATATTGTTATTAAACGCCAATGTTCGCTATTTCAATCTCGCCCGCAAGAAATACGGAAACAAACCCGATTTTCTGAAAACGACTCGTGTTCCCCTTTCCACCAATAGGACAGACGCATTTCTGTCACGTGCTCGCTTTTTACAGAATGGAGCGAGATTTGTAGGTCCGAAGAGATCGCGGCAACCGCGCTCGCATTGCTGCAATACGTTTCCTGATTCGCCAAACATGTTTGGTTCATGTTCGCTACGAAGCGGTACATGTGTATTTTCTTATATACCGTTGGAAAAATTACTTTTCTAATTCTAAAGCGACGACCCGTTACACATTCAATGCACTTACGCACACTATAATAAATATTCTTGGAACAATTTAGACGACTTCCCAAAGGCTTCCCAGAATTTTTTCCAAAAACGCTTTAAGCTCTATTTCTAAGAGGTGTTGGGGACTCCTAAAAAGCAGGTGTTGGAACCCCCCCGTATAAGACGATATTATGAATGTTGTAGGGAAGTATTCATTGTTCATTCCTATACAATTGTTATTATGTTCTTATACCCCGGTTTTGGGGGAGGACATAGCATATGGGGGTCTGGGGAGTACCCCCCCCCCCAATATAAAACGATATTATGAATGTTGTAGGGAAGGATTCAATGTTCATGTCCGTACAATTACACCTATAATCCCCTTCCGCAGTATGGAATGTTCAAACTTTCCCCTACATCTTAAAGTTTGACGAATTAATTGTCTTTAACTTTTTATTTATGTTATTAGTACCTCGTATAGACAAATTAGGTGCACAACTTTGATTAATAAACTGGCTTTTGCCACTCCAAATATTGCGCAACGAAATGTTTCGCACCTTGTACCCCAACGCTTTCGTGGTAACAATTTATTTAAGCGCGAAATGCACAGAAATGAATATGTTCGCTCACTTATTAATACGATAACGATTCGCAATGTTTCCGGCTAGTATACGAAGCAGTTCTTTTTTTTTTCTTAAATTCGCCACTTATATTAGTTAACTCGTAACGAATTTAAAATGCACCCAGCAATAAATTTTGTCGATCTCGGTTGCCAGCTCTCAAAAATGTGTGCATCACCGTCGATTATATATACAGGGTGGACCCTCTCAGTTTTAATAATTCCTAAATATTTTTGAAACGAAATAATTTTAGACAAAAATTCTCACAGGCGCAAAATGAATTATAAAGCACAATTAGACTCTTGACATTTTAGATATTTTCATGGACGCCCTGGTTCAAACCGACGTTTCTGGACTCCCTGAGGGAGAACGAGTTTTTGTTCAAGACCGACGAATACATTCTATCGGTTGACTGTCCCATTATGATTGTGCACGCTGAAGACAACCACCTTATCCCGTACACTCAAAGCGAGAAGGTCTGAGAAACGCCGACCACCCAGCGATCCACTCCTTTTACAGTTTCATTTCAGCTCGTACGAATCGGGAACAAGAAGCGAGTCAACGAAGTGCAAGGAAACATCACGTTCCATCTGTTTCCGAAGAACGACCACTACGGCCACAACGACATCTATCTAGCCCCGCAGCTACCCGAATACATCAGGTATGTCTCCAAAATATCGCCGTATCTCATCGACAGTTTCCAGGAGCCACATCGACACATGCAACGAATACAACAAAGGGAAAGGCTAATAATTTTACTAATTGTACCTCACTTAAAAGATAAACCAGAAATTTTAATTCGACTGATAACCCTCTGTCTTTTATTCCCCGTCTGAGTGTTAGTCACCCGGTTGATGATTCGTGCCGCCGGAATGCGACGGTCACTCTCGGCCAGATATGAGATCATCTTCCTCTCGGGGGTCCACGGTACGATCTGCCTTTCGCTCTTAACCGGGCAGGTGCAACCCGCGCCGTCCGGGGCGAAACTCCCCTTCGAGTCGTTCAAGTTGATGGACCTTATTTGCTTTTCCTCGTTTGAGGGGGATGGACAGACCTTGGCTTTCGTCTGCTTGGGCCTGTTGCGTTTATCGTGCCTCTTAGAGCACTTCTTGTGTTTGTATGACTTTGGAAGCGATCTCACTTGCGTTTCTTTGTCAATTGTTACTTTGCTGACGGTACTAGAGGATGTATCCCCGTCGCTTTGCAGGACTATCGGACGATGAGGAGGTGAACGCTTCGAAGGTTCGCTTTGAATCTCCGCGCTGAGGTTGCATCGGCATTGCAGCGGGTTCGATAAAGCATTTTTGACATCTAGAAAAGAATGGACCGTGAGTCACTTTATTTTGAAACCGGATACNGGGGGGGGGGGGGGGGGGGGGGGTCTAGGAGCCATTATATAAAATCCTGCACGGTGGACTTGTACACGTTCTAGGGGATCTACTAAGGGGTCTGACGGATGCATGGAGGAATAGTGAACTTAGGCGATGTAGAGAAACTGAAGGATGTCGGAAATTCAAGAAATCTAGGTGTAAAATATTCGTTCAAATGTTAGATTTTTCACTTAGGATGATTGCATAGATTATTTATTTTATTTATCTATAACGTTTGCATCATAAATAAATCAGACGGTGATTTGACAATATTTATTGATTTCAAGATATAATTCAGGTAACGTATCGATTTTGATTTTGATGGAATATTTAAAATTGGCGCTTAATGTGAACAAGGCTCCCACTTTTCATTACCATAAATTTACCCAAACTATCTAGATCTAGACCGTACACGATCCAAAAGCAGGTTTAGAGGATCTACAGAATCTAAAACATCTGAAGAAGAATTTTAAAGATATAGATCTAGGTGTATAGTGGCTAACGAGGTATTAGAGTAGAAGATCAGGACGATCCAGATCGTACACGATCCAAAAGATCTAAATAGCGGATTTAGAGGATCTACAAAATCTGGAAGATTTGAAAATCTAAGGAATCCGAGGGATTTTAAAAATCTAGAGGATCTAGAAAACCCATATGGATTTTAGGGGATATATAAGATCTACACAATCCAAATTGTGGACGATCTTGAAACTCTACAGGGTTTAAATATAGAGAAAGTAGCGGTTTTGAAAATCTACAGGATTTAAAAGATCAATAGCCCCATAGGTTTTTAAGATCTGGAGAGTCTAGAAGGGGGGTGTTAGAGTATAAGACCAGGACGATCTAGATCGTACACGATCTAAATTGCGAGTTTAGTCTATCTACAGAATCTAAAGAGGAGGCATTTTAAAGATCTAGGGTCTAAAGAATCCCAGTAGTTTTCAACCCTACCTATACATCGTAAACACAAAGATCAGGACAATCTAGAGATCTAGACAATATACATTTTAGACTATATAGAGGGTCTACAAGATTTAAATCTAGAGAATTTATAGGGTCTACATAATGTAAAAGATTTAAATTCTATGAATTTGAAAGATCTAGATTCTAGAGGATCTAGAACACATTGAGATTTTAGAGAATAAGATCAAGATGATCCAGAACCCAGACGATTTAAGAGATCGCAATCTAGTGTAAGTACCAGGTTTAGAAGATCTACAAAATCTAAAAGTTCTGAAAAATCTTAAAAAGTTCGAAAGGTTTTAAAGATCTAGAAGGTCTCTACTACATATTGATGTTTTAGAGATATATAAAATCAAGACGATGTCGATTGTCAACAATCTAGGGGACTTAAAGGTCTTAAATCTAGAGGAAGTAACGGGTATAGGTGATTTAGAGAATTTAAACAAATCTGATAGATCTATCTAGAAGTCATAACATCTAAAAAATCTAAAGAATCCAAATCTAGAGGATTTACAGAATCACAAAGATTTTAAAGATCTAGATGTAATGGACACCGAGGTTTTTAAGTATAAGATCAGGATGGTCTAGATCGTGCAGGATCTAAGTCTAGGCTAAGTAGCGGATTTAGAAGATCTACAAAATCTATAAGATTTGCAAGATTTAAAGAATTGGAGTAATCTCACAGATCCAGAAGGTGTGGTAGACTAAACGTCGATGTTTTAGAGTATATATAAGATCAATACGATTGAGATTGTAGACGATCTAGATCGCGGTTTTAGAGTATAAGATCAGGACGGTTTAGATCGTAGAGGATCTATGGTATCTGACAGATCTGAGTTTAGAATAAGTAATGGATTTATAGGATCTACAGAATCTATAAGATTTGAAAGATCCAAAGAATCGGAAGAACTTTCAAGGTCTAGAAGATGCATAAGGCTTTCTAAACATCGATGTTTTAAAGCAGGTCAAGGCGATCTAGACTGTAAACCATTTAGGGGGTCTGCATCTGGAGAAAGCGACGGATTTAGAAGATCTAGAAAATCTAAAAGATCTGATGTATTTTAAGGATCTAGAAAACCTAGAGTTTTGAAATGAAGATCAAGACGATCTAAATTTTAGGGGGTCTATAGGACTTAAATCTAGACAAAGTAGCGGATTTAAAGAATCTACAGAACCTAAAAAATCAGACGATGTATTACCTGCATTTGCAAGTACTTAATGATTTGAAGATATAATTCAGGTAACGTATCAATTTTGATGGGATATTTAAAATTGGCGCTTTATCTGAACAACTTTCCCACTTTTTATTGCCATAAATTTACCCAAGCTATCTAGTGGGCCAAGAGATTTTAGAGTATTAGTAAGGTCAAGATAGGATCTGAATTTAGAGCAAGTAGAGGATTTAGAGGATCAACAGAATCCAAAAATCTGAACGATTGCAAGTAGAATCTACTAATCTAATTATACCAATTACCTCCATACGCGTTATTGTGTAGAAAATCACTAGCCGCACGGCCGATATTCCTGAATATCCGCCTCGGCAACAAGTGCACCCCCTTGTAGAACGGATCGGATAGCTTCTTCAGCTGACGCATGTCAATCTACAAAAGACCGCTGTTCGACCACTGAGAACACCTCGACGGACTCACGTTACTCTCGATATCCCTCAAATAACGAACGTTCGGAATCGCGCCGCTCAGCCTCTCCAAAATCTCGAGCGCCCGCTTGCACAGCTCGCCGTCGTAATCGCCCTCCAAGCAGTCGTTAATTCGCGCCAGCATCGTCGGGCAGCCCTGTAGGAGGAGAATTCCGTCGGGATCCGCCGTCAAATTGTGGAAAAAGGTCCAAACGAGCCTGAAGACTAACGCGATTAATCAGGCGAACGGGCGGCGGGCGGTGGTTTACATCTTGAGCCTTCGCATCGATTCGTGACGGACGCGAGCGAGGTGGTGGACCGTGCCCCAGACGCAGTCGCGGCACCGCTTCTCCGCGATTAGGAAGATGCGTCCGGCGACGTCGCCCGCGACCATCGCCAGGCACGTGTAGACGCCCATCGCGAACTTGTAATCGGGCGAATCCTCGAGCGGCGGCTCGATCGAGTAGGTGATCGAAAACGAATTCAGGAACTCCTCGGCGATTCTCGCGAAACCGATCAGTTTGTCGTTCTGTGGACAGTTCGCTTAAATGGGACTCGGACGGCGATCGGCTTACGTCGTTGATAAATGATTGCATGGCGTCCGCTTGGTGGAGCACTACGGCGATGAGCGAGCAGAAGGTGGCCCCCTGCGCGGAGCAGTACGTGCCGTGTATCGACAGAAGGCGACGCTTCCGAAAGTAACACTCTTGCAACTCCGCCAGAGTGTGCTGGTGCTGCAACCACTCGTTACGAATGTGCCCGATCTTGATGTGCTCGTACTCCGCTTCCATTTCGGCCAGGAAAATATCTCGCCTGAGATCTGGGGATCGGAATGTCACTCGGGTGTGGTCCGTGGCGACTTACCGTCAGTAGAAGTTATCGTCCCCGTACTCCTTTCATTCGCCTTGATGTTGTTTATACAATTCAGTATGTGATAACGTGCAAATTTGAGCGTGCTAATGCACTTTTGGGTACTTGTACATTTCGGGGATGCGCGTAGAATTTCGGCCGCCTTGTTCAGCTCCTTCTAAAACGTGAAATGGTGAAAGGAGTGCGGAGATACGACTTCGCGCCATACGATAAGTGTAGGAATTCCGAAAAGTTTGCAGTTTATTTCACTCTCGGCCATTTCTTGACATACTGGAAATTTTTATTGTCAAATTTGTGACGTTTGCGTTTATGTGGTTACATGAATTGTCAGCGAGCTAAACTCTGGTACTAAACTTGAGACGCTCGATTTCAAAATTCAAGCTACGATTACCGTTGGCGTAAATAGAGACACAGCTTTAGCAATTCAAATTTCTCAGTTTTGTGCTGTAACAAAAGGTAATGTACTTAGTTTTAATTGTAATTCTCGCTTTATTGTAAATTATGTGGCCTTCAGCTGCTTATAACCTCTGAATTTTCCATTTGTTAATTTTCATTTGATTTTTAAACTTAATTATTAATGAGCGATCAGCGGTTTTTTCTATCTTGCAAAGGTATATGCCGTAATTACAAAATTACTTAGCGGCATTCATGTCGAAATACAACTTTAGTCTAAGAGTTACCGTATCCAGGGCCTTAGATACATTCTGGATTGAAGCAGAACGGGCTAATTAACGATGTATTTGAGGTCTTTGTGTAAGACACCTCGGGGTGTTTCACAATTTTACAAGTTCGACTCGGTTCTTCCTCCGATGCGTTCTAGGAATCGGAAGAATGTTAGAAGTTTCTTCAATTCTTCGTTTCTTTGACTCTTGATTGGATTTAATTTTTCTAGCTTTTCGTTTATTCCATTCCTGAGGATTCAATTTTTCCCCTTTGATTCTTAAAATGCTTTGCATTCTTCAACTCTAACAGGATCTTTCATTCATGAATCTTCAGTTCTTCCTTTCTTCCTGGGATTCTTCGTTTCTTTATTGTCCTGGGATTCAATTTTTCTCTTTGAATTCTAAAAGGTTTCAAATCCCTCAATTTCTTCACTATCTTCAAAATTTTCTAAGTATCGAAAATCTGGCGATTCTTCAATTTTCGATTCTTTAGTTCTTCTCGTGAATTCTTCTTGAGAATCAATTTTTCTTCAGTTGTAGTTTCTTCAATTCTTCTTAGAAATTTTTCGGATCCTTCACCTTCGCCACAATCTTAATATGTTTCAAATTACTTTTCCTCGTTTCTTCCATTCCTCTCGGAATCCCATTTCTCTTTGTACCCTTAAATGTCTCGGATCCTTCAGCTTCTCCACAATCTCCACATTTTTTAAATTTCTCAAATTCTTCCGTCCTTCTTGAGATTCATTTTTTCTCATCACATGTATGAATGTTTCGGATCCTTCCGGTTCTCCACAATAATCTTGAAATTCTTCCCTTCTTCAATTCCGCTTGGGTGCTTCGCATTCTTCGGCTTCTCTACAATCTTCAAATTATCCACTTAAAAACTTCAAATTTTTCAGCTCTTCGATTTCTTCAAGTCTTCTCGAGATTCAATTCTTTTTCAATTCTTCAGTTTTTCTTAGGATTCCAATTTTCTTCTTGGACACTGAAATGTCTCAGATCCTTGAACTTCGTGACAATGCCAAATTGTTCATATCACTTAAGAATGTTGAGGGCCCATAACAAGAGAGGGACAATGAAATGTCTATATCCCTTTAAATACCCTGTATATTTCAACGTCGGATGCAACCGGTCAAGTAGTTGGAGATTCTGGGGACATGAGCCACCGCCATCACCACCTGTCGATATTTTTTTTCGTAATTTCCGGAGGATGTTTGGGATTTGGGGGCTTGGCGTCACTTATTGATTGTTAAAGCTTGTTGATGGTGGGATGATTGTATTTTGAGTTGTATTCATAGAATTTAGCTTTGTGTATTTTATGTAGTTTTCTCTTACGTACTTAAGTATATGAATTGTGCCATTTGTTAAATCAGATATTTTCCATCTACCATTGTGCTAATATGTAATTTACAATATGCGAGGTCCATGTGCTTGTGGAAGTCTACGATATCTCAGGTTTAGACCACATTTAACTCAGTTACACGGTGCACGAATGTGTAACTAGACTTCCGTAACATTCGCGAATGCGTGTGCCTTGTTGTATGTAACTCATATCTTTCTACCGTGAGAGGGAGCTCGGATGCTAGAATAGAAAGGTATTCTAGAGCTAAGGCATAAAGGATCCGAGGGCCCTCGAACCTTCAACTTTAGGGACGAAGTGCTGTAAGCAAGGCCGCCCTACCCATGGGCGGCGACCCATCTCTTAACCATCTTCAGTTTTGTGTCGTTACGAGACCAATGTCCGGAGAGTGTTACGAAGCACAGGTAGTAGTTCCGGAAGTCTGGGTTTTATACCAATGTCATTATGTGGAAACTGAGCATAATTGGGAGCGCCACGAGCACACTGCCTATTGTTACGTCACAACATGAAGAATAGATCAAACATGTTTTTACAAACTTCACACCACTCTATACGGTATATAATGATATGAATAACTATTAAGGTGACTTATATCAATAAATGCATGAATGTGTTGCCCCTACAATCTTAACTGCGTTACGGATCCTTCAGGTTCTCCACGATAATCTTGAAATTCTTCGCTTCTTCAATTCCGCTTGAGTGCTTCGAATTCTTTGGCTTCTCTACAATCTTCAAATTACCCACTTAAAAACTTCAAAATCTTCAGCTCTTCGATTTCTTCAAGTCTTCTCGAGATTCAATTCTTTTTCAATTCTTCAGTTTTTCTTAGGATTTCAATTTTCTCCTTGGACCCTGAAATGTCTCAGATCCTTGAACTGCGTGACAATGCCAAATTGTTCATATCACTTAAGAATGTTGAGGGCCCATAACAAGAAAGGGACAATAAATAAATATTGATCTCAGAAGGATTCTGGTCAAATTAAAATTGGGTATGTGCCTTCAGGATGAACAAGAAAAAGATCTGCTCCTCAAACCTCTCCTTCAACAGTGATTGATTCGTTGGGATGCGATTTAGCGTCCGACACACTTTGGGAATTTGATCAAATGGGAACTGCGCTAAAATTTAAAAAAATGGCGCCCATAAAAACAATGAAGATGAAGTGACGTGTATCGTACCGGCCGAAATTAATTCGAAATTTGTAAAAATGAGGCCATCGTTTACGTTATTATTTATCGTAATTTTCATGTTATTCATCTGCCATTCACTGTGGAACTTAATAGACATATTCCGAGCTCCACCATGCAATAAGGGGGATACCTGCTTTGCATCCTATTTGAATTCGGAGCCCCCACTGGAGCTCTTGATTTACACTTCGGAAACTGTTACACCCAGCAACGCGATATTGATATACAACTCGTACAACTTCGACTACTTCAAGCAGCTCGATGAGTAAGTAACCCTCTGACTAGTATCGTCTCTAACTATCTCTCTCCATTAGAGAACTATCCATCGACATTCCCCCGAAAACACGCAACAATGGTTCTCTTTACATACACGTCATTATCATGCCGCGCCGAAAGGTGGACAAGGCGTTACGGTTACAGGAGGCGGCCCACGCTCGCGACGCGATTTACTTAAAGAAGAAGTTGACACATTACGCCGTCCCGAAAAGTTCCACCTTCAATCTACTTAAGGACGAGGAGAAGCAGCAGACGATAAAACCGGTCGCCCACCTAAAGGGACGTTTCGCAATTACTATGTGCGTCGACCAATTGAACATGGGATCGCTCAACGTCCCCGTCGAGCTGCTCAGACACATTCAGATCAATAGCGACAAGCAGTTCCTGCCGATCGTCCAGCAGGACTTCATGCAGACGAGACTGAAGGACCTAATCGAAATAACCGGCGACTCGCGCGAGATGGCGTTTACGTTTACGTACGCGCCGTCATCGATAGGAAAGATAAGATTTTTGCTTCAAATCGAGGCGACCCTAACCCAATTCCTTTCGCTCGGCTTTACGGAGAAGGATCTCGACGAGATCAAGGGCGTGTTCGCCGATACGAATTTGTACTTGCTGTGCGCCACCTTCTTCATCGGCAGCGTTCATGTAGGTGATTTATACGATTGAACGAACGGTGAAATTCACGTTTTGCAGCTGCTGTTCGACTTTTTGTCGTTTAAGAACGACGTCAGCTTTTGGAAGTCGAATAGCTCGATGGCCGGTCTGTCGACGCGCACCGTACTATGGAGGGCGTTCTCGCAGACCGTCGTATTTCTCTTCCTGTTGGACGAGGGAACGTCGCTGCTGGTTTTAATTCCGTGCGGGGTCGCGACTGTTATCGAGGTAAGCGAGTTTTGTCGATCCGCAATGCGTTGCAAGTCGGTTTTCAGTTTTGGAAGATAAAGAAAGTATTGAAGGCGAGGATCGAGTGGGAAAACCGTCTGCCGCGCATACGGTTCGATCAGATAAAGTACGAGACGCACGCCGAGGCGAAGACGCGAGAGTACGACGAAGAGTGTATGCGGTACTTGAGTTTCGTACTCTACCCGCTCTGCATTGGGGCCGCGATCTACTCGCTCGTGTATCAGTCTCATAAGAGCTGGTACTCGTGGACGATTAACAGTTTGGTAAATGGGGTGTACGCATTCGGATTTCTGTTTATGTTACCACAACTGTTTGTCAATTACCGATTGAAGTCTGTGGCAGCTTTACCTTGGAGAGCGTTTATGTACCGTGCATTTAACACTTTCATCGATGACATCTTTGCGTTTATCATCACCATGCCGACCGCACATAGAGTGGCATGTTTCAGGGATGACATTGTTTTTGTTATTTATTTATATCAACGTTGGTAAGTATCGAATCCGACTGTGAATCTGCTTATGTTACTCTTTTAGGTTGTATCCTGTTGACGAAACTCGACGTGACGACGGTGTCACCACAGGTGAATTGGAAGAGAAGAAGGAGAAATGATTTTGTTTCCGTATTAAGACGAATACAAGGTACATTCCATTGTGATTTTAGAAATTATTCGATGTTATACTTATTTTATTAAACGGAAAAAAAAACTGTTGTTCCTTTTCTTTTGTAAGCAATGTGGAAGTATCACGCAATCAATGGAAGAGAATACGTATGTAGGCAACCACACAGACATCGGTGCTGCATTGTGTATAACCGTCCTTATTTACCAAAATTCAACTACTCTAAAATTTCTGGGGAAAACACTTTTTCTTATTAATTTTGGTGCGTAGAATCCAAAATAATTCGTACTTTTTCGATTAGACGTCTCAATCAAGTTATAGACTAGAAACCAATTTCGAAAGAAAATTCAAAGGGCTGTAACTTTTGAAATAGTAGCCCAATCTTGGAACTGTTTGAAATTATGGATTCTACAGGTCACATTCTATAAGAAAATGTTTTTTCCCGATCGATCTGAGACAATTTTTTTTTCGAGCTCAAAAAAAGGCAGTGTATAACCTTCCTTTTTACCAAAAATCGACTACACCAAAATTTCTCGGGAAAATACTTTTTCTTATTAATTTTGGTGCGTAGAATCCAAAACGATTCGTACTTTTTCGATTAGACTTCCCAATCAAAAGTTATGGACTAGAAAAAAATTTCGAAAGACAAAGGGCTGTAACTTTTGATCTAGTAGCCCGATCTTGGAACTGTTAGAAATTATGGATTTTACAGGCCACATTCTATAAGAAAATGTTTTTTCCCGGTCGATCTGAGACAATTTCTTTTTCGCGCCTCAAAAAAAGGCAGTGTATAAACCTTCCTTTTTTACCAAAAATCGACTACACCAAAATTTCTCGGGAAAAAACTTTTTCTATTAGACCTCTCGAACCTACAGTTGCTTGCCGAGGTCTGTTCCGGTATTGAGTGCCGTAAGTCATTTGCTTACAGTTTTTGCAACCCCCGTGGCAATACCATCAAGTACACATACACACATCAAACAATTCGATAATTTTAACATATAGATCTAAGTTGGGACCTTTGAATATAGACTTATAATCAAAGGTTGGGACCAGGACTGTAATCAAAACTTAAAACAAAAATTTAGCAAAAATGAACGCAAACCGTTTGCTTTAGCAGAAAAAACCTAGGATATCACGTTAGGCAGTTAAGTTGTGACATACATGGTAGAGCTGAATTGACAAGACTTCGGAGCCCCGTTATTGAATTTAGGTCACCTTCCTGCCACTCGTTCAAATCAGTACAAACATAAAACAATTCGATAATTACCACATATTTAAAAGAATGATCAAAACAAAACCATAAAATGAGCACACATGACACCAAAAATAAAAACGAACAGTAGAAGTTAACGGTATCAAACGCGCAATTATGCATGAGGTTAAATCATAACTGGGAATTTGTAAAAATGAAAAATAATTGTTTTGATCATTTGATTCCCTAACCATCCGTCACGGCATGCATTTTCTTAACACAACTTAGTAAATAATCGTATTTTATTCAGTAGCTAGTTTCGACAATCATATACATTTTGTTGTGATTGCCCGAGATTTTACAGTTCCTGTGAAATTAATATCAAATTTAGTGACGCCCGTATACTGTTAGGTGATGGTGATGACTAGGTCTGAAACAGTCACCTTAGAGCAAACTGTATGTATTAAATATTCGATATATTCCATAATACAATTGTCACTACATTACATAAATATATATACAATGTCATAACTACTAAACTGAGACTTAAATAAATAAATGTCACTGCTCTATAAATTACATTGACATTATGATGGGGTTTACCTAATTAGTTCAGATCTAACTCCATTCTAAACTAATTTAGTAATACAACACAATTTGTTAATTAAAATTTACTTAAAAAGTCATCGTAACGTTAAATGTATATACACTGATGGATCGCTGTAAAAAAAATGGCATCCGGTATGACTTTTTTTTTGTACAAAAACGCACTGTCATTAAATACTGAGGTCGAAAACAAAAACGTTTTTAAATAATAAAGACTATTAAGCGGTAGAAGCGATCGAGATCGACCGGTTAAAATTGCCTAAATTATATTTTCATTAAGCCTATCACTTTGAATCAAATACAGCCATCAAAAATATACAAATATGAGTAATACGAATACACGTTCATACCTTACTTGCTAATGCAGACGAAAAAAATAATCTAATTCGAAATTTAGGAACTAGCTCTAAATAGCAAACTTCAAACACACTCCAGTTACGTATTTCATCACTAAATATAAAAAAATTAAGCAAACGAGATGAATCCACACACAACGCGGATTGAGGTTATCATTTCTAAGACTTAATAAACTAGATAGAGAGAGACAGAGAGATTCACTTAAACAGCCTCGTTCACGCATCTTTCGCCCTATTTATTACAATGTGAGGAGTTTAAGTGATTACGTGTAAAAAAACAGGAAAAAAGGCGAAGTATCCTGAAGGTGAAAAAAAAAGTGGTGTGATACGTCACACGGCTCCCTTTACTCGGGATGATTATAGTAAATGTGTGAACTGTAGGCGGCTTCTGTGCCGAACCGCTTCTTACAGAACGGGCATGGATACTTAGACCCGCTGCACTGGTTTTTCTTGTGAAAGTATAGGTTAGACTTGTTCGCGAACGGTTTCGAGCAACTCAGGCACCGGTAGCACTTGGTGTCGCCATCCATGGCGTTCGAGACCTGCGCCATGTTTTGCTTGGAGTTCTGTTCGACCATCGATTTTATGGTTAGATTGGGGTTGTTCTGTACCAGCTTCATGATGCTCGGATCGAGTTTGGTCGTATGCGACGAGTTCGGAATGGGCGTGATGCTAACGGCGCCGATCGAGCTGGGATAGTTCGTCGGCGAGGGCTGCTCGTGTATCTCGACGATCGGCTCCATCGGTTCCTGCTTGATCTTGATGTCGGCGAACTTCGCGAACGACTGCACGCCGCCCCCCATGTTGACCATCTTCTTCGCGAGATTGTCCGGCCGCGTCTTGATGATGTTGATGCTCTTCCGCGAGAGCGAGTTGAGCTGCTGTAGGGCCGCCTTGTGGATGCGCATGTGGCTGTTGCGCGAGTGAACGGTCGGAAAACACGAGCTGCACATGCCGCACTCGAAGCCGCGATTCGACTTGACGGGCGGCGGGGTGAATTTCTTCATCTGGGAGAGCGGCATCTCGAGCTCCTCCGCCGGATCGTCGGCGTAGGTGCCGATCTCGCGGACGCAGTTGCGCATAGGCCGTCCGGTCGGTGAGAATTTTTCAGTTTCGCGTTCTAAATCGAAACATTAAATTCTGTGTTTGCCTACATACAAGTCATAAACGAACTCAACAGATAGCTAACCCAAGAAAGTCTAGCTTATACCATCACAAACGCCATCTATTTCTAAAAAGTCACTATTTTATTATTATTATTATTATCATTAATTATCAGATAATTGATTAATTGTGGAAACCACAGTCATTTACCTGCATTTTATTTTCCTGTGACGTCACAGTTACATCAGCTGTTTGAGATAAGGTACGTCTATTATAATATAATTAAATTAATCATTAGAATTGTATAATGATTTAACTTAGATTTTTCGGTTAGGAATTGTTTACTTTATTTAAAGTGTAACCTATAACGTTTGCATCATAAATAAAGCAGACCTACATTTTACACTGTTTATTGATTTGAAGATATAATTCAGCTAACGTATCGATTTTGATGGGAATTTAAATTTGGCGCTTTGTTTTAGCCCCACGTTCCCAATTCTTCTTAAATGTACCCAAATTAAGTTTTAGATATACCAAACCACATTAGCTCTTTACTACAAAATACGTTACGGGTATGTATATAGGCAGTCAAAAAACGAAAGTCCATGCAACGAGTTAATAACCTAAGGAGCAACTACAAGTCAACAAGTCAGCAAGAAAAATCAACATCATTGGCGTAACCGGGAGACCGCCAGTACGCGTTCCAGTATAGGCCAGTGGTTTTAACCATAAAGTAACGTATTTAGGATTCGCCTAACCACTGCAATTAAGCCCCTAACGACCAGTTGCACAAAAAAAAATAATCCAGGATTATTGTTCAATCCGGTATTAAGACATTTGATTGGCTTTATATTGCAGTAGGCAGCCAATCAAATGTCAAAATTCTTGTGTAAATTCAAATTTGGCAAATAATGTAGGATTTTGATTATAATTCGCTTTCCTGCAACCGGCCGTAAGTTCGGAACATATCTGCCAACCACGCCTACTTTTTCCTACAAATTAAGGTCAGAAGGTGAGTTTGGCACAAATCGCGCTGAAATCAGCACAAATTCGTCCGGCCACGCCTACTTTGTTCACAGAAATTAAGCTCTGAAGGTGAGTTCGGCACATATTCGCCCAACCACGCCTACTTTTTCCCAGAAATTAAGCCCCAAATACATTTTTAACCCAAAAAAAGGGCATCTACAATTCCCGAAGGAGAGTCCGCCATAAATCCGCCCAACCACGCCTACTTTTAACTAAAAATTAAGTCCAGAAGACATTTTTAAGCCTAAAATAATGTATCTACGAATGCCGAGCGAGCCGAAGGTGAACTCGGCATAAATCCGTCCAAACACGCCTACTTAGTTCTCTGAAATTAACGTTCGTAGGCGAGTACGGCACAAATCCGAGAACCACGCCTACTTTGTTCACTGAAATTAACGTTCGTAGGCGAGTACGGCACAAATCCTACAACCACGCCTACTTTGTTCACTGAAATTAAACTCTGAAGGTAAGTTCGGAACATATTCGCCTAACCACGCCTACTTTTTTCCCAGACATTAAGCCCCAAATACATTTTTAACCCAAAAAAAGGGTATCTACGATTCCCGAGCGAACCGAAGGTGAGTCCGCCATAAATCCGCCCAACCACGCCTACTTTTACCTAAAAATTAAGTCCAGAAGACATTTTTAAACCTAAAATAATGTATCTATGAATGCCGAGCGAGCCGAAGGTGAGCTCGGTATAAATTCGTCCAACCACGCCTACTTAGTTCTCTAAAATTAACGTTCGTAGGCGAGTACGGCACAAATCCGACAACCACGCCTACTTTGTTCAGTGAAATTAAAATCTGAAGGTGAGTTCGGAACATATTCGCCCAACCACGCCTACTTTTTCCCAGACATTAAGCCCCAAATACATTTTTAACCCAAAAAAAGGGTATCTACGATTCCCGAGCGAACCGAAGGCGAGTCCACCATAAATCCGCCCAACCACGCCTACTTCGACCTAAAAATTAAGTCCAGAAGACATTTTTAAACCTAAAATAATGTATCTACGAATGCCGAGCGAGCCGAAGGTGAACTCGGCATAAATTCGTCCAACCACGCCTACTTAGTTCTTTGAAATTAACGCCCGTAGGCGAGTACGGCACAAATCCGACAACCACGCCTACTTTGTTCAGTGAAATTAAACTCTGAAGGTGAGGTCAGCACATATTCGCCCAACCACGCCTCCTTTTTTCCAGACATTAAGCCCCAAATAGATTTTTAACCCAAAAAAAAAGGGTATCTACAATTCCCGAAGGTGAGTCTGCCATAAATCCGCCCAACCACGCCTACTTTTACCTAAAATTAAGTCCAGAAGACATTTTTAAACCCAAAATAATGTATCTACGAATACCGAGCGAGCCGAAGGTGAACTCGGCATAAATCCGTCCAACCACGCCTACTTAGTTCTCTGAAATTAACGTTCGTAGGCGAGTACGGCACAAATCCGACAACCACGCCTACTTTGTTCAGTGAAATTAAAATCTGAAGGTGAGTTCGGAACATATTCGCCCAACCACGCCTACTTTTTCCCAGACATTAAGCCCCAAATACATTTTTAACCCAAAAAAAGGGTATCTACGATTCCCGAGCGAACCGAAGGCGAGTCCGCCATAAATCCGCCCAACCACGCCTACTTTGACCTAAAAATTAAGTCCAGAAGACATTTTTAAACCCAAAATAATGTATCTACGAATACCGAGCGAGCCGAAGGTGAACTCGGAATAAATCCGTCCAACCACGTCTACTTAGTTCTCTGAAATTAACGTTCGTAGGCGAGTACGGCACAAATCCGACAACCACGCCTACTTTGTTTACTGAAATTAAACTCTGAAGGTGAGTTCGGAACATATTCGCCCAACCACGCCTACTTTTTCCTAGAAACTAAGCCCCGAAGACAACAGGACTTAGTTTTCCCAAATGGTTGTTTTGAGAGAAGAGAGTGACAGATAGATAAATAGTATGAAACACCCGTTTTGCGCTGGGAAATCTACCAGACATAATGAACGCACTGTATATAAATGCAACCAACTTCATTCTACGAACAGTAAATTTCCGGATATATTTACTTATCCTCCGGGAGTTGGCAAGAATGAATTGCTTTAATTTGTTGTGTAACGAAGCGTTCGTTTTCCGCCTTGACGTTTACCAGTTTTAATGAACACCCGGTATCTGGAGGCCCTTCGTTACGAAACATGTCGAAATTATTTATGTTGGCTCTATGAGTTGAAGACAGAAGGTTAAAGTAATTGATTTAATTTCACAACAAAAGCTGTAATTAATTCGCCGTTTGCAACCGTTTCTGTCGAGATATTTCAATTATCGTTGTTGCGTTCGAAAGCCCTCGTCATTTAGAAGACGAATTAATATTTTAGATGTCAGCTCCGTTAAGTCAGTTTTACCAACCTGAGAAATTCCAAGAGACAATGGGGGTTAATTAGAAGTAAACATTTAAAATTCATCTTGTACATTAAATGAGTGGAGGGAACAGTTAATGAGTTGCAGAAAACAGCATTCGATGCCGTTGTGAGTGGTCTCAAAAAAAGCGCTCTTAATTAATTTGAGTTTTAAGACCAATTGCAGATTTTTAGGACGCCAGCAGGCAGAACAATTAATGAAAGAAGATTTAATTTGTGGACGTTCTTACCCGATTACACTGGGCTGGGTGGAAAACCGACATTCCCAAATAAGGTAAAGCAGTTGTTTAGAGGGGATTTTTTTGCCGTTGGTGTTTTAACAGTTTTGGTTCCGTTTATTAATTAATCGCCGATTTGCCAGAATCAGAATAAAACGGGCAACGACGCCCAAGTGTGCGAAGATATCGCGAGCCTACGATAAAGTCGAAAACTTCAAGAAACAATGGGTATTATTGGACTTGTATAAATAGCAGTAGTAAATTAGAGGTGTTATGGCAGCTGATTGGAGTGTGCTTGGTGTCATTGGAAGCGCGCTTATTTATCTTGACGTTTGAGTCTCAAATTTTTTCACGTCTGGGATCCGAGAAATTAATTAAAGAAAGGCTTCATTTTAGAGCAGTTTGTAGAGAAGGCTGGAAAATCCAGGTTCCTTGCTGAAATTTTGGAATTTTATATAAGGTGAGTGATTTTTAAAGTAGGGGTTTCTTAATTTTGTTTCCATTGATTATAAGGGGGAGGGGGCAAACTATTTCACCTCCTTCCAGCTACTGAGATTAGTTATACTAATTTGTGGGGAGGGAGGATCTTAATAATACTTTGCTCTCTGTAAGCGATAGGAAACGACACATAGATATGTCATGCCAACGCTTGGAGAACTTCCAACCAATTGCAGTCCCTCTCCTGAAAGAGGGAGAGGAGGACCTATGAAGGTGCTCTAGTTGCACAGACCAATTCTAAATTGTCTTCAGTTAGCTATCTGTTGCGGCTACCGTCTAACTACCTACCTAAATACTTCGAAGATCGTTCCATTAAAGAGAAGGGCTTTGGCGTTGAGGGATTAGAAGGAATCGTATTCTTAAATGCCGTTCCCTTACAGTTGACTACGTGCACATTAAACTCGTTCAACTTGAAGAACACCTGATAGCACTTGCGACAGAAGTACGCCTGGTTCTGCGGCTTGCCCTCGGACCGCATGCCGTCGAATCCGAACGTCGGCGATTCCGTACCGGGCTCCTTCTTAATCTCGATTTTCGGTATCGTCCTCTCGAACAGCTGCTTCATCTTTAACGGCTGAATTTTGGGCGTGTACGTCTGTCGAACGAGAGGCGGCGGTTTCGACTTCAGCCTGTTCTCGTTGATCACCCTCGGTATCGACTGAAATTTGCGCGAGGCGAATATTTTCGTCGTGTGCGTATCGCCGGCGAGGATGTGCTGCTTGACGTGCGGATCGAACTCGTGCCTCTGTTTGTTGAAGCGGACCCCGCAAAACCGGCACGTGTAATGGCAGGCCGTCGAGAAGTAGTGCGATTCGATCGCCCAGTTGTCCTTGAACGTGTAGCGGCATAACGGGCAGAATTTCCGCTTGATGCCGTTGACTGTGACTGATTTGTAGAGGGTGCGGCGGTCGTCTTTCGCTATTTCCGCCAGGGGAATACCTGTTGGCAAAAATGGGCAATTTTCAAATTTGCCGCGCGCAAAAAAAAAGTGAAGAGTAGCCACAGTTATCTTGTAATTTGTTGGGGGTTCTTGAAAATTCTTTGTCACCATTAAACGATTTTCAGATCCCAAAAGCAAATAAAAGAACTGACCAATACAAATTATCGAAAACCTCCTATACCTCTAAAAACCAATACAAATGTTTAAGGTTGGGGTTGGGGTACTTTTGGGTTTTCGGCATTTTATTCGTACTATCGTCTTGTTCCTGCATCGCTTAGTCTGGAAGCTGAAAGCCATTCCCGAAGTTGGTAACTTCTTCGTTAAAAAATTCCACTGGAAGTACAGGAACCATTTTTTTTATCATAGATTTTTTTTAAATGGAACACCCTATATGTATTTTAATCCAAAAAGTCGGCATTAAAATTCCCTTTTCAAAATTATAACACACTTAGGACGATATTCAAAAAAGATTGAAAATGAATAACGATTAAAAAAAATTTAAAAAAGATTTTTGAATGTTTAAAATTTTTTAAAAATCTTTCTTGAATCTTTTTAAACCAACATTGAATTTATTAATATTAAAAAGGATTCAAAAATTTCAAAAAGGTTCAAATGATTAAAACAAACAAAAAGATTTTTTAATATTTAGACATTTTTTAAAAATCATTTTTGAATATTTTTGAGCCAATATTGAATTTTTTTGTATATTTTAGTGTTACATTTTTGAAAAAAGAATTTACTATGCTAAATTAATAAAATATACAGGGTGTTCCGTTTCATAAAATGAGGTTACGCCTGATAACTTTTTTACCTGACCACGTACACTGATTCTTGAATAATTGCCCTTTTCAAAGTGAACGTACAGGGTGAGAAAAAAATTATCGGACTTAACCATGTACTTTTAATGGAACGCCCTATATATTTTAATCCAAAAAAGATAGTATATTAAATTTCCTTTTCAGAATTATAACATACTTAGGATGATATTAAAAAAGAAGAATCGTATACAATTTCCAGTAGGGGCATTTTTTGACACCTGGCTGGCAACAGGACTTTTAATCCGGCTCATATTCAATAGTACTGATCCTTGGCCTCTCAGAAATCGATTGGCGAAGGTTTGACATCGCTCTTTCTTTTCGTTCTCAAGTTAACACAAGGAACAGACAGATCGACGGACAAAACCATACATAAGGAGAATTTCTTTAAAAAAATACCCCTAAAAAAGATTCGCAAAGGTTCAAGTGATTCAAAAAAATTTCAAAAACACTTTTGGATTTAGAAAATTTATTGAATGTTTTTGAACCAACATTAAATTCCTTTGAATTTTTTATATTCCCTCGATCTTTTAAGCGAGTGAATATTTTCAAATTTTTGGAATGAGTATGTCAGCAACCCGCTCCTCTGTGGTACCCAGTTTAGCAGCAACATCTTCTCCAGAACAGGTTTTGACAAGTGAACGCTATCACGACACGCGAAAAAACAATTCCGTTTGATTTCGTGGCTTTCGCACTTTCCCACCCTGAATACTTGCGCATAATTACATTAGATTGTTTTACGATCGCCGCTCCCACTCGGAACAATCCCTAACTGAATTCTGTGAGCGATACGTGCGTTTCCAGAGGGTTACCTAGATACGAACTCGATTTAAGTTAGGGATTATTTCCATTGTAAATATTGCAAGAACATTTCAAATCAACCGCTGGAGCTTTAGCGGTTCAACATACGTGTAGTCAATTTTGTTTGATATAAGCATTGTTCGTCTACCTTTACTGCGTCTCAGTTCGTCAATTTGGTTTGAGTTAATGATTCTATTGATAAATAATTGGTGGGAGTGGGATGTGAACCTTTTCCTTTCCAGAAATCTACCTTGTTCTTTCTCAAATGGTTTATTTATTTGAAGGATAAATTTCACACCGATAAGATGAATGTAGGTTGATACAAACATACTTTTATTTAAAATCATTATGCGGGTCACTCTGTAATTGGGCGTAAGCCTGTTGAGGGCCTAGAACAAGAGGGACAATAAATAAATAAATAAATCATGACAAAAATACGCGCTAAATTATGACAATTCCTAGGACTCCATTCAAGCCTGAATGTGTATATTGTTACGGTCTAAATACCAAAAATAATGACGGGACACCATGTATATGAGAGTATTTCAATTTTATTAAGTGTAAATCTGGGGGATTATCTATGAATAAGCACAAAGTTGGTTTATTGTATTTGAATTAGTATCTCGGTGTTGTTTTTCCTTTTAGAAGTTTTGTAATTGCGCAATTCTTTGATTGTTTTTTTAGATTTGTGTATTCAATTGTAAATCGTGAAATTGCGTAGGGGCACATAATCGTTTTCGATAAGAAGTTTTGTATTCGAATGAAATTTAATTAACACGTGTTCTTATCGCCGTTGGAAGAGAGATGCGTGCGTGCGTATTAGTTCGGCGTAAGTGGGGACGCGTTATTATTGACCGCCTGTGTGCGGGGTATTATATCCAAACAATCTTTGTAAGCGTTTTTTTCTTTCGGGGATTTTGTTCTAATTTGTTTGATGTGTTTTGTCATTGTCAATCAGTTAATTATGTGTTTACTCGAATCGAAGGTTCAGATAATTTTCATGTCAGATTTTTCTATTCGTGTTTTGTGGGTACTATTTATTAATGTTATATACATAATATGGCATGCATGTGTAACAACTGCATACCGTTAAAAGTGCTATTGGGTGGCTAGATCTTTTACTCGTCGTAACCAATGTAGTAACAATTTCTTTCGAAGCAAAGATACTTACTTTTATATTCGCCAATCGTCCTTGCGTTTTTCTGCTTATAGGCTTTCATTCTTCAATAGAACTTAATACCTAAATTTTAAAAATAGAGAAAAAACCTCAAATGTTTCGGGAGTAGATATTAAAATTATATAACTTGATAAAATTGGCAACACTGCTAAACCTGCAAACAATTAGATGACGTTCAACTGTGGCTACTCTTTGTCAAACTGGCTGATAATGTTAGTAATTAACATACCGTTAACTGTCGCCTTCGTGTCGATGAGGACGACTTCGCCTTTTAGAACGTTATCCTCGCGCGCCACCAGCAGGTCTTGGTGATCGTTGTCCGCCTCCTCGGTGTCCCTGAAGAGCACATCTTCGGGATTGATAACGTTGACACGACCTGTGCTATCCTCGAAGTTCTCCTCCTCGCGAGGGGGATCGTCGTCGGTCTCGTTATCGCAATTAATACTGCTATACCATTTATTACGTACTAAAACGTCGGACTTACGGCCGTTCCATATCACCGGATCGTCGACCTTATCGCCGAGCACGACGTACATGTGCTTCCATTCGTGCAGCGCCAACGAATTCTCGTTCATGAACAACTTCTCGCAATAATTACAAATATTCTCCTCCTCGAGCTCGGCGTCGGCGAAGGTGTCGTCCAGTTCCTCTCTAACGTAATACTCGTAAACGTAATCGGGCACGTTTTCCTTATTAATAACGTTCAGGGCGCACGCGAGTAGCGAAAGCGGATTATACCGAACGTCCGCGCTCTTCGTAACCTGCTGCTCCCGATACAACCTCAAATAATTATCCTTGCGCTGTTTGACGCGCGATTTCGGCCCGATAAAACGCCGCCGCTTCGATATCGGGCTCATCATCTGCTTGTCGCCGTGCAGCCGTTTACCCGTGACCTTACCGAAACGCGGCGCGACCTCACTGTCCGAATCGCACAGTTCCATGTCGCTCTGCGACTCGGCGTTGTGCGACATCGAAAACGAACTGTCGGTCTCGTGTAACTTATTCTGACTACTGGCCTGAGAGTCGTCGTCCTGCGATTCCGAATAACCGTTCAACAGTTTCGTCTCCTCAATGTGATTCTCCTGGATCTTGCTCTTGCGTAGCGAATCCTGGATGGCCTGCTGCAGTTCGTCGCACAATTCCGATTCGTTGTTATCGCCGAACTCGCTCATGTTGTTGTACTGATTGTTCTGTGAAGAAAAGACGCTATTGTAACATTTTATTACAGTTCAACTGTCTCCAACATCAACAATAAACAGGTAACAAAGAAACAGTTTTATTGAGTCCGACAAACCTGTTTCTATTGAATACACCTGTGGAGAGTTTGAAGAAGCTTCAGCGTCTCGTGATATCTGGCATAGGTAGCCCTATGACGGCATCGCCATGTTTATCACAACTAAACATGGGAAAATGCTGCAGACATTTTTTGGTAAACGTCTCAATGTAAGCGTCGTTATCGAAATATTTTATTATATTGTTTGTGTGTTTTAATGTGCGAGGCGAATCCGAGTAATGTGTCAATCGGTCCTAGAAATGCGTGAGATGTGGTCTTTCTTATTCCTGAAGCAATTTGATCGAAATTTTTACGGAAGGAAGGAAGGAAGGAAAAATCGTACGGCGCATGCGCAGTATACAGCTTTCTTATTTGTGGAGTAATTCGATCGAAATTTTTACGGTAGGTTCCTCTAATAAAAGCAAACGACGATCGTACAGCGCATGCGTACTTTTTATTTACGAAGCAACTTGATCGAAATAACAAAAGACTATAATCACAGCAAACAAATATGAATCATTCTGACCGCTAAGTAACCTTTTTTCTAGATTAAATTTCAATATTACCATCGCATTAATTTTTAGACGATTAAGTATACAGGTTCCCTATTAAAGTCTTTTTGAGAAGTGGTTTTTGAGCGCAACCGCCGTATTGAATTTTTTTTTAATGGCAACATTGGGCGTCATTAGAAAACTTTCTTAATATTTCGTTAATATTCCATAGCCCCCAGAACGTTTAGGATCCTAGGCACTTATCATGACCATTTTCTTGAGAGAGCATGAAACTCTTTCTTTGCCATACCCCCCCGGTCACCCACCCCCCAGAACGTTTAGGATCTTAGGCACTTGTCATGCCTATTTCCTTGAGAGAACCATGACACTTTCTTTGCCAGGTCACCCTCTCCTAGAACGTTTTGGAAATTGTCACGATCATTTTCTTGAGAGAACCATATTCCATAGCCCCCAGTCACCCTCCCCCAGAACGTTTAGGATCCTAGGCACTTATCATGACCATTTTCTTGAGAGAGCATGAAACTCTTTCTTTGCCATACCCCCCGGTCACCCACCCCCCAGAACGTTTAGGATCCTTTGCGCATGCGGCATATGACGTCCTTTGCTCTCAGACCCCCCGTTCACCCTCCCCCAGAACGTTTTGGCAATTTTCATGATCATTTTCTTGTTTGCTGGGGAGTATTAAATACCTCTCAGACCCCCTGGTCATCCTCCCCCAGATCGTTTAGGATCCTAGTCATATGTCATGACTATTTTCTTGAGAGAACCATATTCCATACCCCCCAGTCACCCTCCCCCAGAACGTTTAGGATCCTAGGCACTTATCATGACCATTTTCTTGAGAGAACATGAAACTCTTTCTTTGCCATACCCCCCGCTCACCCTCCCCCCAGAACGTTTAGGATCCTTGGCATATGACTTTCTTTGCTCTCAGACCCCACGTTCACCCTCCCCCAGAACGTTATGGCAATTTTCCTGATCATTTTCTTGAGAGAGCCCTGAAACTCTTTGTTGGCTGAAGGGTATTGAATACCCCTCAGACCCCCTGGTCATCCTCCCCCAGAACGTTTAAGTCCTAGGCACTTATGATCGTTTTCTATAAAGTATCGGCCATTTTTTATTTTATTTATGAGAGGGCGTGGTTTCAGCCAAGGCTGCTCTACCAACCCAACCACCTATACATTTATAAATATCCATGCTTGAACCCGGATACAAACCAAGGACCCTTAGTGGCGCAGTCGAGGTTCCACAGCACTGCTAAAATTTAATGAAAAAAAACATTTGAACGTCAAAATGATCTGATACAAAAACTCGCCCTAGAACGTCTCAGATCCTAGTAATATGTCATGACTATTTTCTTGAGAGAACCATATTCCATACCCCCCAGTCACCCTCCCCCAGAACGTTTAGGATCCTAGGCACTTATCATGACCATTTTCTTGAGAGAACATGAAACTCTTTCTTTGCCATACCCCCCGCTCACCCACCCCCCAGAACGTTTAGGATCCTTGGCATATGACTTTCTTTGCTCTCAGACCCCACGTTCACCCTCCCCCAGAACGTTATGGCAATTTTCCTGATCATTTTCTTGAGAGAGCCCTGAAACTCTTTGTTTGCTGAAGGGTATTGAATACCTCTCAGACCCCCTGGTCATCCTCCACCAGAACGTTTAAGTCCTAGGCACTTATGCTCGTTTTCTATAAAGTATCGGCGCATCGGCCATTTTTAGCGCTATTGTTTGTGCTTTGTCCGTCCATCCGGACCCACTTCTGCCGTTTCGAACTACTTCTAGGGGAATGGTCCTAGAGTCCTAGAATTTTTTTGCAGTAGGTAGCCTATACCATGAAGGTGTGCCAGACGGCCATCAAATTTGGCTGTCTAAAGGCCCCCCCCCCCACGAATTATTTCCTGAGATGCTGTTTTTGAAAGTAAATATAGCGGAATTCACAGAAAAATCACTTTTTTACATTCCAGTAAAGTCACTAAATATAGAAAGTACCGCAATCCATTGGGCTCGTGTGTTAGAGAGAGAACCCATGATTTTTGCCCAAAAATGGCGGAAGTTACCAGATTCTAGTAACTTTAATGTTAGGGATTGTTCCACCTGTTTGGAGATATCTGTATATATTTTTATAAAACATGACAGCTATTCAGATTTTATTTGTCAATTTTTTTAAGTTGGCAGCAAATTTGCCCAAAAATGGCGGATGATTGCGGTACTTTCTATATCTAGTGACTTTAAATTCCAGATTGCCGTTACGCCCCCTTGCGGTCATTTCAAAAACTTAAATATATGTTCCAGGTTTTTCTCGTGGCCGTTTTAGTAATAACTTTTTTTACCGCAAGCCTCTGCGATGGACAGGTTCCCAGATACAGTACCTCGCATTCTTTTGGTCACCCTGTACACACGGGAGGTCTGGGGAGTATGGAAAACCCCCAGGAAAAAGAGTCATTTTTCATTTACTTACAACTGACATAAGACTTTTGTATACGGGGGGTATTCAGAGATCCCGGGTGATACGTTCACCTTCAAAAGACTCTTTTCAAAAATTATTGTGTAATTGTAAAGGTCCTGGACATTTTGCAGAATAATGTGGTGGGTGGGGGAAATGGAATCCCCCCCCCCTTTAATCTTCATTTACCTACGACTGAGGTAAAACCTTCGTTTACTGAGGAGTATTCCATACACCATTGTCCTGTAATGGGAATAATTTTTGTTCTGTTGGGCAATTAAATATTATCCCCCCCCCCCCCCTAACGTTTCGGATCCGTCGCACTCGTGATGATCATTTTCTTGAGAACCAAGAAACTCTTTCTTTGCTGGGAGCCCCCAGACCCCCCTCGCCCCGAAATCATCCTCTGCGGAAGAAACAAATGTTTCCTTTCTAGAGGATTCTACTCCCGACCTCACCTGTGACCCATCCTAAGCACGAATTATGTGCCGGTTGAGCCTTTTGAAAAAAAATTTGGGCCACAACGCCAAAAGTAGTAACAAAAATGCAGCTGCTCATCAAAATTAACACGCGTGGATTTTTTTAACAACAAAATTACAAGAAATCAAATCAGAAAATCATATTTTACAATTTACCAGTGGCGAACCGAAAGAAAGTTTAGGGGTATAAAATGGAACAAGATTCCTGAAAAAAAAACAACACAAATTCTCACTACCACTGACAAGGCCGATGATGTAAGCACTTCAGCGCAACTTAAAATTTGAGCAAAATATCTCAAAAACTGCAAGATATAAACAAAAAATTTAAAAAAATCTTGAAATGAACACCCTGTAGATCAGTAACGAAGCGTTTGCGCACCTATGTTTATAAAACTTTTAGTAATAAAATAAGCTGAATTAGCCCCTTCCTTATTTACGAACAGCCTGTATATTACACCGCAGAACTAAAGTTACAAATACAAAACACTAAATTTGCGGTGGAATGTTCGCGAAATAAACTCACTCCAGCGGAGTCTTAAAATGCGAAGCATTTTTACCGACCTATATGATATTGACTAAAATACTCTGGTCCTTTTTTGTGCCAAATCAAATTTATTTTCGCCTTCCAACGACATTTACAACAACCACGACAATCAAGCAAGTAAAACAACATCTTACACAACCGTAAAACAATATAAAATGGTGAATGCTAGCAAAAATACTGCGATAGGTCTTTTATTAAAAAGAGATAGGCCCGTAAGTATTATACATCATTAGTTTTGGGAGAGCTACTAAAAATTAAAAAAATCCAGGTTCGTATTTAAAAAAATAAGCTTGATGTTGGTATCTAAAATCACAATGTCAAATCAGTTTCGTACGGGATGTAGAAACGCGCCATAAAAGAAAAATGTTAGTTATCTTGGGACATACTGTACTGTTGAACTTTCAAAATATTCCATGGTCTACTTTTCAAGATACGGATGGCCGTTATTCGTCATGGGACACCCTGTATGCAAAACTTAATGCACTTTCATTATAACCTTATTCATTTTTTTGATAGATTGCCATGTTACTCGGTGCACGATCGACACTCTGGACGATCATGTCAGCATTCATAATTTTCAAATCCAGATTGCCTGTAAACGATGTAGAAAAACGTGCTAATTCCACGGTTCACGTTTTCAACTTGCCAAATCATTAACATTTTCGTCGACAATAACACTAACAAACCCCTCGCGCTTACCTTAACGTTATCCTGCTCTAATGCGTTTAAAAACAGTTGAACGCTGATGTTCTCGTCGTTACACTCGATCAGCCGTTCCTTCTGTCGTTCCAACGTCTCGCAGCTGATCCGTTTCAACGAGCTAAAGTTAGCGAGATTCGTATAGCAGTCTTCGCAGATTTGTTTAGGTAGAGGATCGGTTCGATAAATCTTAAATTTTTAAGAGAAATTAAGACGAAATACGCGGACAGATCGAGGCAAAACACTTACGAGTATTCGCAGGAAATCCTTAATAAGTTGCAAAATTTGTTGTCCCTCTGGAACCCTTTCAAAAACACTATGCATTATGGGGCTTGTTTCTTCACACAGTCTACAAGCGTTGTCGTTCATTTCACCGTTTTGCCCCATGTTTTTTTATTAAAATATCACACTCGAAACATTCGTGGACAATATTTCGGCGTATTCGCTTAAAAAATGTGTAAAAATGAGGAGATTTAAAATTTTTTAAACAGAAAGCCGACAACCTGACAGATCCATGTTTGGTTTTTCGGCCATTTCTGTTTTTCGACTTCAATTTCGTTTAATTTGCGCGCAGGTGGCGCGTCGACGCGCATTTTTCCCGCCTACTTCGATGTTTATAATTTCGTACTTTATTTTGAAAGAGGGCGCTTAATTATTTACGTATTTTTTAAATTAATTGATACACAAGGTGAAACGCAACTCGCTTACGTTTAAATATAACTCACTACCCTTAATTGATAATCTTCAACAATCGCAATCAAAAATAGATTAGGGAAAGCTAACGTGTTATAAAATCGAGAACTTCATGAATCGATTTACATAAAAAAGGCTCTTTTCCTAAAAATCTACAATTCAGGATTGGGATGAAAGCGTGCGATGCGCGTCTCCAAGGGGCGACCACATTAACTAATTTGTAACTTTGTTACAAAAGATATTGTAACACAATTATGGCCTTGATGGATCTAATCTTTATTTGGTATGTTAATTACTTATTCAAAATTGAAATGTAAATTTAAATACGCAATTTATTTATATAAAATCAATTATCCATTTGATTTATATTTGCAGGCACATTTATAAATTATTATCATTTATCACTTCAATATTGTGGTGACATCACATAGCTCTATTGTTAGGCAAAACATAGTGCGCAGCATAATATGGGAAAAAATACGAAACGCTCTGTGTATACAAAAACAAACAGTCTGGGATTTACACGAAGTTTGGCAAGAGAGTTATTAAAGCCGACGACAGTTTGCATCGCGCGTTTCCCGGTTTTCTCAATGTTTATTTGGGTTTTGCCAATGAGGTTTTGCTTTGTGCGTTTCCATTTAACCATTCCAGGCTGCATATGTTGCACCTTCATCTCGTGGGGACTGCACCTCTTGTGTCTTAGCGTATACGAGCAGAGGGTCCTCTAGGTAACATTTTAATTAAATCTGCGATTAAATAAATAAAGAAGTCTTGCATGAATTGAATGGCAAACAGTTGTAAATGTAATTTAACATGGCAAAAGGCAACATGACAGTTTTCAAATCATTAAGGGCTGGTGATTTGCTTTTTCTATCAACAGTTCCCCTAAAACTAAAGTCGTTACAGAAAAGAAACACAATGGATTTATAATTTCTCGAGAGCTTCCTCGTCTTTTTCCAGAGCAAGAGAAAGACACTATAAAGCTCTAGAACGCCGTAAAAAAATCAACGCTCCTTGAGTTAGAAAACGGTCTATACAGCCAATGCATAATCTTTTTAACATTGAGCTGCCGTAATTGTAGCAATTGCACTGTTGAAAAGTAGGACCTGGGGAATCGGTTTAAGCTGCAGGTTTGATTTAAGGCTTTTTTGCTTAGTCAAGACGATCGAAGCATCAAACCCAGAGATCTTCTTACATTACCAAATAAAAAGTTTACACCATTGGAACATGATTGAATTTAACACATTTAAAATTAAAATAAAAGATGCTAGTAGCACATATTTAAAATAATTGAGTTTGCAATATCTAAATATATCACTGGAAAAAAATTCTTCAACATACCCTGTGTATCGGTTAGAAACAATGAAGAAGTATCGCAGCAAAGGTTTTAGGGAAATTGACATGTATGATAATTGATCTCTTACCACAACAATGAACAACATAACCTTAAAGCTTTTTTTAACTGTAATTAAAATAAATGTTTAAAATGTAAATATTAGCAACAAAAATTAGTGAATTATGTTGAAAATACGTCCTTTAAATCGCGAGTCTTTATCGGACGAAGATGCGCCTTCAATTCGTAAAGAAGCCCAAGTAACTTATTCAAAAACCGTTCAACTGCTTCTGATTCTGTTCTTACAGGAAGAAAACGCCTTAGATTTGTACAACAGCGCGTTACGTTTACAATGTAATAAGAATTATGAAGAGGCGGAGGCGTTACTCAACCAACTTTTGCAAGAGAACATCCCGCAATTGGAAAGCCAAGGCGGTTTACCGAAGACGATGTCCACCCTTAAATACTCGTGCTACACGAATCTCGGCAACATCTCCAAGGAAAGGAACAACCTCGATTCGGCCCTGACGAACTATTCCGCCGTACGTTTCTTATCTCGTAACTTTCGTTAGTTTAGTAATTGTAGGCCGCCGAATTGGACGGGACCGATGTAACTTTGTGGTACAAAATTGGAACTCTGGCGCTGCGGCGCGATCGATTTCGACACGCCGCGTTCGCGTTTTCGCAAGGTTTGGAGTGCAGCGAGTCGCACTGGCCTTGTCTGGATAAGCTGATTACGCTATTGTTCGCGATACGCGACACCGTCGGCTGCTTGAGCTACATAACGAAAGCGCTCATTTTGGATCCCGATTACGGACGAGGTCTCGTGCTCAGACGGGAGATTTACGAGGCGAACTCCGCAACGCGCGAGTACTACAGGCTGTACAATCCGGACTAGTGAGGGAACGTTCGCGGGTTGGCGTTAATCTTTGTTTAGCATTTTAGAGCCGGATTTAGACGTGGAAATAGACGAGGCGTACCGTAAGGAGTGCATGCAAGAGGTGGGGCAGCTGTGCGATCGAATTAATGAAGTGGAAAAGGCTTTGGAGTCGAAACCGCTGCCGTGTATATCGTTACCGACCCCCTTGGAAAGCTTCACGTGGATTGCACTCGGTCGTACAGTTGTGGATGTTCACCTATACATAACGGAAAACAATATGGTAACTACCATCGGCGGCGAGTGCGCTTAACGAGATCAAATTTCAGAGCCACTTTTGTAAAGTCGATCTCACGAAGTGTATGAGTCAGACAAGCGTTACCAAGGGCGATCTTCCCGAAGAGCCAAAGAGCGAGACCGTACCGATGGATACCGAGCATGTCGTTGAAGAAGTCATCGACGTGGACAATAATCCCGAACGGCGTATGTCGGTTAACAGCGAGGGTAACGGTTACGTTACCGACTCCGGAGTCGAGAACGTTACCAGCAGTCAGGCCGAGGACAACGACGAGATCGATCAGGATACGGAGGATCAGGAGGAGAACGTCGAGCAGAAGACGTTTAAGAAGCGCGGTACGAAACGCCGACGCGATTTGCTGCTCGACCTCCAAATATGGGGATGGCACAGTAAGCGGAAGGCGGTTAAGAAGGGAAAGTCAGAGAAGGATCTCACCATCGAAGATGCGCTTAAAAGGATCATTCCGGCGTCTTTAATGTAAGTATCACCCTATATGTGTTTTTAAGTCAAACTTTTTTGGAACACTCTGTAAATACATCAATTTCCTTTTTGTTGTGTATTCAAGAAAAGTTCTAAACAAATTCTGAAATATTCTAAAATGTTCAAGAAAAGTTCTAAAAAATTCTGACGAATTCTAAAAAATTCTAGAAAATCCCTAAACAAATTCTAAAATATTTAAAAATTCTAAAAAATGTTTAGGGAATTCTAAAAAATCTTAGTGAATTTTAATAACTGTATAAAATAACTGTATGGGCATGTGCGTTCTGAAAAATGTGTGAAAAATTCAAGAAAAGTTCTAAACAAATTCTGAAATATTCTAAAATGTTCAAGAAAAGTTCTAAAAAATTCTGACGAATTCTAAAAAATTCTAGAAAATCCCTAAACAAATTCTAAAATATTTAAAAATTCTAAAAAATGTTTAGGGAATTCTAAAAAATCTTAGTGAATTTTAATAACTGTATAAAATAACTGTATGGGCATGTGCGTTCTGAAAAATGTGTGAAAAATTCAAGAAAAGTTCTAAACAAATTCTGAAATATTCTAAAATGTTCAAGAAAAGTTCTAAAAAATTCTGACGAATTCTAAAAAATTCTAGAAAATCCCTAAACAAATTCTAAAATATTTAAAAATTCTAAAAAATGTTTAGGGAATTCTAAAAATTTTAGTAAATTTTAAAACCTCTATAAAATAACTGTATGGACATGTGCGTTCGGAAAAAATTTAAAAAAATTCCAGAAAAGTGCTAAAAAATTCTAGAAAATCTCTAAACAAATTCTAAAATATTTAAAGATTCTAAAAAATGTTTAGGGAAGTCTAAAAAATTCTAGTAAATTTTAAAAACTGTATAAAATAACTGTATGGGCATATGCATTAGGAAAAAATTTAAAAAAAGTTCTACAAAATTCTAGTAAACTTTAAAAACTGTATAAAATAACTGTATGGGCTTGTGCATTAGGAAAAAATTTAAAACAATTCAAAAAAAGTCCTAAAAAATTCTAGAAAATCCCTAAACAAACTCTAAAATATTTATTAATTTTAAAAAATCTTTAGGGAATTCTAAAAAATTCTAGTAAATTTTAAAAACTTTATAAAATAACTGTATGGGCATCTGCGTTCGGAAAAAATTTAAAAACATTTATGAAAAGTTCTGAAAAGTTCTAACGAATTCTAAAAAATTTTAGAAAATCCCTAAACAAATTCTCCAAAATTTTAGAAAGTCCCTAAACAAATTCTAAAATATTAAAAAAATTCTAAAAAATGTTTAGGGAAATCTACAAAACTAACAAACTTTAAAAACTGTATAAATTAACTGTATGGGCTTGTGCATTAGGAAAAAATTCAAAAAAATTAAAAAAAAGTCCTAAAAAATTCTAGAAAATTTCTAAACAAATTCTAAAATATTTAAAAATTTTAAAAAATGTTTAGGGAATTTTAAAAAATTCTAGTAAATTTTAAAAACTGTCTGAAATAACTGTATGGGCATATGCATTAGGAAAAAATTAAAAAAAGTTCTAAAAAATTCTAGAAAATCCCTAAACAAATTCTAAAATATTTAAAAATTTTTAAAAATGTTTAAGGAATTCTAAAAAATTCTAGTAAATTTTAAAAGTTATATAAAATAACTGTATGGGCATGTGTGTTCGGAAAAAATTTTAAAACATTTATGAAAAGTTCTAAAAAATTCTAATGAATTTTAAAAAATTTTAGAAAATCTCTAAACAAATTCTCAAAAATTTTAGAAAATCCCTAAACAAATTCTAAAATATTTACAAATTCCAAAAAATGTTTAGGGAAGTCTACAAAATTCTAGTAAATTTTAAAATCTGTATAAAATAACTGTATGGGCATCTGCGTTCGGAAAAAATTCAAAAACATTCATGAAAAGTTCTAAAACATTCTAACGAATTCTTAAAAATTTTAGAAAATCCCTAAACAAATTCTAAAAAATTTTAGAAAATCCCTAAACAAATTCTAAAATATTTAAAAATTCTAAAAACTGTATAAAATAACTGTATGGGCTTGTGCATTAGGAAAAAAATTTAAAAAGTCCTAAAAAATTCTAGAAAATCCCTAAACAAATTCTAAAATATTTAATAATTTTAAAAAATGTTTAGGGAATTCTAAAAAATTCTAGTAAATTTTAAAAACTTTATAAAATAACTGTATGGGCATGTGCGTTCGGAAAAAATTAAAAAAAATTCAAGAAAAGTTCTAAACAAATTCTTAAAAATTCTAGAAAATTCAAGTTCTAACGAATTCTAGAGAATTCCTAAACAATTTTAGTAAATTTTAAAAACTGTATAAAATAACTATATGGGCATGTGCGTTAGGAAAAAATTAAAAAAAATTCAAGAAAAGTTCTAAACAAATTCTTAAAAATTCTAGAAAATTCAAGAAAAGTTCTAAAAAATTCTGACGATTTTTAAAAAATTCTAGAGGATCCCTAAACAAATTCTAAAATATTTGAAAATTCTAAAAAATGTTTAGAGAATTCTAAAAAATTCTAGTAAATTTTATTTTTTATTTATTAATTGACTTGTCCTATACACTTTGTTTGTCTTACAGGATGAATATATATTTATTATTATTATTACTATAACTATATGGGCATGTGCGTTAGGAAAAAATTTAAAAAAATTCAAGAAAAGTTCTAAACAAATTCTTAAAAATTCTAGAAAATTCAAGAAAAGTTCTAAAAAATTCTGACGATTTTTAAAAAATTCTAGAGGATCCCTAAACAAATTCTAAAATATTTGAAAATTCTAAAAAATGTTTAGAGAATTCTAAAAAATTCTAGTAAATTTTATTTTTTATTTATTAATTGACTTGTCCTATACACTTTGTTTGTCTTACAGGATGAATATATATTTATTATTATTATTACTATAACTATATGGGCATGTGCGTTAGGAAAAAATTTAAAAAAATTCAAGAAAAGTTCTAAACAAATTCTTAAAAATTCTAGAAAATTCAAGAAAAGTTCTAAAAAATTCTGACGATTTTTAAAAAATTCTAGAGGATCCCTAAACAAATTCTAAAATATTTGAAAATTCTAAAAAATGTTTAGAGAATTCTAAAAAATTCTAGTAAATTTTATTTTTTATTTATTAATTGACTTGTCCTATACACTTTGTTTGTCTTACAGGATGAATATATATTTATTATTATTATTATTATTATTATTATTAAATTTAAAAACTGTATAAAATAACTGTATGGGCACGTGCGTTCGGAAAAAATTTAAAAAAATTTAAGACAAATTCTAAACAAATTCTTAAAAATTCTAGAAAATTGAAGATAAGTTCTAATACTTTCTAGAAAATCCTTAAACAAATTCTAAAATATTTAAAAATTCTAAAAAATGTTTAGGGAATTCTAAAAAATTCTAGTAAATTTTAAAAATTGTATAAAATAATAACTCAATGGGCATGTGCGATAGGAAAAAATTTAAAAAAATTCAAGAAAAGTTTTCAAGTCAAATTTTTGAAAATTAGAAATATTTTGATTTTTACAATTTAAAAAAAAATGAATTTTTCAGGCCAAACGCCCTAAAAGTCCAAAAATCGAAAAGCACCGAAATATCTATGAATACAGTGGACATGTACAAGCTTCTAATCGGCGAACCTAACATGACTCCCTCCTCCGTCAAGGACAGGTACAGTAGTGCGATCGCGGCGTGATACTAAATGGGGGAACGTTTCAGAGAGTACTTCGGATCACAGGCGGAGAAAGACGACGTTCTGCAGTTTTGGACGATGGAATGGGAGTGCTGCGACGCCGTTTCTCTGATCGAACAGTTTGTGAAGGCTTTGGCCATTCGCTGGTCGTACAAGTGGCCGTTCGAACTTGTGTCGATTTATTTGGAAGCGTACCAAATGTTCAGGGAGCATTTCGATCACCCTCAACTGTACGGAGGTCTCTCGACGATTCGCGAGCTGAAGGAGGACGCGCTCGTCTCGCTCTTGTATAACGAGCTGATTTTTTACAACAAACAGTCCGACCCATCGGAGGGGGTCCGTCCGACCACTTTGGGCCAATTGCAGCTGCTGAGCGCGTGGGACGAGCACTGGGGGGACGAGTGTGCGTCTTTTTACGTGCGAGTGCACTGGTTGCGCGCGCACATCTTTAGGAAGAATCACGAGAACGCCCTCGCCGTGCGATTTTTGCAACTGGTAATAGACTAATGCAGATCTGTCAAGTTGGAGACGATATTCCGGACCTAAAGTAATGAGTGTCCTAAAAACAAAAGAGTGAACTTCCAACTTGACAGGGTAACTTTTGAACCGTACATTTACCGCTTCATTTAACAATAGGTACAAGAAATGATCATGAAAGAAGAGGAGGATAAAAAGACAACTTACGAAATACGGTTTTACAATTACGACAAGTACGTCTATATCAACTTGGAAATAACCGAAAAGTTACTGCAACATCTGGAAATGTAGGTACAAACACATTTTTTCAAAAATTTTACTTCGTGGACTACTACATAATTAAAAATGTTTTTTTTTAAACAAACCATAAATGCGAATTTTTAAAATTAAAAAAAACGTATTTCCATAAATACATACATTTTTTGAAAAATTGCAAATTCAAAGGAATATTAACAGTGATTATTTTTCAACAGAAAATTCTTTGAGATTGCATATTCCATATTTTTGAGAACTTTTTTGAATCACAATGGTGTGAGCAACCAATTAAAAATGTTTTTTTAAACAAAACCACAAACGAGGGGTAAACCACTTCAAAAAATGTAGAAAATTCAATAAATCGTGGAGGCATGTGCGTTTGGAAAAAATTCTACAAAATTCAAGAAAAGTTCTAAAATGCGGATTTTTAAGTTTTTTTAAAAAAACCTTTTTGAATACATACATTTTTTTGAAAAATTGCAAATTCAAAAAAGGAATATTAGCGTGATTATTTTTCAACAGAGAATTCTTTGATTTTGCATATTTCATATTTTTGAGAACTTTTTTGAATCACAATGGTGGAAGCAACTAATTAAAATAGTTTTTTTTGTACAAAACGAAAAATGCGGATTTTTTAGGTTTTTTAAAAAAACGTTTTTGAATACATACATTTTTTTTTTAATTGGATTTTCAAAAAACGAATATTAACTGATTATTTTTCAACAGAAAATTCATTGAGATATCTTGTACACATATTTTTGGAAATTTTTTTGTATCAAATTGGTGGCAGCAACTAATTAAAAATGTTTTTTTAAACAAAACCAATAATGCAGATTTTTAAAGTTTAAAAAAAAGGTAATTTAATAAATACGTACATTTTTTGAAAAATTACAAATTCAAAAAAGGAATATATTTAACAGTGATCATTTTTCAACAGAAAATTTCAGAGATATCTTGTATATGTTTGGGTAGCTTTTTTAAATCAAAATGGTTGAAGCAACTAATTAAAATTTGTTTTTGAAAACCAAACCACAAATGCGGATTTTTAAAATTTAAAAAAAAAACTTATTTCAATAAACACGTACATTTTTTTGAAAAATTGCAAATTCAAAAAAGGAATATTCACAGTGATTATTTTTCAACAGAAAATTCTTTGAGATTGCATATTCCATATTTTTGAGAACTTTTTTGCACAATGATAGAAACAACTGATTAAAAATGTTTTTTGTAAACAAAAACACAAATGCGGATTTTTAAGTTTTTTAAAAACGTTTTTGAATACATACATTTTTTTGATAAATTGCATTTTCAAAAAACGAATATCAACAGTGATTATTTTTCAACAGAAAATTCATTGAGATATCTCGTATACATATTTTTGGAAATTTTTTGGATTCAAAATGGTGGAAGCAACTAATTAAAAATTTTTTTTTAACAAAACCACAAATGCAGATGTTTAAAGTTTAAAAAAAGGTATTTTAATAAATACGTACATTTTTTGAAAAATTACAAATTCAAAAAAGGAATATATTTAACAGTGATCATTTTTCAACAGAAAATTTCAGAGATATCTTGTATATGTTTGGGTAGCTTTTTTAAATCAAAATGGTTGAAGCAACTAATTAAAATTTGTTTTTGAAAACCAAACCACAAATGCGGATTTTAAAAATTTCTCAACAGAATTGATTCTTTGAGTCATTTGGAGCACCTGTACAACGCAAAATCGTACAGAGAGGTGACGAATATTCTCCAGGCAACGTTCGTGTGTATAGGCAACCCACCGACGTTCGGCAGGATGGGCCGTCCCGCCCAGCTCGGAATGCTAATGGATTCCCTCTGGTTTTTGGACAAGGCCGAGTGCTTCCTGTGGTCGGAGAAGTGCTTCCAGGAGGCCGTCGAGCGTTTCACCAATCCGCCGAAGGACGCCGACAAGTGGGAGCTGGTCCTGAAGAAGTGCCTCGAGATGATGCACGACGTTATCAAGACGGAAACGGTCGCGATCATCGACGTGCTGCCGCCCGAACAGAACGTGCGCCTGATCGAGAATTTGTGCCGCACCGTTTGCTTTCAGCTCAATTCGGAGAGGGCCGGCATTCCGTTGGGCACGATTTTACCGTGGATGGTGCTGCATTTTGTGCTCTTACGGTAGGCGTGGCGTTACGCCGAATAGTTCCCACTAACTCGACCCGATGGTCCAAATCGTTCACCGTGGATACTACGGCGACTATTTTTGAATTCATTTAATCATCCTAGAAAGCTTTGCATCCCTTCACTCCCTCTGAATCATCTTCAATCCACGTTTTTACCCTAAGTTTAGGCCCCTGGAGATGTGGCTATCGCAATACGTTTTTGGTTATCGCTGGACATACTTTCGTTCACGGTCGCTATGAAGCGGTACATGTCTACATTTTCCTATACCGAATAGAGTCCAAATTCGAAAAAAAATGCTTTTTTAGTTCTAAAGCAACTACCTGTTACACCATCTGCGAAAGTTTTTAAGAAATTCTTTTGAATCCACCTCTTGAGCTGTTTTGAATCGTGAGTTTCTTTAGTCTTTTAACTTTTAACGTCCTGAAGCTCCTAAATTAATAGAAACCTTGAATCTGTTTTGAATTTTTCTTGAATCCTTGGGGTGTGATTATGATTTTCGTGTGTACCTCCTTACCTGAGCTTCAATACTCGCGAGTTTATTGCTTTCCAGTCCTTGAATCTTTCCAAATCTTGATCCTCAATTTTTCATCTCCCAAATCCCTTGAATCTGTGGAATACTCTTGAATCTAATAATGTACCGGGTGTCCTATTCTGGACTGCAGTATATCTCAGCTGTTTTTAAAGATACAGACTTGCGGTACCAATTTTTTTGTGCAACTTTTAATACCACAAACAGATACAGGGTGAAAAGCCAATTACTATCCATGTAAGATAGAAAAAAAAGGTAAAAACTGACCGTTTTAGATATTTTTACGTCAAATCCAGTGGCGTAGTCGAAAAAATGTTTGGACCACCTTTTCTGAGATTTTAGGCAAAGCTGGTATTTTTTAAATGCAACACCCCGTATATATTAACGTCCATTTTTTGCATTATTTTTCATAGTTACATGCTTAGAAAAGGAAGGAGTTAGTTTAACATTACATTGATGTATCGCAACCTATATTTTTTAGGTAAGTACCTAATTATACAGGGTGTTCCTAAATATAAATATATTAATAAATAGGAAGCCATGGAGATTTTGTTTTGTTTATTGTATCCATGGTAACTAAGGCAGTCGATACCAACCAATAAAAATGACTGACGGTTATTTTAAACATTTGAAAAATATGATATAATATACAAGGTGTTTCTAAATATGATGTAAATGCGCAATGTGATAATTCTTTGGTTTATTTTATGACTAAAGGTTCATATCATAGGCCCACAAACGCTTCGTTACCGATCTACAGGGTGTTATAGTTCTACCGTACACATTACAATTTATAAACATACATATACAAACACAAGATACCATTTTCAATGCCAACTGAAACCTCCCCCCAGAACGTTTAGGATCCTTGACAGAGCCATGAAACTCTTTCTGTCTTCTTGAGAGAGCCACGAAACTGTTTCTTTGCTCGGGGGGTATCTCAGGCCCCCGGTCATCCTTTTCCCAGAATGCAATTGTCACGATCATTTTCTGAAAGAACCATGAAATCTTCCCATGGTCACCCTCACCCCTTAACGTTTAGGATCCTTGGCATTGTCATGATTATTTTCTAGAGCCCCCCCCCCTCCCCCCTTGGTCATCCCGGTGACTCTCTCTATTTTTGGAACGCTTTGAACGTCATTAATTATTTTGAACTTCTTTGAGTTTTTTGAATTCCCTGCCTCTCCTCTGCTTGTTCCTTTTGAAGAACCTTTTTTTGAATTCCTCGAATCTTTGGAATACTTTGAATGTTCTTGAATCAAACGCCAACGTTCTTTTCTGTTGACTAACCATAACTGCAGACGTAGTGTCCATAGCTGACGACGTGGATCGGGTCGGCGTAGTGGGTGTTCACCAAGAGATGGTGTTGCAGGCAGGAGCACCGAGAGCAGGCGAAGAAATCGGTGAGCCACATACGAAAGAAGCGCAAGCCGAATTTCCCAGACGACGCGGGCGAAGGGGAAGAGAGGGAGCTGCCGCCGTCCATAAACGTCTTATTCTCTGCGCACGACTTCTTAGGTCGCAAGAGCTGGTGCCTGACATCTCAGGGGGAGCTGCTGCATTTCATCATCGACACAATTCTGGATCGTCTCGACACGCCGATCTTCGAACCTTTACGCGAACGCATCGACATTCACCTCGAACAGGCGTTCTTCTGCCTTTATCAGCATCCCAGTAAAAAGAACAAGGTGTCCCGCCACCTGGCGGATCACAACGTGAACCCCCTACCGTTAGTGTGGGAGCGCGCCCAGCAACTCTACGAGTTCTTCTGCCCGGACGTCTTGCCCGAGTTCGACTCGTACAAGTCGCTGTCGATATTATCCGATGTCGAGCAGCTTCTGCAACGAATCATAGCTCTGGTCCCCGGCAAGTGCGATCCTCAACCGCTCGTCCCGAAGACCTCCGATTTCGTGCACGGCCACTGCGACGAGTTGCCGAATCCGATGGGGTTCCCCAACAAAATTCGCGCCGCCTACTACCTACTCGGCGACTACTATTTTAAGCAAAACGAGATCGGGCGCAGCGTCAAGTATTTCCTGCTCGATCTGTGCGTCAATCCGCTTCGTCTGGACACGTGGGCCGATCTCGCGTTGGGCATCGGCAGTCAGCTCGAAAATAAGCTCAATCACTGCGAGCGATTCAAGAACGAAAACGACTTCTTCGACAAGGCGAAGAGCGCGTGCGTCTGCTTTAAGAAGGCGTTGGAGATAGCGCCCAAGCACATCACCTTGTGGATCGAGTTCGGCGCCTTCGAGTACATGGCCCACTCGTTTTGCTCGCGCCTTCTGAAGTATGACTCGGATACTTTCAGCATCGAAAAGTAAGTACACGCCTATAGTCCCTTGCTCTGCATGCCATTTCACACTTTACAATTATCAAAAAGATCTTCGTTTACTCCCCCCAGACCCCCCCGGTTTTAGATTCTTCACCAATTACACCACAATTTTAGAAAAATCTTAAGGGGTGAACGTTTTGAGGGTGAACGTATCACCGGGGGGTATTATTATTATTATTTTTCCATCTTGGGGGGTATTCCAGACCCCCCGGTTCTAGGTTCTTTACCAAAACGTTTAGAGCCTTTAGCATTTACACCCGAATATTAGAAAAATTTTAAGGGGTGAACGTTTTGAGGATGAACGTATTACCGGGGTGTATTATTATTATTATTTTTCCATCTTGGGGGGTTTTCCAGACCCCCCCGGTTCTAGGTTCTTTACCAAAACGTTTAGAGCCTTTAGCACTTACACCCGAATATTAGAAAAATCTTAAGGGGTGAACGTATTACCGGGGTGTATTAGTATTATTATTATTTTTCCATCTTGGGGGGTATTCCAGACCCCCCGGTTCTAGGTTCTTTACCAAAACGTTTAGAGCCTTTAGCATTTACACCCGAATATTAGAAAAATTTTAAGGGGTGAACGTTTTGAGGATGAACGTATTACCGGGGTGTATTATTATTATTATTTTTCCATCTTGGGGGGTTTTCCAGACCCCCCCGGTTCTAGGTTCTTTACCAAAACGTTTAGAGCCTTTAGCACTTACACCCGAATATTAGAAAAATCTTAAGGGGTGAACGTATTACCGGGGTGTATTAGTATTATTATTATTTTTCCATCTTGGGGGGTATTCCAGACCCCCCGGTTCTAGGTTCTTTACCAAAACGTTTAGAGCCTTTAGCACTTACATCCGAATATTAGAAAAATCTTAAGGGGTGAACGTTTTGAGGGTGAACGCATCACCGGGGGGTCTGAGGGGTATGGAATGCCCTCCAGTAAACGAAGATCAGATAATTCTAGAGAAATTAACATTGCATTTTTCCATCTTGGAGGGTATTCGAGACCCCCCGGTTCTAGTTCCGTTATCAAAACGTTTAGAGCCTTTAGCACTTAAACCCTAATATTAGAGAAATCTTAAGGGGTGAACGTTTTGAGGGTGAACGTATCACCGGGGGGTCTGTAAACGAAGATCTGATAATTCTAGAGAAATGAACATTGCATTTTTCCATTTTGGGAGGTATTCGAGACCCCCCCGGTTCTAGGTTCGTTACCAAAACGTTTAGAGCCTTTAGCACTTACACCCTAATATTAGAAAAATCTTAAGGGGTGAACTTTTTTAGGGTGAACGTATCACCGGGGGATCTGTAAACGAAGATCTGATTATTCTAGAGAAAAGAACATTGCATTTTTCCATTGTGGGGGGTATTCGAGACCCCCCGGTTCTAGGTTCGTTACCAAAACGTTTAGACCCTTTAGCACTTACACCCTAATATTAGAAAAATCTTAAGGGGTGAACGTTTTGAGGGTGAACGTATCACCGGGCGGTCTGTAAACGAAGATCTGATAATTCTAGAGAAATGAACATTGCATTTTTCCATTTTGGGGGGTATTCGAGACCCCCCCGGTTCTAGGTTCGTTACCAAAACGTTTAGAGCCTTTAGCACTTACACCCGAATATTAGAGAAATCTTAAGGGGTGAACGTATTACCGGGGGGTATCGAACACCCCCTAGTAAACGAACATCTTTCTGATACCCTTTGCGAAATGAAATTTGACTCTTTTTTCGCGGAATTCCCTCACCAAGGCCGCGAGTTTGCACTGAAAGACAACCAAGGTCACTCCTTAGTTACGTCACCGGGTAATTCCTTTCACGAAGATTACGAATTTTTCGCCGGGGAAATCCCAGAGCACTTGTTTGCACTACAAAACAAGGTCACTCTTTAGTTACGTCTTTGTTTTTTTTTCTTTGTCAAGAAATTCTTTCCATTTCTTGTTAGTCTTCAATCGTCTGCAGACGCGTGCGTTAATATCAGCGTATTATTTTCTGTCAATCCTTTCTTGGGTGAATATTAGCTTAGCTTAGGGTTTTGCAATGTGGCATCTCCTTTTCTCTACCGCTCTTTTTAAATGGAAAATCAAAGTATCCTCAAAGAAATAATTCAATTAATTCAATTAAATCCGCGAAAACACAAAAGGCCTTTTGGCATCCTAACGCTATCTTCTAAAAAGGTAAATAAGATTCCGAATGCTATGTTTTATAATGACGAGAAATCCCGGCCACGACCGTGGGGAAATCCAAGGGTATGACCTTGCACCATAAAACAAGGTCTCTTCTTAGCAACAGGATGCCGCAATTCCACATTCTGTTATACTTACCTCCATCCTTTAAGTTACGAGCTCCCCTTTACAGCGAAACGAAGGGGGGGGGGGCTCGTTTTAGGGGTCTGTCGCCGGGGAGTTTTGTGTGGGTCTGTGTGCAATAATGTGGCCATATACCACGGCCCCACGTTGGTCGCCAAATTATTTCCGTATGTAACTTGCAGGTTCGAAATTCTCGAAAACAAAAAGGAAAATTACCTGGAAAGTGCGGGCAACAGTTTCACGAAGGCGCTCGATCTATACCGACCGGAGCAGACGGAGGCCGACGAACGTTGGCTACACAACTATATGATCGGCAAGGTGGCCGAAAAACGTCGCAAGGAACCCGTCGAATATTTGCAGAACTACCTAACGGTACAGTATCGTTTATATTTACGCTTCCACTAATCGAAGATGCGCAGGCAGCCGCGCTGCTAAACGAAAACAACGCCATCTACCCGGACAAGATAAACTATCACAATCCGCAGCATTTGTCGATCGAGGCGTTGGAGATCCACTACAGGATACACGCGTCGATCTTGAAGTACTTGGAGCTGCACGAGGGCAAGAGCGTTACGACGGTGATCGGGAAAATGCTGAAGAAGTGCTTGGACACGTGCAAACTGTACGAGACTACCACGCACTTCGCCGGCGATACCGCCGAGAAGCAAGAGGGCGACGACATGGCCGTGATCGTTAAGTGCGTCGAGGACATGCTCGCGCAGGTCGTGAAGATGCAAGACGGCGAGCCGAAGGCGCCCGATGTCGAAGTTCGGGTGAGCAGTTGCTAGGTAATGATTGACGTCATCGTCCCGTTTCAGAAATCCATCGACGAGGCGACCACGTCGTCCTCGAGCGACAGCTCCGATTCGGACTCGGACAGCGACGACTCGAGCTCGTCGTCTTCGAGCACCTCCTCCGAAACCAGCCCTCACCTTTCCAACTCGGACATTCTCAACCTGGTGGACCGTTGCATCGTCGGACTGGAGCAGTGCGTTATACGCTTCCCGCAGAATTACAAGGCGCTCTACCGATTGGTCCACCTGCACTTCCACTACAAGGCGCGAAAGGATCTCTCGAAGTGCAGACATTTACTGCTGCACGAGTACAAGTGCAAAAATGGAGCGGTGGTTTCCGGACTGTTCTCCGATCGGAAGTTAAACAATTTTTTTAATGTCTGAATTGCGGCGGTGTCAGTTTCGGTTGCGTTACGGTTTCGTTGCAGGGCGTCTGGCGGATTCCGTCGAGCGAGATCGACCGACCCGGTTCGCTGTCGGCGCATATGGCCAGGTGCGTCACCATCCTCCTGCAGGTGCTGCGGCAGAGCAACGACCACAAGACGCTCTTGGACGTTTGCCTGCAATTGCGACGAATACCCGACGCCGATAAGTATAGCTTGTCGTTTAGGACTTAATGAAATATCGTGCGAATTTAGGGTATACATACGGCACAACGAGCGCGAGCAACTCTCCGAGCAGGCGCTTTCGCTGTGCGTTCAGGCGCTTCGCGAACAAGTGAAGAGCACCAATAGCACCGGATCCCTGCAGAGGCTGCTTATGGATATATTTCGTTCGTATCAAAGGATTCAGAAACATGTGCCCAGTAAGGAAGCGACGTTCGCCGCGATGTTGGGGGAGGTTTATAAAAAAACTTTGGTCGAGAAGGTAAGTTTTAGGTGACGATGGCGGAAGTGTGACTATTGCGAATTGAAATTTTAAAAATTCAAAATGGCGTCGCTTTAGGAAATACAGGAATTTGGCGCCATTTTGAAATAGAAACACCATTTTTTATTTTTTTCTAAATGCGCTATTTTATTCTTAATTCAACGCATTTAAGATTTGCGTAACTAACTGTCACAGTTTTTGACAGATGTCAATTTTTCAATTTGGAGTCCATTCAAAAATTCATATCTCTTAAGCCGTTCAAGGTACGTGAGTGCTCTTTTTTATAATCGAATCTATAAAGTCTAAAGAATTTGTTGAGTGACCGGTGAAAGTTTTGAAAATGTTTCCAGAGCTGCTGCGATTTTTCAACATGTTAAATTGCAACTAATTTACAAAAAAAAATAATTAAACTTACAAATTATCGTGGAACGGACGGACTCGAGCGCCACCAAGAGTACGGCCTTGCCCCTGGCCAAGGTCGGCAGTGGCAGCGGTTTGGCGGATCGGTCTCGGAAGCCTCGGGCGAACTCAAACGGAGTAAACGACAGCGCCACGAATTCTAAAGGACAAGCAGCAGCCGCCTAAAAGGCTAAAACGAAATTAAAGCGGGAACAGTAAATAATCGGATTCGGTAGCGGTATCTACGGTAAAGCAAATGTAGGAAAGCGAAACAGTATCTCCCCCTGAAACGGAAAGTAACAAAAAGCTTGCCCCCCCCCCACGCAAAAAAGGTTTCAAATTCATATTTTGTCAAATTCATATTTTGTACCACCCAAAAAATGGTATTTATTTAGACACCATTTGAGGGGGTAAAATCCGCCATTAACGTATAAAAAAATCCGTTTTAACCCCCACGATAAAAAGTTTCAGATTTTCACGCATGTCAAAGTTAGACACCCACTTTTAACGTTCATGGAATTCCTTTCTCTCTTTGAGGACCGAGGAGTCTTCAAAAACATTTAAGGACCGAAGTTTTAATTACGGTATTGATTAATCCTTGAAGGTTTTAAAGAGTGTTTGAAAGTTGACCCTAAAAGAACCTTTAATCTCGAAGAGTTTTCAGAGCCTTTGTGATTAAGCAGAAGCCTTTAAAGCTTTTATTAGTCTTAACGAGCTTTCTAATATTCTAAAGATCTCTTTTAAAGGCTTCCAAACACTAAAGACTCCATTAAGGGTACTAGTAACCCCTAAGATTCAGGTTTCTGAAACTTGAAATTCCTGAGATCCGGAATTTCAATGGTTCAAGACCCTCGGTGGTTTTAGGAGTTTCTTTTTCGAGGGTCGAAAAAATATTTGTAGTGTACTTAACCCCCAGGTTGTACGCTAACTTCACACTACAAGAACTCGGAAGCCAACCCGGTAACGTTTAAAAATGGCCACCCGAATGACTATTCCCTCCAAAACTAAACAAGATCCCGCTTAAATTTGAAAAGTGGCACGTGATAAGATATCTAAGGCAGGGCTCCCTTACGTTAGTTGTAAACAACGCTTTGACCTGAAGCACAGTAGGGAAGGAACGCTAAAATAAAACACTCAAATTGTGAAATGATCAAAACTAATATGAATGTAACTTCAGGGACAAGACCAAGCAATCAACATCAATAAACATAAAGTAAGCAAGCATTAACACCAAAAACGTAAACAATTACAAACACTAGGATAACGGTATTAAACATGTCATCCTGCATTGCGGTTAAACCAAGTAAACTTCAAAAACAAAGATTTGAAACACACAAAAAATATAAAATGCCGCATACAAAACGCAAATACGATATAAAGAAATGCAAAAATTACTACCCGCATTAAATAACACAAAATAACAACAAACATTTATGGAGCGACGCGTTCGGGACCGCCATTCAAAACAAGATCATTGAATAAGCACTTTAAAGAAGTATAACGCCTGTGTTAACTGATGAAATAAGAAAATCTGCCCAGGATTCTGTCGTCCCTCTGTTGTGGGGAAAGTGAACCACAAATTTAAAGCTAGTTAACGACTTTACAGATTTCTTTACTTCTTTAAAATTCCAACGTTGCCAGATTTTTGGCAAGCGCTTTGAGTTTGAATAAAGTAGAGTGAAATATTGAATAAGCTTTTATTCAATGCCAATAACAATATTGTGTAAGGGAGAATCAATCTCAAATGTAAGATCATAAGGAACAATAAATAAAGTAAAAAATGTAGTTTAATCTAATAAGAACTATTCGAAGGACCATTATCTTTACATAATAAACAATCAAACTTTACCATATAAGGATCTGGTAAATATGACAACACTGTTCAACTCTGATAAACAAGGAAAACAAAGGGCCCCTAAGTATAACTGGTTTCCCTGTTTAAAATAGTAATTATTTACCGCCCGAGGCCAAATATCCTTCAATATTTGTGGTAATTAAACACTTTGCAGTATATGCAACACACCTTACACCAATTTCAGGTTTACCTATGTAGTTATACTTCTTGTATAAGCTTTCTAGATGGCGCAGGCAGCTTTTCCCCTAGAAATTGCATGGTTGCCAACTCTCAAAAATGTAAGTTGTATATACAGGGTGGAACCTCTCAAGGTTATCGAGGGTCTCAAAAACCCTGAGTTTTAAACGTTTAAAGAATTTCACACGGCATTTTAAATGAACCATTTCGTCTCCAAATTTTTTAAAGAAAAATTGACAAAAAAATGTCAAGAACCATGACTAGGTACTACGTAAATCTTAAATATGTTTCTATTTTAAAAAAAAAAAACAAGATGGCGCCAACTTCCGGTATTTACTACAGTGACTATAGACAGTGGCGACAATAGTTGCGTCGAATATTCAAATTAGGAGGTTTCTGTTTCAACTGCGAGTTAAAAAACTACTGCTATTGTGTGTCTTAATTGTTTATAGCTACCCGAAAATGTGAGTGTACTGGATTTAGCTGTCAAACATTGCCAGCAACACAAAGCGGCGGAAAAGTTGAAACAGCAAAAGCAGCCGCCGCCGCCACCACCGCCACCTGTCGTTTCGGGAGCTGTAAGTAAATTACGGCGCTTTCCCAAATGACAACGTGCATTTTAGCCCGTCGTGCTGCCTGCTCCTTCGACGGTTACGGCAAACACGCAACCCATGAAACGTCCGCCCATAGGAAGACCGCGAGGGCGCCCGCCGGGCCCGAAACAGCCGGGACTGATGCGAACGTCGAGAGGTCGCGGCTCCTCCTCTGCACCTAACTCGTCCGCCTGGCAGAAGATGATGTACGAACAAAAATCGATGAAGTACATGCTCGATTACCAAGAAGAACTCATGCGTCAGTATAACACCTTGGCGAAGATGACGTTTCAGAACCAGTTCAACCAATACACTCACCCCACCTCCCAACCCTCGCTACTCAACCCCAGCCAGCTAGTTCAAACCATGTCGCAGATGAGCGCCGGAATTAATCCGTTAGCGATCAGCCAGTTCGCGCAGAGCCTTAGCAATCTGAACCCCAACCTACTCAAGAAAATCATCGACCAGTGCAGTCCGAGCTTCAACGCCAACCTGGCGAGCTGGCTGGGTAGCGATACGCTCAAGCAAAAGTCGACGCCCACCCCGTCGACTAGCCAACCGAAGCCGACCTACACCATGGCCGGTTTCGGCAGCCACTTTCAACCGTCGACATCAAAACAGGAGTCGCTCAAGACAAAAACCGAGGTTCGCCCCTCGCGCCCGATTTATAAACTTTGTCGCTCGCGCTCGCACAGAATTGACCAATAGAAAAGAGTACCCATTGGGCGTGTCAAAGTCAAACTCTGGATACTCTTTTTCCATTGGTCAATTACACGAACTGCCAGAGCGCGGGCGACAAAGTTTATAAATCGGCCTTAACACCGTCCGTTTCAGGATCGAAAATTACCCGGCGATTTCAAAGCGGCGGCCAGCATGTTCGCCGAACGGCCGAATATTACTATCATTCCCGTGACGCAGGCGAACGCGCCGCCGCCGCCTCCCCAACCGTACGCTACGACGGGAAAAACGTTACAGGAGAAACTGGCCGATAAACAAAAACAGCATACGATCAAGAAGAACTTGGAAAAAGGTAAAAGAGTTCAGCCTACAAACTTCTCCTCACCTAGTAGTATTCCGCATGTTAATCTGCCAACATTTTCCCTGGATTCTGGAGTATCTATTACTCAGGTAATGATCGTTCATAGTTTTATAAGCGTAGAATAGTTAATCCTAGCATGTATCGTGTAGTTAGCGAAATGGTTAGTATAAAATATTGATTGACCTTTAGAACTAAATTCAAATTCATTTAAGCTGTCCTCTGATGAATTTACACTGAATTCAGTAAATCCGCGCGCAGACACTCATGGTGTTAATTTCACTCGCCTTCTCACATGCCCAATTCGTAGGGAAGAGATCATTCTTTTTAAAACAAATCAAACAAGATTACGTTACCTTAATTATCGTGTTTTCGCGAATGAATGGTTTCCCTAGAGTACAAGCGGTACTGCCCTTCCTTGAAAAGATGGCGTTGTGATATTTCACGATGTATAGGGTTGAAAATGTTGTCCTCCACGTTGTTACGCCAATGGTGCTGATTTTACTTATTGACTCGTTGACTTGTAGTTGCACCTTAGGTTGTAACTCGTTGTGTAAAACTGAAATACCATGGTGTATGAGGTCTGATTGAGTAAATAATGTAGAATTGATATATCCAAAACTTAATTTGACCAGTGTCCCCTTTTCACCAATCTCAGGCCCTCATTTGTATCTATTTACTAACCCAAATAAATTTAAACCCGAAACGGGCTCCCGTTACACGCCTTGACCAATGGACTCATTTGCAGGTCCAGTGATCATCCTCTTGGGACGAGCAAGATTTTTCCAAACCACTTGCTGTCGAGCACGCTCTGGATTCTCGTGTCCTGGCGGCAGACGCTTGATTACTCGTGAAATATTCGCCTTTTGACCGACAGAAGTTTATATCGCTTGTCCGTAGCGGAATTGCAGTCCCAGTGATTGTTCCCTAGGGGCGTGGGAGGATTTTTCCAAACCGACCAGTCTTGAGCTCAATCGTCTCTGGTTTGTCTTCAGAAATTCATTCACTCGTTTTGTGACCCGTAAAAGACTCGTCTCATGTAGAATCTCGAGGACTTGGTAAGGTTGTTAAAGGCTCTCAAAGAGTAAATGCGTATTAAAGGTTTTGAAAGGCCTTGGAGATACATACATGAATGCTATAAAGGCTCGACCATTAACCGTTTTTGAAGGCTCTTAAAGGTTTTTAAAAAACATTTGAGACTATTAAAAGCTTTCGATGTATAAGAAACGGCTGTAAAGGCTCACCATACTAAACTTTTAGGGGCCGAGAGATCGTGGCAACCGCGAGTACCTCTCTGGTTATCGCCAGACATATTTTTTTCACGCTCACTATGAAGCGGTACATGCGGAAATTTCCCTATGTTGAACAAAACAAATTAGAAAATATTTTTGAAATTTTAGAGACCACCCGTGATAAAGGCTCGCTTCATAAGAGAGAATATCAAGGACTTCTCAAAGGCTCTCAAAGAGTAAATGTCCCTTGAAAAGTCTTGAAGGCTGGCATTATCCTTAAAGGGTCGACCATTAACCGTTTTTGAAGGCTCTTAAAGGTTTTTCAAAGCGTTTAAGACTATTAAAAGCTCTCTATGTATAAGGAACGGCTCCGCATACTAAACTTTTAGGTGCCAAGAGATCGTGGCAACCACAAGTACCTCTCTGGTTATCGCCAGACTTATTTTTTCACGCTCACTATGAAGCGGTACATGCGGAAATTTCCCTATGTTGAACAACACTCAAATTAAAAAATATTTTTGAAATGCTAGAGACCACCCGTTATAAAGGTTCGCTTCATACGAGAGAATGTCAAGGACTTCTTAAAGGCTCTGAAAGAGTAAATGTCCCTTGAAAAGTCTTGAAGGCTCGCATTACTCTTAAAGGGTCAACCATTAACCGTTTTTGAAGGCTCTTAAAGGTTTTTAAAAAACGTTTGAGACTATTAAAAGCTCTCAATGTATAAGGAACGGCCGTAAAGGCTCGCCATAGTAAACTTTTAGGTCCCGAGAGATCGTGGCAACCGCGAGTACCTCTCTGGTTATCGCCAGACATATTTTTTTCACGCTCACTATGAAGCGGTACATGCGGAAATTTCCCTATGTTGAACAACACTCAAATTAGAAAATATTTTTGATATTCTAAAGAGACCATCCATTATAAAGGCTCGCTTCATACGAGAGAATGTCCAGGACTTCTCAAAGGCTCTCAAAGAGTAAATGTCCCTTGAAGAGTCTTGAAGGCTCGCATTACCCTTCCAGGGTCGACCATTAACCGTTTTTGAAGGCTCTTAAAGGTTTTTAAATAACGTTTGAGACTATTAAAAGCTCTCAATGTATAAGGAACGGCTGTAAAGGCTCGCCATACTAAACTTTTAGGGGCCGAGAGATCGTGGCAACCGCGAGTACCTCTCTGGTTATCGCCAGACATATTTCTTTTCACGCTCACTATAAAGCGGTACTACGGAAATTTCCCTATGTCGAACAAAACAAATTAGAAAATATTTTTGAAATTTTAAAGAGACCACCCGTTATAAAGGCTCGCTTCATACGAGAGAATATCAAGGACTTCTTAAAGGCTCTCAAAGAGTAAATGTCCCTTGAAGAGTCTTGAAAGCTCACATTATCCTTAAAGGGTCGACCATTAACCGTTTTTGAAGGTTCTTAAAGGTTTTTATAAAGCGTTTAAGGCTATTAAAAGCTCTCATTGTATCAGGAACGACCGCAAAGGCTCGCCATACTAAACTTTTAGGTGCCAAGAGATCGTGGCAACCGCGAGCACCTCTCTGGTTATCGCCAGATATTTTTTTTTCACGCTCACTATGAAGCGGTACATAGGGAAATTTCCCTGTGTTGAACAAAACAAATTAGAAAATATTTTTGAAATTTTAAAGAGACCACCCGTTATAAAGGTTCGCTTCATACGAGAGAATGTCAAGGACTTCTTAAAGGCTCTGAAAGAGTAAATGTCCCTTGAAAAGTCTTGAAGGCTCGCATTACTCTTAAAGGGTCAACCATTAACCGTTTTTGAAGGCTCTTAAAGGTTTTTAAAGATCGACGAAACTAATAAGGCTAAAGAATAAATTATAGGTTATGTTTTGTATTGGTGCACATATACCTGGTTGCGGCAAATGATTACTAATGTGATGTTTTATAAGAGCGGCGCAGCATAGGATTATTGATCGCCCTGTGTCGAAAATGCACGCGTTTTTTATTTCGAGGCATACTTTTGTTCATGTTCGCTACCAAGCGGTACATGTATAAATGTTGAATAAAATTTACCCTTTACCGACATCTTCAGATGACAGCTTGAATGTATTAATTTTAGTCTCTTTAGTGTAAATAGGGTTACGGCAGTATGTCGAATCTAATCGCAGTGACGCAAATTGATTTTTGAAATGTAGGTGGGAACCCAGTTAGACCAGCGGGCTTCTGGTAACACGAAACAAAAAACGCAGCCGAAGACCGCCCCCGTATCCGATCTCAGCCTACCTCCCAACCTACCGATGGAAGTTAGCGTAATTAAGGCGGGGCGAAATGAAAACAAAGAGTCTTCCGACGACGATGTAATTATCATAGAATAGTACAACTAGATATGTATTACGAGAGGTTGAAATAAAGTCGTTCGTTTAATCCGATCTCGACGCACGGATCAGGTAGCGTTTGTATCGGAACACTTTGGTGCACTTTGAGGTGTTTCTTTAACGAGCCGTTATCGGCGAACGCTCGCCGGCACACGGCGCACTGGTACGGTTTCTCTCCGCTGTGCGTGCGCATGTGCACCGACAGGTTGCTCTTAGTGGCGAAGTCCTTGCCGCACGCGCTGCAAATGTTCGCCTTAACTCCCGAATGCTTGCGATCGTGCAGTTTCAACTCGTACGAACTGGCGAAGCACTTCCCGCACTGGTCGCAGACGTACGGCTTTTCGCCGGTGTGCGTGCGAATGTGGTGCACCAACGTTCCCTTCTCGGCGAACCTGCAACAGAAAATAAGAGACCGGCAAATTGGAATTTTGCTACAAATTACCTTTTCAGACAGTGCTCACAGCTGTAGGGCTTTTCCCCAGTATGCGTACGGGCGTGTTTGTCCAAACTCGACGATTGCGTAAAGCACTTCCCGCACTCGGAGCAAACGTACGGTTTCTCGCCGGTATGTATTCGTATATGCTTGATAAGATTCACGCTCTGACTGAAGGCCTTCCCGCAGAGGTTGCACTTGTGCGGCCTTTCGCCGGTGTGAGTCATATGGTGCGCCTTCAACGAGCGCGGATCGGCGAACGACTTTCCGCACGTCGCGCATATCAGGGGTCGCTCTCCGGTGTGCTTCCTCATGTGAATGTTCAGGTAGAACGGTTCGCCGAAGCGCTGACCGCAGATCGTGCACAGGTGCCTCTTCTCTCTCGGCTGCCCCAAGTGCTTCTTCGTGTGTTTCGTAAGCGCGTGGGACTCGGCGAAACCTTTCCCGCACTGCTTGCAGACGTGCGGCTTGTCGACCATGTGGATTTTGATGTGCCTTTTCAGCATTTGTCTAGCTAAATGTGAAACATGAAGCTTGTTGCTATACTATGAACAACGTATACTTGGGTATGACTCATTTTTAAAATCGAGGGGTTTAATATTCCGACGATGTCGGCCGACTTATACTTTTGGCTCGCACGCGCACTAGTAGTCCCGCGTTCAAAGGAGTACCCAGTTGCAAGACAATGGCGCGCAAATTAGTGTTTCACAGTGGTTAGTTGTGTACATTTATTCAGTACCGTTAGTTCATTGGAAGTACGTTAAAAATGATGGAAAAACGTGGACGACTAATCAACACGAGAGAAGAGATATCATATGTGACTTCAACTTTTTTACCCACTCGACACGAATTCCATCGTGGCTTAACGCGCAATGCCACCGACGACTAAATTCCCTAGGCCCCGAGCGAGCGGAACTTGTATGCCTAGATATGTGCCGAACTCGAGGAGCTTCTACTCTGCGTGTGTTGTTACAAATTATAATTGCAAAATATTCCGAGCGAGCCGAAAGCCATGCGTAGAGGTTTTCGAGGGAGACTTTTCTGCCTAGGTGTTTGCCTAAGAAATTATTATTAAATAAATGTGCCCCTTCCGATTGTTCGCGCTATATTTGATTCACGGAAGTCGCCGCGACCTCCAACGCGGCTTAATATGTATTTTCACAATTCATAAAAGCATCCCGCGCAAACTAACTTCAACTTTTTTTGCGCACTCGACGCGAATGCTGTCGTGGCTTAACGCGCATTGCCACCAACGATTAAATTCCAACCACCTTCATTTTTTTTAACTACGCCCATCGACCATTCGAATGCGTTCCACCAATCAGCTAAACTTTTTCTCAACCAATGAAACCTAAATTCCGCCGAATCAGCTGAACAGTTCTCGTCGGAACGTTGGATACTTTTTTCTTCATTGATCGCTTTAGAAGTTGAAGTGATCGCGTTTTCTGAATTGGATCTGCCCTCACTAGTATCGCGTGCTAGGTTATATTTTGCAAGTTTATGGCAGTCTTCTTTTGAATGTCCAACATTTTTGCAATACATGCACTTTTTATTCTGAGCACCCCAAGAACCGTACCCGATGGGCAGCAACATGAGTTGTTTAAATAAAATTTCTACCATGATCCAATTAAACACTACAAAAATGTGTTTTTTAAGAAATTTATAGAAAAAACGTAAAAATAAACAATAACCGGGTAAACGCGAAATGACAAGACGAAAAACTAATGCAAATGCAAGAAGTACGTTTTGGACCGGCAATACGAATGGCACAGCAGACTTAAGTTGTGAAGTGTCATCCTTTTCTAACAAGTTATAAGTAGTATGTGTCAGACTGTAAGAGACACAGTGAAAAGTATGCTTATTATTACGACATACATCGATGAGTCATATTCAAGTATGATGAAGTGATCAGAATATTCTCGCAAATCTGACTTGGTGTAGGCACGCCCTCTTCGTCCCCAGAACATCTGTACTGACATGGTATGCAATAAATGTTTATGTGAAGAGTATTTGATACGTGCAAACTGCGAACCCACCACAACTCAAGTCAGGTTTGCAAGTCCCGCCCACTCTCAGCTTGTTACTCACTTGCGAACTGTTTTTGACATCGGTTACACGCATAATCGCCCGCCTGTAAGTGCGTGGACAGATGTAAATCCAGATCGTCCTGCACTTTGAAAGAGTGCGTACATTCGGTACATTGAAAAGGCAAGGGCGGAGGCGCCTCTGCGTCCAAAAATGCCGTCAGGTCATCCTGAGTGAGCGAGTCTTCTTTGTCACTGGAAAAACGTAAGAAGAACTCAAGGTGATGGTAATGGCAAAATTTCAGAAGGTGTTTTTGAAGTTGGTGGTAAATTTTTTCCGCAAATGCAAATTTTCACGTATTAGGAAATAATTTTGCTATTGTCCAATAGGTGGCGTATGTCTTCATTTTGTAACATTTGAGAGTGTTTAGTTGTTTTGTGTTAATACCAGGAAGGAGAATATCAACAATATACGTGCGACCGCGATGGCTTTTGCAAATGGCGGCAAATTTACCTACCTTACGTATTAGGAAATAATTTTCCGCCTATGACTTTTGTTTAACTAACCTCAAACTACATTCCGATAAAAAATTTGTAAATTTATATGTACTATATAAAAATAATATTGGTATCAATACTGACATGAAATGTAATTCCCAAACTTTTATTTTTTTCCGTTTTGGAGCAACCACAAGCACAACAACTAACCATTGTTTTATGTCACTGCAAAAACCACAACAAAAATGAGTCATAAGTGGCTTTTGCAAATGGCCGACTTCCGTCGCACTCTCTCTCGTATACAACCTGAGTAATGCTCCTTCCTGGTATTCTTTATTCATTGGTTATTAGCGATTCAGATTAAAAGTGAGACCTCTGGTGGCAGCACATTGTAGTTAATATTGATGGGATAAGACCGCCATTTTTTTAAATTATAATGACCAAAAGTAATCATTATTGTAGTTTTTACGGCTGTAAAAGTAAATACAGTTGGAAAAATTTCATTTGCAATCAATGTAATTACACCTTACAGAGCAAGGGTAGTTTAAAACGTCACATTACTTCCATCAATAAGGATAATTTAAAAAGTCGTCTAACGCATATTTCCAGTCTTTAATTGTGAACAATGCAATTACTCAACAAAAGATAGGAGATATATCTATCTTTTGAAACACTTTGAATAACTTTGTATATTTGTTATCAGTGTAATTACGCTACAATTAAGCGTCACCTATTATTCACAAAAAACAACTGCATTATGGGAAACGCCCACTAGTGGATAAAGGGTTTGAGAGAGCCAAATTTATCCCCTCTAGTGGGCAAAGGCTTTTAACTTTTCGAGCCACCCTGTACATATGGAACCATTGTAAATTTTACCTTCTAAAGCCACAAGAATGACTATCGAGATCGTACGACGAAACAAAGACACCATCACAATTAAAGCACCGAAGTTCGTGAACCGACAACATGTGAGATTTAAGTTTGGCGTTTGCTAAAAACCACGTAATCGATTCAAATGTTTTCGCTTGTCCGACTTACAGTCAAATGTTTTCCCGCACGCGCCGCAGTGGAATGTCTTCGCGTCGATCTGCAACAGAAACAATCGAATACGCTCGAACGTTTGTAGGGGTATACTTTCTGCATTTGTGCCAGCGTGATCTCCGATTGTTCGCATTGTTTCTTAAAGTTGTAGCACTGGACGAGTAGCTGGTAACATTTGATGCAGATGTTTTGCGGGAGGCTGTCTTGGGGTGACACCTTTGGAACAAGAAACGTCGCACGAGGTATGACAAAAGGAAATGGGTTACCTTCATGAACCGACAGTCTTCTAACATGCTTGCCGCTTCCGTGTCGAAGACTGGGGACAGCTCCTGTTCGTCTTTCAAGCAGGTCCTGCATATTAGTTCCATTTTAGACAAGACCCCCCCCCCCCCCAAAAACTGCTGTAGTAAACAATCGCGACGTTAGCAAATTAAAATTGTAACCATCTTTTGAAGTTAGCATCGAATTTGGAGGGGCGCATTATTTTTATTAGAGAACTGTATAAGGAACTTAGGAAGAAGGCTCTGAAAATCTATATAGCTTATAAGCATTGATTATACACACAACAATCAATGTTATAAGTCAGATTCGCAATAATTTTTTTCCATACCTGTATAACATAATGGCCATTCAATAGCCACGTTTGCCTGTGGCTATGGTACCAACGCACGTGTGTTTGTTATTGTAACATAACCTCCAAACAGAAATGAGCTTTAAAGTTTAAATGGCACTATTACAAGGTAAATCTGATACATACGACCTAATTTCTGCAATAAAACTTTTTTAGAATTATTAACGTTGCTAAATAACGATGTGGAACCGTTACCTAAACGTCTTAAGATAGCAGACAACGCCTTTAAATCGTGTAACCTACCGATACAACACCGCGAGGCTGTCCTCTTGGACTGGTTGACCAAGTTAACCAAAACGAACGACTCGGACGTATGGGACTTGCTTTTGAAGTGGTTGCAAAGCGTTCAAGTGCAAAATCTGAACCGGAGCGATGTGAACTATGCGGATCTACGGAATCTGAACGCTGTAAGTTTGTATCGATCGGATCTGGGGTCTGTGATAGTAGCGTTTTCTCTCTCTTAACAATGCCACAGAGACATACAAAGTTTTCACCCTCCAGGATGTGTAAACATAGTTTCGAGGGTTACGGACTCCAATTATTGCCATTTGATGTATCTACATGATAGAAAAAAGTATTGTTAACACGTTTTTGGTAGGTAAGTTGCTATTGAGGGTGGGAATTGGATCTTTCTGGACCTTTTTTTTTTATGCGACTTCTTTTCGTCCCTTACACTGTTTGATCTTTTGACCACTATTTATGGGCTGGAGATGAGCGCCCTAGGAATGCAGGTCTCCTTTTGTAGTCAAAGCCAGGCCGAAAAAATATCTGTTTATGTATAATAGGATAAATAAATAATGTAGTATTGGTATACCCAAAACCCGATTTTAAATACCCCAGAAAGATTAAATTCGATACGTTACCTGAATTATATCTTTAAATCAATACTGTAAAATGCAGATAAGCTTTATTTATGATGCAAACGTCATAGGTTAAAACAATAATGACAAATTCAATTTGATGGGGGAGGATTCTACCCTTCATGGTATTCATCGCCTTAACCAAAGGAGCTGATTTCTTTGATTTTTTACTAAACCCAATTATCACTACTATCGCAGACCCTAGACTCCTACTGTAAACGAAACACAACTAACGCTATTCTTTTAGACGCTATGCAAAAGACTGAGGTACCCGGAGTCTAAGGCGATTGCGACCGAGTGCATCTTGGAAATAATAAACAATCGCAATTTTCAACTGTATTTCAAGCACAACATCGAGGAGCATTGCAAATTTATCGCCAAAATACTTTTGAAAATCAAGTCGCCCGAACTCTTACACAAAGTTCTAACCAACGAGCAACTGTTTACTCGAAATATGACTTACGGTGAAGATTTTTATAAGAACTTCGTTAGTCACGTGCTCATACCGTTAAGCCTTAGCGCAACAGACGACCAGCAATTGTTTGCAGAGGCCTCTAAGCTGCTGGAGAATGTTCTATTTACGAGAAACTTTAGCGCCTTTACGACGTTCTTTGCCAGTGGCGAGGGGGAGTTTCCGAAGTTGCTCTTCGAGCACTTGCGCAGTACGAACAACGCCCACTTGTACCGCTTGGTGTTCCACGCGTTCTGTAAGTCTTACGCCAAACCTAACGTGATCTACGCGTGTTTCGCGCATCTGGTGGAAGAGGCCCAGAACTCGGTCGAAATTCTGGCCGTGCTGTGCGCCGTGTTAGGCGAGTGCGGCGCGCAGGTCAACGCGAAGGTTGACGGTGCTCGATTCAATGAGTCTTTCGAGAAAATCGTCAAGCTTGTTATAGATAAGGTCGCCCCGTCTAAGGCGACGTACGCGCTCTTACGTGAGGTGATCGCGCTCGATCCGGTCCTGATGCAGAAGAATTTGACCGATATTCTGAGGTACATTTTGTTGCACTCAAGCGGCGGGGTCGAGGACGAATACGCGACGTTTATGCTGTTGCTGTTCGAGGTGTTCGCGAAATTGCATCGCGTTTCGAATTTGCTAACGGCGATGATGGAGGTACTGCAAACATCGGTCGAGCACAACTTGACGATCCCGACCGTTGTGTTGAGCTTCTTTTCGCAGAGCGTCGTGACGTTGCCGAGCTGGCAGGGTCTCGATTTATTTAAAATTTTGCTGACAAACCTGGATAAGGCTGTTGGTAATTTAGGTGAAGGTAAGTACAATTAGGTGGGTAGTAAGGTCCTAGGTATTGGTTAAAGATTTTATAGTTGAACAATGTTGGGTTATTGCTTGATCCAAAGATCATTCTTCACTGTTCGAGCAAGAGGTTGCCTACAATGGAATATTAGTTGCTACACACACAATTGGAAATTTGTTATATATGTATGTGACTCAGTTAGAAGACTTTCGCCATTTAATATTGAAGTTCTAACTGAATTTATTTATATATTATGGAAAAGATTTTTGCTTTTATCATATCAAACAGACACCATATACTTAATTAGATTCAATCGTTCAAGAGTATCTTTAATTTACGGTTCAAGACTCAACATTTCACTTATCAAAGCCCTTGAAGGATACAATCTGTTTTGGATTACTACGTCTAAATTACCCTCTAGTCGTCCAACCTTGGAAAAAAATCTCGTGCACTGTTATGAAAATTCGCACGGCTTGAAATTGGAGTTATTTTCCAGCGTGTAAAAAACGAGACTGAAAAACGTAACTGTCCGCTCTATGGCTAATTGCAGAAAGAATCACCAGATTTTGAACCACCTAGTTCACGTTCTCGTGGGCCAAAAGCGAATATCGACCCGAACTCCTTGACGACCCAAAACCGAATGCCTTAATTTTTTTAATCTTGACCCCGTCCCTACTCATTTCCACTTGACCCACAAAATGGTAATTAGTTAACGCGGATCATTTAGCCTCACGAATTACGCGCGCGCTAGTCATACTCACGGTATTTTAATATTGTAGATTCATAGCTTCCCATGTACTCGAAGTGAAATCATTCCGCTAAATTCAAACTTCGCTGCCCTGGACACGTAAACCCCATTAAGATAGCCTTATCAACTCTTAACGCCCATCAGACTGACACCGTTAACTTCCCTAAGACTTTATAAGGTCATGATGCACACGGAGGTCAGTGGCCCCATAAAATTACAGATCGCCAAATGAATTCGGAAACTATGAACATATAACGACATTTCCGAATAACCAGCCCTGTATACTACCTAACCGCTAACACTAAGGTGCCCTAAATGAAAAAAATCAACCCCTCACGGGACTTCCGTTACGAATTGCCTCCGACAAAAAATTCGTCTTGCGGAAATCTCGTTTCCCTAAAAAACTGCAACCCAAGTAAAATTTTATCCCAGAAATTTCTCTCATAGAATTCTCTTAGTGTTCTTGAATTTTTCTCTCGCAAGAAATAATTTTCCCCGCCGACATAATGGCTCCCCAGAGCCTTGTTCCAATGACGCCTCAAAATTTACAAGAAGACCGTAAAAACACCCCCCCCCCTCCTGGAAAACTAGCCCACCAGAAACTTTCTCCAACCAAAATTCACCCTTAGGGGAAAATCCACTCCAAGGAAATCACCCCAAGTATAATTTTGCTACGAAATTTCGCTCCTAGTGTATATGTTTTGTGAAAGTTCTCTCCTAAGAAAAATTATGCTCCTCGCCTCCCTCAAGAAAATCCCCCCGAAACTTTCGTTGCACATCAAAGAATTTCCCGTAGCAAAAATTCGTCTTCCACTTCTAGCTGCATCTCAAAATAATTGCATTTTAAAAATTCGCCCTCCGAAGTTTTGCCCATAGGAAAAATTCTGCCCCCTCCCCTCCTGGAATACTGGCTCGCCACTAACCAAAATTCGCGTTCAGTAAAAGTGAACCTTGCCCTTGCCCTCGCCCTCCATTCCAAAATCCACTCCCAAGAAAACTCACTCTAGGTATCATTTTTCCACGGAAAATATTCTTCCCTGGAATATGCGTTTTTGGAATTTTCTCTCATAAGAAAAATTCTACCTTCCTCCGTCCTGGAATACTGGCTCACCAGAAACTTGCTCCAACCAAATTGTCGTTTAGGAAAGCTTCAAAATCTTAAAGGAATTGCCTGTAACAAAATTCGTCCTTCGTTCCAAAATGCAGCCTCAAGAAAACTTACCCCAGGTAATATTTGCGCACGGAAAATTTGCCCCTACAGTATTTGTTGAATTTTCCCCTAAGAAAATGTCTGCCTCCCCCCCCCCCCATTCGCCCTTCGCCCTAAAATCCACCCCAGAAAAAACTTGTCGCAGGTAACATTTTCCCAAACCTCTAGAATATTCGCTGATGGGATTTTTTCTCATTGAAAAAATTCTGCCCCCTCCCCTCCTGGAATACTGCCTCGCCAGAAACTTGCCTTAACCAAAATTCGGGTTCGGGGAAAGTGCACCTCAAAAGAATTGCCCTTAACAAAAATTCGCCATCCACCCCCATGAAAACTCACTCCAGGTACAATTTTCCCGCGAAAAATCTCCTTTAAAGGGCTCCCGTTACACATTGCCTTCGACAAAATGCACGTTAAAGAATCCTTGCTTCCAAACATTCGCCCCCAAGAAAATGCAACACAGGTAAAACGAAAACTTCGAACTAAATTTAGTTTCTTCATCTAATTTGGGCTACCATTGACATATGGCTTCAAATCTTTTACATTAAAAACTCCCTTTTTAGCTCCATTTCTATCCTTTAATTCGTAATTCCACGGATTTAAATAAACGTTTGCTAATATAGAAAGGACCTGCATATTTAGGAGCAAGTTTCGTTGTATAATATTTTGATGCATCCGATAGCATAAAATTCTTTTTATACACAGGCTGACCTACCCTAAACTGTTCATCTCTATCCTAAACTATCCCTGACCATCCCTAACTACCCCTGACCATCTCTATACACTATTTCAAATTGCTACAACCCCCAGGAAATCTTAGAGTTAGGATTTAAGAAAAAAATCGTGTTCCTCGCTTCACCCCCCCCCCCCGAACACATGAGGTAAAAAATCAGCCCCCCTCCCCCGAATACTGGATCACCAGAGACTTGTCCTAGCCAAACTTTGGCTCAGGAAAGCTCCCTCAAGAAAACGAAGGATACGGTGGCGCCAAGAGAAGGGTAGTTCAGTACTATAAAGTAGCTAAACAATGCCGTGGGAGTGTGTTGCTAAACAGGCGTAAGTTCAACGTGCTCCCGAGCTTTAGATTTAACATTTCAGGCACTAACCACAATTATCTCCAATTTATCAGCGTCTTCCTGTGCGAATTCCTGTCGAGCGTTCGCATAGCCGATCACGCGGTTCCCGCAAACATCGTCGAGAACTTCGAGAAGCTCATGCTCGAATTGAAGGACGTTCTGCGAAAGTTTGGCACGACCTTGGTCGGCGTCGAGCACGTAAGTGTCGCGTCGAGAGGTGCGATCGTTTACGCTCTTTACTTTCAGAGGCCGAGCTTGATGCGTCTGTACTTGAACGTGTGTTTTAAATGGGGGGAGCTCTACATGGTGCTCGCTTATTACAGCAGCGATGTGCGGCTCAAGAGGCAGCTTGATAGTGATCCCTCGGCGTGCAACGTTACTTACTTGCACTCGTATTTGAACACGGCGCAGTGGCGCCTAATTTCGCAGAGGATCGCGAACTTCGGGGAGAAACCTTGCAAGAAAATCATGGTAACGTCGACTTTTGGGGGCACTAAATCAAGTTTCAGTTGCAGAATAGTCTATGCGTTCAAAAGCTGCGCGCGATGAACCTGTTTGAGGCCGAGGTCAGCAGCGAGGCGACAACAGCAGTCGCGGCTAACCTCATGTCGTCAATCGACGAACAAGACTTGCTCTTCGACAACTTCGTACTGAACAACATCATCGTGCCGAGCTCAGGCGTCGAAATCGCCGAGCTTCTCGTGAAGACGTCGGCGGCGTCGGGCGATTTCGACCAATTGCGAACGATCGACGCCAACATTCCCCTAGTTCGCGAAATCCTCCGCGTTTGCTTCGACAAACTGAACGGCGCGTTCGCGAAGAAAACGCGCGGCGCATGCGCAACCTCACGAATGCTCGGCCGCTTCGATAAGGTCACGTTCCGTGCGTCGGAGATGGCCTGCGAGCTGAATCGAGCGGACCAGACCCTGCAGGTTAACGAAAGGAAGATCTCGCGATACTTGCAGATGATCAAGTCCGTTCCGATTCCGCAGTTAGACGACAGAAGCATGCAGGAGGCGGTTTTGATGTTTCTGATCGGTCTCTCTTTAGATTTGCGCTGCTGCGCGCTGCAAGATGGCGACGTCACGAAGCTGTTGGAGAGTATTGTCATTGGTCGGTCAGTATACTAAGCTGACTCAAAGTGGTCACGTCATTTTTAGGAATCCTCCAAAACTCGGCCATTCTAAACCGATTCTTTGAACCGAACGTGATCCTCGCGATTGTCAACAACTTTGAAGCGTACTCGGATATTTTTACGATCATCATGGAGGGAGTGCTCAAGAATAAGTCACGATTAGAACTGTTTCGGGAGATTGTCGGGCAATTTACTCGAAATATCGACAATCGAAGGTATAGGGACTGTGCAGTTATCCTTTTAAATTATGTGGATAAGGTAAACTGAGGAGCTCTCGACTGCGGAGACAACGTTTTCATTTGCAGGTGAAGACCAAGGTGGCCATTACTGAGAAGCATCTCCATAACGAGTATCGCGAGGAAATCTGCAAGTGTCTTTTGCCGTTTTTGTTAAAGAATTCTTTAAGTGCGGAAGACACGCTGGAGGCGTACGCGTTAACGTTAAAGTTTTATTTAAATAGCGACTCGAAGCAAGTACTGGAAGAGCTGTTACCATTGCTACCGAAGTATCTTGATGCACTTGTAAGTACAAGTAGTTTCTGGAAATGCATTCGGGCTGGTCTTTACAACTTCTTAGGTTCAAGTTCTTAATCCCATACGAGGCTCGATCCTGCTGCTGACAGTGATGATACATAAAAAGGCAACCTTTGAAAGTATAGTCGATGACGTGGCATTAAAAGTTTGGGACTGCTGCAACCACCTCACAGTGAACGACGAGGACCACGAGCGCTTTGTTAAAGTGGTTCAGGTGACCCTTCAAATGATTACCCATGAAACATTTGCGAAAACCTCATCTGACCTCGTCAGCCGCTGCGTACGTAGCCCTCTGTTTTGTTCTTGAAAATCATGCAACTTCTTAGGAAAAGGCGATTGACCACAAAGAAACAATTCGAGACGAAGTCAAAATGTGGAACGCAATCTCTGCGTGCGACCTCAACTCTGCCCAAACGAAAATTTGGCAGAACAACCTGGAATCTTTGCTATGCCGAACGATTTTGACCAACACCGAGTACAGCGACACCATCTTCGAAGACATCATCACCCTACAAATGTCGTTTATCAAAAACTCGCATGTAAGCTCCCCCTCGTCTTATCCAGACCCTTACGGCCATGTTTCAGTTCGTGCTCTCACCGTCCCTAATCGAAGTCGTCTTGATTACGATCTCGAAGCTAAACGCGAGTTACACTAACTTCATCAAGTCGCTCAACTTGAGCATATCGCTACTCGAGACCTTAGTGAAACATCGCAAGACCGTAATCAGCGACTACCTACCGCCGTACCTGCAGCGCTATCGAACGGTACTAACCCACTTGTGCGCCCGTAGCAACACAAACCTAAAATTGGACCCCGAAGCCGTTCGGACGTTGGCGAACTGCGCGCACAGGTTCGAGCGGCTAACGAAGGCCCTGCAGGTGTTCGATAAGTCGATGACGCGTATCGCGCCGTATGTTATCGCGGACATCTTAAATCAGTTTGAGAAGGTCACCCTGTATCCGAACGTAAAGGTCGGTAAAGCCCACCCCGAATCTTTTTCTCCAATTGAATATTTTTTTTTGCAGATTCACCTAGGCAACAGTGTATACCAACTGATGCCGATGTGCGACGAGCACGGCGTGGCGTTTCTAAAACGGATCTTAAGCGCCGCATCGACGGAAATGTTCAAGATTATTTCCGACAATTACAATAAATATTACAAATTTACTGGAAAAGTGTGACTTAAATACAATCTTTGTTTAATCACAATGTGTTTACTTTGCGTGAGGGTTACGGATCCCTCCCCGCCTAAAGGCGCCTAGGCACTGCGCGTTCTTGCAATTCTCCATTCAATTTCTCTCTTTGGATTCTTAAATGTTTCAGATCCTCTTCAAATTTCTCAGAATTGGATTCTTCAGTTTTCATATATTCCCATCAGATTCTTCGTATTTTTTCGTCTCTTCCTATTCTTGGAGTTGTTCAATTTCTTCATATTCATCAGTTTCTTTAAATTCATCCGGTTTTTGGAATTCGTTGTAATGTTCCTAGGGGGGTCTATCAAGCCGACACGGAAAACGTTGACTTACCCTATACTTACGGTTGGCAACTCTGGCAAAAACTACAAGCAGAGCCACCTACCTTTCAAGTCGAAACGATGGTAGTCTCGCGGCACTTTTGAATTTAGATGGCAGTCGGCTCGATATGGGTGGCACGAATGAACTCCTACGTTGTGTAATCGGTTCTTTTATGTGTAGGGACGTGAGACATAATGAGGAAGGGAATTAAATAAAAGACAGAACTTTTGTGCGCAAGAAATGACAAGATCAAATAAATATATGAACGCACACACAAGACCATGCCAGGGAAACCTTCTACGGGACTAAAACCCTGGCACAGGCCACACAAATACATGAAATAAATCACCTACAGCAATAAAATGCAAGAGAAAATACACATAAATAAAACCTCTCAAATGGTATGATAAAAATCAGATAATCAAATCAAATGCAATTAAACAAGTTCATAAAAACAAAATACATAAGACATCATAAATGCAGTGGAAAACATGATAAATCAATTCAGTACAAAAACACATCAAAATACCTGCACGATCAATAGAGATAACACAACTAGTCAAATAAACAAATTGCATGTACATAGGAAACATGTAAATGGTGTGGCTCTACTCCAGCCTTCCGTTCACATAATTTAATTTACCACGAAAAGTACATGTGAGAATGCCATTGGTCAATAGCAAGTATTCATGTGAAAATCGATTATCGCTCAAACAGAACATATTTTAAATAGAGGAAATTTTAATGAGAGGGCCCCCACTTTTATTGCTAAGATGTTAAGAACTACAATCCGCACGAGGCGAGTAGGCAACAGATACAGTGAAAGATCGAACTGCATTAGGTACCTACTCCACGGAGACAGAATGACCCACTCGCACACACAAGCATCGAAACATCAAATAAAAGAGCCCCCCTTTCGTAATAGCTAACGCGCAAGAACTGCAGCGCGCCACGAAACAGAAAGTAACAGATACAGCGAACCATCAAACTGTATTAGGTACTTCCCTCAATCGAACAGACAACATCACACCGATAATCAACTCCTCATGAATAACAGAAGTAAATACTTAATTAAACAAAATAATGGCATAATCATCTGTACAGTATTACAAACACGATTCATCTAACGGTACTCGAAACAAAGGCATGGAGTACGCCATGATTCAGATATCGTAGTTTATGCAAAATCAGCAAAATGTAAATAATATCAAATTGTGGCAAGAAATTCAATGATTAATATCTAGTACAAGAAAGAATAAAATGGTTACTACCTGTAAATACACCTTCAAAACACCACCACCAAAAATAATCAAGAATAATAAAAAACCGGGAAAGCGTGTGCCTTCCGGTCGACCTCGCCGCCATCTTCTCCATTCTCCCCTCGTTACCAAAATCCCCTAGTATTCGGCATCCGCGCAAAACGGTCGTTGGTGATATACAGAGCATATTATATTTTTGTCTCAGCTGTAAACGTGTGTTGCCTAACCATCAGGGTGGATTATCACATCGTCTAATTCATCCGATTTTTGAGATTAAAATTCTTCGAATTTGTCTGCTTCAGTTTCATCTGATCCTTTGCCATATTTGAATTGTTCTTCAATTTTCTCAGATTCTTCAAATTCATCGGATCCATTACTAACCCTGGATCGTTTTTTTAGGATACTTCTGCTTCATTTTCTTCCCCCTGTAGTGTACTTAACCCCCAGGTTCTACGCTAACTTCACACTACAAGAACACGGAAATAAAGTCAACCCGGCAACGTTTAAAAATGGCCACTCGAATGACTGTTTCCTCCAAAACTAAACAAGATCCCGCTTAAATTTGAAAAGTGGCACGTGATCAAACATCTAAAGCAGGGCCCCCTTACGTTAGTTGTAAACAACGCTTTGACCTGACGCACAGTAGGGAAAGAGCATAAAATAAACACTGAAATTGTGAAAAGTTTGTTTAATAATGATCGCATTTATTAAGATTGTGAAACCTCAGAAATTTAAGTCGAAATAAATTACATTGCAAAAATAAACTTTGGAAATAGTAGTTCACCGAATAAAAATGGAAATAGGCTGGGAAAAAAAGAACTTACAAATAAATATCAAATTGTGTTGTAAAATTAATTGTTTGTAATGATGTGAATGCGTAACATAAAATTATAACATCACAAAAAGTAGCAGGTAAACTTCAAGAGGTATCATATAGGTTAAAAACAAGTTTTGGGAATTATGGGTCAGGAAGCGGATATCAAGATTCTAAGAAAGGGTGAAATACACAGGATGTGACTCATCTTTGGTGCAATTAAGTCCTTTGGTTAAAAGCAAGATGGAAAATTGCATGGCCTTGTAGGCAAATTTAACTAAAAACAAGATAGGTGGAAATTATTAAATCGCCACTCATTTATCGCACATAGATTCTAAACTGAAGAGCTTTGATTAGCGTAATCCCGCTCCTGCAAGATAGGTAACCCGCCCATGGTTTCGAGCCTGTACTGATCTTAACCCACCCCAGGCTCGAAGTGAAGATGACAGATTTCACGGTAAAGTGGCAACGTTGCAATCCCAGTATCAAAACACGGTTCCCGCTCAAAATTCAAAAAGAATGGCACGTGATCCGATCGTGTAAGGTAGGGCCCCCTTACGTTACACGAAGCTAATACAATGACTCGGGACCCAGTCGGGCAGGAACACTCAAATAAAACACTGTAATGTCTGCGAGTTTATTTATTAGAAAAACCTTGGCCTTGAATATAAAACCCAGACTATGCTAATCACAGCAAATTAAAACACCAACCACCTAAGCAGAACATGTGACACTACCTTAATTAATTAATGAATTCAAGTAGCAAGGTGCGTTTGAACAGTATGCGTAGAGTATTCGTCACAACATGTCATGTACTTTCCTTTAATCGCGGCTAGAAGGCAACTCACTTTTTAGTTAGTCATTGGGTGGGGAACCTGGTTATTCGTTAGGTTTGGGCAGGGTTCGGAGGATATATATCAAGTGATATATATCACTTGATATATGTATATCAGATATATTCAATAATAAACTGTAATATAGTATTGATCCGTTTGGCTGCGGCGCGAGCTTCGCCGATCGGGTACTCCCTTATTGCAGATCAGAGCTGGGCAGTATTCGATTTTGTAAATACTTTTTAGTATTCAAATCCCTTAAAGTATCAAATACTTTCTAATTAAATACTTTTATGGAAACAGTATTTGTATTTGTAACTCAAATACTTTCACAAATATTTAGTGATCGAATACTTGGCAAGGTATTTGAATACTTTGAGAAGTATTCGAATACTTCGCATAGTATTTGAATAATTAACCTTCCTTTTTTACTTTTTCGATTAGACTTCTCAATCAAAAGTTAGACTAGAAACCAATTTCGAAAAAAAATTCAAAGGGCTGTAACTTTTGAACTAGTAGCCCAATCTTGGAACTGTTTTAAATTATGGATTCTACAGGCCACATTCTATAAGAAAATTTTTTTCCGGGTCGATCTGAGACAATTTTTTTTTCGGAGCTCAAAAAAAGGCAGTGTATAACCTTCCTTTTTTACCAAAAATCGACTGCACCAAAATTTCTCGGGAAAACACCTTTTCTTATTAATTTTGGTGCGTAGAATCCAAAACAATTCGTACGTTTTCGATTAGACCTCTCAATAAATAGTTATGGACAAAAAACAAATTTCGAAAAAAAATTCAAAGGGCTGTAACTTTTGAACTAGTAGCCCAATCTTGGAACTGTTTGAAATAATGGATTCTACAGGCCACATTCTATTGGAAATTTTTTTTCCGGGTCGATCTGAGACCATTTTTTTTCCGGCCTCAAAATCCCGCTCCTGCAAGATAGGTAACCCGCCCCTGGTTGAAGACAATCACAGAATTAGGTGTCTTAGCTCAATTTTGACTACAGTCCCATCCCCGTGACTGCTTCATTCACTCAAAAGCTCTTTCACTACGTGTCCAAGAATCTTCGCTTCAACAAGAAACTGTTTTAACTTGTCCTTGACTTGTGAATTCACAGATTTCACTGACTTCTCAGACTTGGACTTCTTAAAGTCCCGCTTATAATGGCCTAACTCTCCACATTTGTAACATTTTGGAACAAACTTCTTTGACTTGTGCTGGCTTTGCTGAGCTTATTTTTACTGGCGTTACAGTCGTATCTTTAAAATGCCTTTGCAAAATCTTCTGGTGCCCACCTGTTTAGATTCAGATATTGGCTTTTAGGGAATAACTGATATAGCTCGTACAACAGGCCTTTATATAAAAGACAGATTAACCAAATGCAAATTTTATTCGTACATGATTTAAGTAAATTACACCCAAAGATACATTTTTCTGTCATTAACAAACATTGTATAAAAATAACAACGAATAATAAAACTCTTACAAAATCAAAACGTGTAAAATAAAGTACTGTCAAGATTGGCATCATTTATACGTATATTATATACCTAACAATTGGCCTCAAAGACTTAAGTGAATACACTGGGTATATATAAAGTTAACAAGAATAGATAGATATATAGCATTTTTTATATAATATAGAAATACGTGAGTTAAGGCACCGCAAGCTAAACATTGTGCATTTTTTTTTGTATTTTTTTACCTACACTATGCACACCTAGCCAAGCTTTCTTTTAGCACCTGAGATTTAAGGAATCAATACCTCGAATTGTTGGTAGCTGATTTCTTGGCCTCCGTAGGAAATGTAGCAGCAGTTGTGGCTACGTTGAACTTTGCCAATGGTGGTCGAGCCCTGGTGATGGGCGCGGCCAATGTAGAAGGGCTCGCCGGTCTCGCTTTGTCCGCCGACGATGGCGTTGGGCGGAATATTTCCGGCGCTGCAAGGCACCCACCTGCCGTTGAAGTGGCACAGGACCTCGTACTGTTGGACTGCGTTCTCGTTACCGCCCCAAGCTACGTAAGCGCTACCGTGGCTCGGCGCGAGCTTGCCGGGGATTACGGCGCCCTGGAAGTGGCCCTTGATCACGTACAGAGGTTCGCCGTTCGTATCGTTTCCGCCGACGAAAGCGCCGGGTGGCACGCTGCCGCCGCTCGCGCTAACCCACTGGTGACCGCCGCCGTAGTTGCCGCCGAACGATTGCGGCTGGGGCGCCCCGTAACCGGGCTGCTGGTAACCGGGGGCGCCGTACTGCGCCTGGGGCGCGCCGGGATAGCCGCCCGCGGGAGGGGCGCCGAAGCCGGGCAAGGGCGCGCCTTGCTGAATTATCCACGAGCCGGAGGCACCCCAGCCGGTGCACACGCCGACGTAGCGAATCGGAATGTGCTCGGTGTCGGTCCAGCTGATGAAGGGCTGCGCGTTGTTCTCGCATCCGCACGAGATCGTGTTGTTGTCCCAACGTACCCAGAACGTGCGGAACTCGCCGGCGTTCAGGATGTTCGGCGTCGGCACCTCGGCGCGATCGGGCTTGGTGCGGTTCTTGCGAATCACCGATCGCTGATTTCCCCATCCGCCGATGAAGACCTCGTACATCGGATCGTGCTCGGCGGCCGAGGTGGTCAACGCGATGTGGGCGTCGTTCGAGGTACGCACCTTGAAGCGTACATAGCCGCAGTCGTTGGGGAAGAAGGTGTATTCAAGTCTGTCGGCTGTATTAAGCTCTGAAAAACGAAGGTCATTAATAACAATCCAAATGGTACAAGTGCCAAACAGTGCCTCGCACACAAGTTGAGTTTTCCCCACCACTCGTAGCCGCTCTTGATTTTGGCTCTTTTTCAGACCAGGGTTTGGGTTACTTTGAGGACGACTAAGTTTAAGAGCTCTACTAGGTTGGAGAAATCGGCTTTTGCTTTGGAAGGGGGGAGGGGGGCTGCATCTGCAGAAGCTGAAAACCGAAGAAACAGAAGGCTTGGAAAAATGATGCGCTTGCCGAGCGAGCCGATGGCGAGTTCGACACTCAATTTGCTGAATTTTGCTGATTACTGCTTGTGAGAAATTTACTGACCAAAAAACTTGTGCGGACATGATTTGAAGCCGGCAACTTTTAATCATTTGAAATTTTGCGTATGAGCTGGTATCAGAAGGGTAGAATGGAATATCTATCATTTTTGGCAGCAAATCCACTCAAATGTCCTGTCCGTACAGAACGTATTTATATGGGTCATATTGAGGCTTAAGCGCTAATGATTGCCGAGCGAGCCGAAGGCGAATTCGACTCCCATCTTACTGCCGTCTTTTTTGTAAAAAATTTACTGAGTATGCAACTTCTCTGGAAGTGTGGGTCGTATCAGGAGGGCAGAATGTGTGAATTAACTGTAATTATCTGATGAAATAAATAGTTCTGTATGGGCAAAACTAATTTTGCTGGCGTACATCCCATTTTGCTGCTTTACTACTTGGGTCAAATAATTGAAGTTTAAGCGCTAACGATTGCTAAGTGACCCAAAGGCCAGTTCGGCACTCATTTTGTTGTATCAGGAGGGTAGAATGTGTGCCGAACTCGCCTATACATAACATTCTTGATGCAAATTCACTCAAAAATGAATCTTGTCCATAGAGAACTTGTTTATATGGGTCAGATAATTGAATTGAAGCTTAAGCGCTAATTTCACTTGTTTTGCTGGATTTTGCTGCTTACTGATTGTGAGAAATGTACTGATCCAGCAGATCTCATTTAAAATTTTGCGTATGGGTTGTATCAGAGGAGTTAAATGTGTGGAATTGGAATATGTAACAATTTTGACAGCAAATCCACCCAACAATTTTTCTGGCCCATACAGAAGAGTTCTTATGGGTCAGGCAATTGAAGCTACAGCGATAACGATCGCCGATCGAGCCGAAGACAAGTTCGGCACTCTTTTCGCTGAATTTTGCTGCGTACGGTTTGTGACAAATTTACGGGCCCAGCAACTTATGCAGATCTCATTTTGCATATGAGCTGCTTCAGAAGGTTAGATGTGTGCCGAACTCGCCTTCGGCTCGCTCGGCATTGAAATAGACAACATTCTTGACAGCAAACCCACTCAAAAATTGTTCTTGCCCATACATAACGTGTTTATATGGGTCAGATAATTGGAGCTTAAGCGCTGTCTGCCGAGGGAGCACTCATTTTGCTGCTTATTGTTTTTGTAAGAAATGTACAGAGCAAGCAACTTTTGTGGACATCACTTGAAATTTTGTGTATGAGTCATATCAGGAGAGTAGAATGTGTGCCGAACTCACCTTCGGCTCGCTCGGCATTAGTAACATTCTTGAAAGAAAATCCACTCAAAAATTATTCTTGTCCGTACAGAACTTTTTTATATGGGCCAGATAATTGGCGCTAACTCACTCACTTTGCTGAATGTTGCTGTCGACTTTTTTGTAAGAATTTTACTGAGCAAGCGACTTACGCGGACTTGAAATGTTGTGTATGAGTCTTATTTTGCTGGCGTACATCACACGGTTAGCTGAATTTTGCTGATTTGCTACTTGTGAGAAATTTATTGAACCAGCAAGTTATGCAGACATCACTTGAAATTTTACTTACGAGTTGTATCAGAAGGGTAGAATGTGTGCCAAATTCGCCGTAGGCTCGCTCGGCATTGGAATATCTAACATTTTCGACAGAAAATCTACCCAAAAATTCTTGAGCATACAGAACTTTTTTATATGAGTCAGATAATTGAAGCTAAATTTTGCTGCTTGCTGTTTATGAGAAATGTACTGACCCAGCACATATAAATTGAAATTTTACGAACGAGTTGTATCGGGAGTGTAAAATGTGTGTCGAACTCGCCTTCGGCTTGCTCGGTAATGGAACACGTGACATTCTTGATAGCAAATCCACTCAAAAAAGATTCTTGTCCGTAAAGAACTTTTGTATATGGGTCAGACAATTAAACCTAAAGTGCTAATGCACTCGTTTTGCTGAATTTTGCTGTTTGTGGGAAATTGACTGTTCCCGAAATTTTCCGTATGAGTTGTGTCAGAAGGGAGAGATGTGTGCCTTCGGAATATCTCACAAACTCCAGTCCAAACGATTGATAACATCAGATAATTGGAACTACAACGCCAAAGGTTTTGCTGAATTTTGCTGCGTGCTGTTTGTGAGAAATTTACTGACCCAGCAACTTACGCAGACATCACTTGAAATGTTGCGTATGAGGTAGTATCAGAAGGGCAGAATGAACAGCAAATCCAGTCAAAAATTATTCTTGTCCATACGGAACTTTCGTATACGGGTCCAATAATTGAAGCTAAAGTGTTTTGCTTAATTTTGCTGCCGACTTTTTTTGTACCTTCGGTGGACATCACATGAAATTCTGCGTGAGTTGTATCATAAGGGGAGAATGAACAGCAAATCCAGTCAAAAATTATTCTTGTCCATACGGAACTTTCGTATACGGGTCCAATAATTGAAGCTAAAGTGTTTTGCTTAATTTTGCTGCCGACTTTTTTTGTACCTTCGGTGGACATCACATGAAATTTTGCGTTAATTGTATCATAAGGGGAGAATGAACAGCAAATGCCAGTCAAAAATTATTCTTCTCCATACGGAACTCGTATACGGGTTGATAATTGAAGCTAAAACCTTCGGTGGACATCACATGAAATTCTGCGTGAGTTGTATCATGAATTGTCAGTACGGACCTTCGCGGGTCAGATAATTGAAGCTAAGGCGTTTTGCTGAATTTTGCTGCCGACTTTTTTTGTACCTTCGGTGGACATCACATGAAATTTTGCGTATGAGTAGTATCAAAGGGCAGAAGTGACTCGGAAGTAGAAATTTGTTGTCTAGGCGCGTGGAAACACCACGGAAACTATTAATTTCCCTGTCAATCAAACAAGAGAGCCCAATTTGGGGGGGGGGGGGGGTCGCATTAAAATAACCAAAGTTTCTTGTGCAAGCTCTTTATTGACAAACACATTAAAGTTATCAAAATAAATTATTTAAATAATGAGTACAAACAGTCTCCAAACAAATCTCATTGCTACTATCGGTAACAAATTTGTGCAAGTTATACAAAAATAAACCCGATACAAGGCATTAATAACATTCAATAAGGCACCTAAAAGCCGTAACGTGCAAAATTTTGATTATATTTTATCGATTAACAAGTGTAGCAGGTATGCCGACGGAGGAAGCTTAGGAGATGAGAATTTCGTACTGGTGGAAGTTCATCTCTTGACCTCCGTATGGGATGTAACAGCAGCCGTGACTTTGCTGCACCTTTCCGATGGTGAGGCTCCCCTCGTGCATGACGCGACCCACGAATAGGGGCTCGCCGTCCTCGCTTTGGCCGGCGGTCAGCGCGTTTGGTGGAATATTGCCCTCCGAGCAGGGGACCCAGCGTCCGCCGAACTCGCAGAGGACTTCGTAGTCGGCGACGGCGTTCTCGTTGCCGCCCCACGGTACGTACGCGGTTCCGTGACTCGCGACTAGCTTGCCCGGGATCAGCCCGCCCTCGTAGTTGCACCGCACCACGTAGAGAGGTTCGCCGCTGGAATCGTTTCCGCCGACGAACGCGTGCGGCGGCACGCTTCCGCCGCTCGAGCCCACCCAGCAGGAGCTGCACGCGCTCGATCCGAAACCTCCCTCCGCGTATCCCGGCAGGGGCGCTCCCTGGTTGATTATCCAGCAACCGGTCGAGCCCCATCCGGTGCAGACGCCGACGTAGCGGATGGGTACGTGCTCGCTATCGGTCCAGGTGATGAACGGTTGCGAGTTGTTCTCGCATCCGCACGAGATGGTGTTATTATCCCACCGAATCCAGAACGAACGGAATTCGCCAGGATGTAAAATGTTCGGCGTCGGCATTTCGGCGACGTCGGGCTTGGTGCGGTTTTTGCGAATCACCGACTTCTGATTGCCCCATCCGCCGATGAAGATCTCGTACATCGGATCGCATTCGGCGGCCGACGACGTTAACGCAACATGGGCGTCGTTCGCCGCTCGTACTTTAAATCGCACGTAACCGCAGTCGTTCGGGAAAAAGGTGTATTCGAGTTTGTCTTCGGTGTTTAGTTCTGCAAGAGGATGGTTATTAGGGGGTGGTCGAGATTGTTAATCGAATGAGCCGGTGGTTTTTACCTCGCAGTCTTTTGGTTAGTGCGTGTGTTATGAAAATGAGTGCACACTCGGTCAAGATTTGTTAAATTGCAAGCGCCATTATTCTGAAAATGCCATCATACAAAGTACTATAATAAATTGTTTACAACAAAAGGAAGGATAAAGTGATACTTTAACAATAAGGGTAGATAAGTAGTAAGAACAAAGGAATGCGCAATCTACATCCCTACAAAACGTCAAAACAATTGATAGTAATGGAAAAACTGCAACAAGGTGTTATCGATCAGTCATCTTTTAAAAATTGAACACCGTGTATATTGCTACATGGGAAGATTTTGAAGATAATAATAATGTCCGAAGAAACAACTGAATCCATCAGAAACAAAACTCAAAGGATTCTTAGTTTTTGTTTTGATAACGATCGGCTGCATCTAATTTGTGAAGCAGAAATGTTTTAAATGCAACCCCCCCCCCCCCCTAGCCAGCAAGTCAAAATAATTTTGAAAATGTATATTGCTGCAATTGCATCGTTTCAAAAATTAATCAAAGCTGGTGTATGAACAAATTAGAACCAGTACACAGTGGCGTAGCTAAAGGGAGGGGTGGGGGTAGAGGTTATGGAATTACCAGAATGTCCTTCGGACTCATGAAATCTTAGGGTCGTTGTAGTCTATAAAGTTACTTATATTTAAATTTTTTGAAATCTTTGCCGTCTTTTGATTTCCTTTAGACTTCCACTCTCACAGATTTGAAGGCTGTTATAGTGTCTTGACCCACGAAAAACCTAACCTTGATTTTAAGTGCATAAAACATGATTTGGAAGATGTCAAAATGTTAATTTCAGTAGGAAAACGTCCAAATCAATTTTACGCATGCGCATTTTGATCAAAAGATATTGAAATCCATTTGAAATCATTATTTATATTATCTGCCCCCCCCCCCCCCCCCTCATACTCTCGTTTAGAGGTGTGCAATCTTGGGGAGGACGTACCCTACGTATAACTTTTATGCTGCCCCCCCGGTCCCTGCAATCAAACGCCCCCCCCCCCCCCCGCTACGTTCCAATGTTACTTGGTAAGATTTTGTTGCACAACAATTTGTATGATGGCAATATTTTCAGAATAACCAATGAAATGACGTTCCATACGGGTGCAATAAAAAGCCAGATGGTACAAAGTCAAAACCAATTTACCTGCTAAGTGGACTCCGGAACTCGTTCATTATTTTCGCTCGCACTGCCACTAAGAGCCTAAAACTATGTGGAGATTTGCCAAAAAATGCCTTGGGGACAACGAACGCGAACGTATTTACGAGCCACATCTGCCGATTTTTCAAATAAATTAAATCTTGGTAACGTCTATTATTAGAACGGAAGGTCGAATTTGTATTAATACCCATTTTCAATTGCCTCTCCCATAGAAATGCCGTTGATTAACGTAGGCTTTCGTTAATTAATTCGAATAAACGCGGCCAATTTTCCGGGCCCAAAAAACGAATACGGGCCTACGCCAAGGTAGGCCCTGACCCAAAAGACTTTCGGGGTCAGCGCGCGAAATGTGTCAAACGGGTTGCCTGGCAACCGGGCGCGCTAATTACCCGGATAGCGATTAAGTTACCGGCATCATTATAAATAATGCAGTAATCGGGCGTCTGATTTAAATGTTGAATAACGCGATGACACGGTTTCTAAAAATAAACGCGCAACGCAAGGTTGAAATGGTCAGTGGAGGCCATCATGGGCGTGTCGAAACGCAAGAAATTTTCCAATTTCGCCGGGTACCTCGAAAAATTGGCGGCAAAAAACAAAACAACTGAATGCGAGGCAAAATCCACCAATAGCCGACAATAAACCAAATGTTAACTTACCGATATCGCCCATTTTGTTAAAGGTGGCAGTAGTTCAAACGTACTCACTACAAGAACACACAAACTCAACTGAGGAATCCGCAAAATGTCTTTCCTATAAATTGGTTCACGTTTGCGCAATGAAAATTGTTAGATATTTTTACGATGTCCGAGCGCTTCGGGGTGGAGAGAGGGGGACGTTATACGGTCATGGTTGAAAAAGTGTGTGATTCTCTTCGGGGGGCGATGAGTCATCAAAGCTAGCGGTACAAGTGATCTAGTTGTCAACGCATCAATTACTGATTATTTTGTATTCGTACACGTCGAAAGGGCAATTTTTCCGCCTGTTTTGCTCGGCGGAAGTTAAAAAATTGCAATTAAGCATCAATTTTTTCAAAACCGCCGATGCAATCTTACTCCCCAACTACGACGCCATCGCACGTGATTCAGAAAGAGATGGGAGCAGTTGGAATTGATTCATAAATTGATGACGTAGAAATATTCTATGCGATGACGAAATCAAGGATGATGATGTTTTATTCCATCCATCCATCCGTCTGTGTGTGCTTTCGGTCACTTATTTAGGATCATTAAAATGCAGGAAAATGAATTCTTGTGGTTCACCATTTGACCTACGCTCAAATTGCACCATCATCGGACAGCCAGACGGAAAATATAATTTCATAAAAAGCTTTCTTTCTCACGTTGTTTTTAATAAACAAGGGACAGACTTTGTTATTGAAATTTTAGTTTCTGTTGAATATTAATTATGCATGTGTACTAAGCATAAATTCTAATTAGACAACGTTTTAATTAAAATGCAAAAAAACTGAAAATATGTACCTACATTTGCAAACACCTTAAAAATGGCGACTATGAGATTCAAATTTTTATTATTTACCCGAAACCTTTGCGAAAAACATTATAGAACATCGGAATTTTTAATCCCGTCGTCTATATAACCATTTTATTTATAAACGAATATAATACAATGGTATAACTGAACGTGTGTGATAAAATTCACACCCAGAAATATTCGCCCTCAGAAAGTTTGCTCCCGGAAAATTTGCTTCCCTTGTCAAATGTACCTGGGTCCTCTGGGACAGTATCTCGAAAGCAAATTTTTGTGAGGGGGTGGTTCAAATTCGTTGCTCGATGGGGGCAAAGTTATCCCTTGTTGTGAGTAAAGAAATTTTTGAAAATAACGCCATATTGGATTTTTATGGAAGACAAATTTTACATTCATTTCTCAACAAAACATCCATATAAGGTAACTAAGTAGATCTTGTTGAATCAACAAAGCTATGATGGCGATGCATTCAAATGTTTTTTTGTCCTCTCTCTTGTTCCGTAAAAATCCAATATGGCGTCCATAAGAAACAAGAGAGTATACTAACCACTGTAGCTTCTACATCTAGCGTGTTATGGAAATTCTGATAACAAATTCAGATTCACCGAAAAAAAGTACTAACGAGAACCGTCCTGCATTTACGACCTTTTAATCTACGGAAAAGGGAAACGAAATTTGACATTTAAAGTTTTTCCGACGGGAATTACCTACCAGAGCGAGTAGGTACATATCCCGCGGAGAACGTACCTATAGTCTTGATATAAAAGGGGATGAGACTACATTTATTGTTGATTCCTATATGAACTCTATAGCCTCAATTACGAATTGCGACAATTGCAAATTGTTGCAACAATCGTTTCCGTGGATATTAATTATTAAACCATAGGTAACCCTAAACCCGGATTAAATTTGACGGTGCAATTTGCCCTTTTGATCATTTTTTTTGTGCTTTTATTGTTTTGCAGTTTAAATTTTCCTGAATTTTTTTAATTTTTTGAATTCTTTGGAATTCGATGAAATTTTCGCTTATAAATTGTACTGTTATGAATTTTTTTAATTTTCTTTTTTTTTGAGAAGATTTTCTGAATTTTCATTCTAAATATCGTAAAAAAAATATCAAAATGGGACTAATAGAGAAGCTACAATGGGAAAAATACTATAAAAGAAACAAAACAGCAATAGCGCAGAAACTAAATAAAGAACATATAGTAAAGCTAAAAAAAAACATTTCATTTTCGTTTCTTTTAGTTCGCTGTTTAGTTCTTTTGCTTTCTTTATAGTACCCGTTTGATCTGTCTCGTTATAACCAATTTTCCGAAGGCCAAATAGGCACTGAAAAGAAATTAAGACGAGAAGTAAAAAAATAAGGATCAATAAGGAAGATAAAAGAGATGCTTAAGAAACAATATAAGAAATTAAAGAATGGAGAAAGGACAAGGAAATAAAAAATTAAATAGAAAGCCAAAAAACAAAAGCGGAACCAAAAAGAAGTAAAGATGGCATAAGTAAAAAAGGAGTAAAAAGAAATTATAGATGAAATGAGAACGAATTAAAAACTAAAAATAGCACCAATAAGCAACTGAAATGGAAGCTAAAAAACCACATTTAAAAAAACAAAGGAAGGGGCCAGATAGAGAAACATAAACTAAACACAAAACTAAAAAAATAGCTAAAAAAGAGCTAAGGAGGATACTAAAAGGTACCCTAAAAATTATACAAGAAAAACTAATTAATAACACTAAGGAACTCAAAAGAAAATTCAACTAAGGGAAATAGAATTGCAACTAAATGCCAGGAATTAAAAAAATTAATACTAAAAAAGGAATTAAAAATGATAACAGAAACGGAAAAGAGCTAAAAGTAAAAGGCGGGCTAAAGGAACAGCTATTAACAGAACAAACAAAAAATGAAAAAGGAGCATAAGTAAAGGAATATTAAAATTACGTCAGAAAATTAGGCAGAAACGCAACTCAAGATAACAATAAAAACAATTAAAATGAGAAACTAAAAGTCAAACTAATAAAGAACAAAGAGCTAAAAATTAGACTAAGTGGGGATAAAATATAACTAAGTAAGAATGAAACAAAAGAAAATCAGTAAACAATAACTTATCAAAAATAGCACATTACATACAGTGTGTCCACGGATTGAGTGCAAATAGATATAGCATATAGATGTAGATATCCGAAACCAAAAAAGGATCCAAATCGCCCAGAAAATTGAAAATCGGACTATTGAATCCAAAAAATAAATTAATAAATATGTGCATTACCCGGGGGAAATCCCAAGATCATGATCTTGTGTCGTCACAAAAAGTGATGGAGATGGTGTCTCACTTCTACTAGCTAAAATGATCCTTATTCTTCCTCTTTTTATTCGCGCCCACCCTTGCTCGCGCCCAAACGGTGGTTTCGGTTCTACTTTGTAAAATCAAATCATAAGGTTAATTGACAAAAGAGATTTTAATGAATATAATAGGAAATCCAATTGTAATTTACAAGTCAAGGCGGAGCAGTAGTTGGGGAACGACGGCGAAACGACGGCAGGAGACAGCGGAACGGAACTGCACTCGGGCGCCACCAAGGGATGCTGCACCTTGTATTAACGGTCTACGACGGTAGGCTCCAAGTAAACACAAATCAATTAACAGTGCTTAGTGAAATTAGTAGAAATTAGTAGAATTAATTAGCTACCGCTTATTACGTTAATTTGCCGGATAAAATTTCTTAATTCGTAATTCCAATTAACACCCGCTGCATTCTCTCTGTGTAACCTGCATGGCCTTGCAGTTTTAATGCTCGATTTAAATCAACCAAAGTAACCTGCTTAACGGAGCTGAAATGCTAAAATATCGATTTCGGACGCAACGAAGATAATTGAAATAGGTATCTTGCCGGGAACGGTTGCAATCGACGAATTAATTACGGCTTTTGTTTACGGTAATTTTGGCTGAAACGCAAATCTTGCCATTATTTGAGAGAATTACAGGGCAGATCTTCAAAAAAATTCTGTGATGAACATGAATGTAGATAAACACATTTTTGTTAGTGTAATTTGATTTTGGGAATTTTATGGCCTTTAAAAACTATGTGTCACGCGATAGAGGGGGTGTATATGACAATTTTAAAGTGCGGGTAGTTGAGGGTTGCGGGAATGGATGCTAAAACTAAGGTCAACCTTCCATTAATATCCTTCTAAACGTGTTTTTGGGATTTTTGACTTTTTATCAAAATTAGGTAGGGAGAGATAACCCCCTAATTAATTACGGACCCGATCTTACGCCCTTTATAGTATCGAGTACTTCGTATTGGCACGGCAACATAAAAAATTGTTATTTTTAAATGAAAAAATCTCATTATTTTTGGCAAATAAACCAAGTATAAATTCCACGAATTACAATCGGGCTCCTTTGCGTTGACGGGGCGATATATTTATATTGATGATAAAAGATCAATTAATAATATTGTGACTAATTAAACTAATCGCCACGTTGCAACAAATCTGTTTACATATTCTATTCTCGTCACATGCTGTAAGTAAACAGTTAGGTACAATCTAGAATGATGATGGACTACGATGAATAATGGTAGAAATTAGTTTTAATAAATAATTTACTTATGGTGTTGTTGTTAATTTTAGAATGTTACGTAAGCGCGCGCTCGGTTGAGAAATTTCTTGATTCGATTCAATCAAATCTTGGGAGATGACCTAGAATGGAAACTAGGTGACCTTTTGCCTATTAATCAATACGTGATTGTGATGGCCGCGCTTGCCGACACGTTGGGGCGTTTTCTGTAGAATTCGGGCGATTCCTAACTTTGATTTTAAACTATTAGCTCATCGTTTAACAATGCAAGGGAGGTCCTTGAACGTAAATGAAGCCGGTTTACAATGATGAATTCGTCTATTGTGAGAAGCGTACGTGGTCTTCAGAAGGAGGAAACGGAAGTAATTAAGTTTATGCAATGATAAGCACAATGCCTCGGTGCGCGTATTCCTTTTGCGACTCACTTCTAGTTAAGGGAGGTTTGGTACAATGAGAGGGATCCGCCCAGTTTTCTGTGAGAGAATAGACGCGCTCGTCCTTCGGTGATGATGTGATGACTACACAAATTAGGATGAAAACTTGTTTGAACACCCATGCTAATTACATGCATTCATCACAGTAATGAAAGGCGACGGCGATTGTTGGCATTTCGGGTAATAAATTTGCGAGTGTATGATGGGTTGCGGAAAATCAGGGACCTCCATGAAGCCACCGGTAATGGTAAACCCTCCGATTTCAGTTCCTGTTCTGCGGGTGCCGGAAGGACTTTGCAGGAGGGCATTGTCAACTGTCCTGAAGATGACATGTCCCAACCCTCCTGCATTTTTCAGTAGCTTTCCAACGATGTGTCACAAGTATGGGGTTCCCATTTAGGAAGAGGGGTGGTTAAGGGGGGGTGGGGGACTGTCACTCATAACGTCATTCTGGTTCCCCCCGAAACGGTTTTGCGCAATTTTCAATATCTTCTTTAGTTTGGAAAATATGGCAGACTGCAAGTTTTAAAATTGACACCCTGTATAGTAACCTTTATTTAAGTTAAGGTCAACAAGTATAAATATTGCTACACTGCATGCTGTCTTTATTCTTAAGTGAGGGGGTTCACTCCTGATTTGAATCAGGGACCCTCCACACCTGTTGCAGAAATAATCTGAGAGATTAAACACCGCCCCTTCTAATAGGCAGTCTACCCAGACATGCAATTATCACACGCGCTACGTACTCGCAACTTGGTGCGTCGCCATGTGCTGTACCAAACGCCACTTGACCAAAGTCGCAAAATTACAACTGTCACATTTCAATTTCCCCGAAGTTTTCGCCTGCGTCGCGAGGTGCTTTCGGAGATGTCGTTTCAGGTAGAGTTCGTTAGATGCGGCGAAATCGCAACGGTCACATTTAAACTCCTTGGAGGTCGAGTGTAACGAGAGGTGAACGCTCATGTACGGCCGGTTGTTCGTGCTGAAATCGCAGACGTCACATTTGAACTCCTTGACTGCGTTGTGCACGGTGATGTGTTTGCGTAAGTTCGATTTGTTGTTCGTCGCGTAATCGCAGTGCTCGCATTTCAGGTCCTTTGCGACTTTGTGTTTTGCTACGTGGTGACATAGACTCGTTTGCGTGTTCGATGCGTAATTGCACTGTGTACATTTAAATTGTTTGATAGTGCTGTGTCTCGTGAGGTGTTTGTTGAGGTATACTCGATTCGATGTCGCGTAATTGCACAGATCACATTTAAATTCTTTAGAATCACTGTGTACCAGGAGGTGTGTGTTGAAGTACGATTTAAAATTCGTCGCATAATCACACTTATCACATTTAAAATCTTTAGAAATCTTGTGAGTTACAAGGTGTTTCTTTAGAAGCACTTCAAAATTTGTCGCATAATCGCAATAGTCACATTTCAAATCTTTACAAACTTTGTGTGTCAAGAGGTGGCGTGTCAAGTGCGATTTACTAATCGTCGAGTAGTCACAATCGTTACACTTAAAACCTTTAGATTTGTGAATCGAGGCGTGTCGAGTCAAATTTGAGGGAGTATATGTTGTGTAATCACAAATGGCGCATTTATACTGTGTAGAAACTCCCGGCTTTATGAGATGTCTTTTCACATGTTCGTCTAAGTACATTTTAACTTGAGTACCGAAATCGCATTGGTCACATTTGAATTTGGAATCCGCATGTGTTAACTTGTGCCGTCTCAAGTAACGTTCATTATTCGTCGCGAATTCGCAATTATTACATTTAAGATCTTTAAAAACTTGATGCCTGACAACGTGATTTTTAAAATTTGCTGGATAATTAGTCCCATAGTCGCACTTGTCACATTTAAATTCCGTAACTCCGTCGTGTTTCGCGAGGTGAATTTTCACGTATAATTTACGAGACGTCGAGAAGTCGCACTTGTCACATTTAAAAGCCTTGTGTTTCTTCATGACCTTACGTTTGTTGCATTCGGCATCGACACTATCACAGCTTCGTTGTTGACGACCGACACTGACATTTTCTCTAATACACACCATGTCTGCATCATTGGCAGCATTTAAAATCACTTCTTCTTCTTCCTCTTGCTTTATCGGAACTGAAGTTTCATTGGTGACGTAGTCGTCTCTCTGAAGAGTTGATATGACTTCCTCTTCTTGCTCTAATTCAACCTTTACAAGGGTGTTCCCCGATTCGTTAACCGCCATCGTTAAAAGTAGACTTACAAAAGAAGGAAGAATTTATTAAGAAGATGAATAAAATTAACCCCAAACTTTGAAAACTGTCACAACACAGTGGATGACTGTGGCTCCGTTACCGCCGCACCAAGAAATTACGATGTGGTCACAGAATTATTGACCGTCTATTTTTGGGCAAGGATGTCCCTCTACGCGTCGACTGTCAATTACACGTTGTGGTATTTATAAATTTAGCTGTCATTTGTGTTCAGGTTTCCGGTTCCTGTCAAATGAATTACAAACGGAGAAATCAAGAACCTTTGCAAAAATATTGTTTTCTAGAATTTCGTTTCGTTTTTTACACGGATAGATAACCTTCCTTTTTTACCAAAAATCGACTACACCACAATTTTTCGGGAAAACACTTTTTCTTATTAATTTGGGTGCGTAGAATCCAAATCAATTTGTACTTTTTCGATCAGACTTCTCAATCAAAAGTTATAGACTAGAAACCAATTTCGAAAAAAAATTCAAAGGGCTGTAACTTTTGAACTAGTAGCCCAATCTTGGTATTGTATGAAATTATGGATTCTACAGGTCACATTCTATAAGAAAATTTTTTTCCGGGTCGATCTGACACAATTTTTTCTTCGGGGCTCACAAAAGGCAGTGTATAACCTTCCTTTTTTACCAAAATTCGACTACACCAAAATTTCTCGGGAAAACACTTTTTCTTATTCATTTGGGTGCGTAGAATCCAAATCAATTTGTACTTTTTCGATCAGACTTCTCAATCAAAAGTTATAGACTAGAAACCAATTTCGAAAAAAAATTCAAAGGGCTGTAATTTTTGAACTAGTAGCCCAATCTTGGAACTGTTTGAAATTGTGGATTCTACAGGCCACATTCTATAAGAAAATTTTTTTCCGGGTCGATGTGAGACAATTTTTTTTTTCGGGGCTCAAAAATAGGCAGTGTATAACGGTATAGCCACAAGTAAACTCCTGGTTTTTTTGTGCTGGAGTTGACTCGAAACTTGACAGTCTGTGAAAGCTGATTAAGGGTAATGAAATGGTCGAGCGACTAGCCAGAGGAATTCGACAGTCGGTATGTGAAATTCCACATGTAATGATGTAACGATAGGAAATGGAATGGAAGCTATTACGACCATGCCTTTTTTTGTTTTGATTTTGTTACGTCTACAATGATATGGAGAACAGAAAAGTGTATCTTGCACTACAAGGTGTTGTTTTAACCAATTGTCTCGTTGTTAAATAGATGGAGACACTATTTACACCTTAATTTTACCTATTAATTTCATGCATTGCGAATGAGTCCTTCATGTAAAGTTGACGTAATAATTTCACTCATTAATTTGAATGCAGCTTAAAACGAGATAGACGGCGACACAGGGACCATGTTTGAAACGATGTGACGGCAGACGCTTGAATGTTATTTTGTTGTGTAGACAAGGGTTTATGTTAGAATACATTTGGCAACATCACCAAAGTCGTATGTTTTTGTTTACCTTAATGCGGCAACAATGTCTTTACTCATACTCATTAATCAGCTGAAACTTGTGCATACAGGGTGAATTTCTATTTTTTGTGCAAAACATTAGTTGAAATTTACAAAATTCGCTGTATTTAGGAAATAACGGATCGATTAACTGTACTTTTTGTAAATATTTAGTCTGTAAGTATGTCGCTTAAATCGCAATACAACCTAAAAAGTCCAGGTAAGTGCTTTCCAATCATCTACAAGTACACGTAATTGTTTGTTTATGAAAAAGGCGTCAAAAGACTGATGCGAGAAGCCTGCGAACTGGCAGATCCGACAGAGGAATACTTCGCGACACCGCTGGAAGATAACCTGTTCGAGTGGCACTTTACGGTTCGTGGACCGCCGAATACGGAATTCGAAGATGGGGTGTACCACGGGCGTATACTGCTACCGTCCGAGTATCCCATGCAGCCGCCTAACATTATCTTACTGACGGTAATTTATACCTTTACAAGTATGAAGGCTCCGGGCGAGCTACTCTCTAAACTTAACTCTTTGCCCGTACAAACGGTTGAATATTTAAAATTTCTAGCCGAACGGTCGCTTCGAGATAAACAAAAAGATCTGCCTGTCGATCTCGGGCCACCATCCCGAAAGTTGGCAGCCGTCGTGGTCGATACGTACCGCCCTGCTCGCCCTAATCGCCTTTATGCCAACGTCGGCGGCGGGCACGATCGGCTCGCTGGAGTACACGAAGGAGGAGAGGCAGGCGCTCGCGAAGAAGTCGAAATCGTGGGAGTGCACCATCTGCGGTAGGATATGCGATAAGCTGTCGCAGGGCGCGACCTCCGATCCGCTGACGACCGAGGAGAGCTCGATGTTGAACCACATCGCGCTGAAGGCGGAGGAGGATTCGAAGACGAATGATTCGGTTCGACATAGAACGGCTGGTGCGAGTGTTGGGGAGGTTCCGGAGGCGTTTGTCAATAGTATTCCGCAATCAAATAAGTAAGTGCCATTTTTTGATAACATAAGTCAAGGTTTTAAAGGTAAAAAGCATGTTGTGTAATGAAGTTGAAAGAACCAATCAGATGTGCAACCGTAAAAGACAGTTTGCCCTCTTAGTTTTCCCTTCTCTCTTACCTGCAGTATCCGCGGTTATCATTGACAGGCGCTGCCCATTTGTTATATGTCGATGAGTTTAGTCCGCTCACTGTTAATCAAACCTAACAAACATATCTCAATGTGCGCATCCGCAATTTGAGAACTAGTGAGGGGGGGGGGGCAGTGTGGAATATTGTACTTGGATTAAATGAAAAACGGCGGGGGGCGCAAACCAAACGCAAGCGAGTACTAGCAAAAATGTGAAATTTGGAGGGGGGGGGGGCAGTATGGAATTTTTGTATTTGGAATAACTAAAATGCACCGGGGGCGTAAACGAAGCTGTTTGGAACACAAACGATCACTACAATACGTGCCATTTGAAAACTGTCGGGAGGGGGGGTAGTATGGAATTTTGTATTTGGAATGAATAAAAACGGCTGGGGCGCAAACGAAGGTATTTGCGCGCAAACCAAACGCAAACGATCATTAAAAAAACGTGAAATTTGAGAACGGGGGGGGGGGGCGTATGGAATTTGTATTTGGAATAACTGAAAAACGCCGGGGGCGTAAACGAAGGTGTTCGGGGCACAAACTATCACTATGGAACGTGTCGTTTGAAAACGTGCAATTTGAACAAGGGGTGGAGGGGGGCAGTATGGATTTTATATTTGGAATAACTGAAAAACGGCGGGGGTGCCAACGATCACTAGAAAAACGCGAAATTTGAACCTGGAAGAGGGGGCAGTATGGAATTTTATATTTGGAATAACTGAAAAACTGCGGCGGCGCAAACGATCACTAAAAAACGTGAAATTTGAAAACTTGGGGGGGGAGGGCGGTATGCAATTTTGTATTTGAAATATCTGGAAAACACTGAGGACTTAAACTACGGTGTTCGGGGTGCAAAGCAAGCGCAAACGATAAAAAAAATCGCGAAAGTTGAACCTGGGGGAGGGGACAGTATGGAATTTTGTATTTGGAATTACTGAAAAACGGTGGGGGCGCAAACGATCACTAAAAAATCCTGAAATTTGAAATCTGGAGGGGGGGGGCGTATGGAATTTTGTATTTGGAGTAACTAACTGAAACGCAGCGGTGGCGGGGTATTCAGGGCGCAAACGATTACTTAAAAACGTGCAATTTGAAAACGGGGGGGGGGGCATTCTGGAATTTTGTATTTAGAATAACAGAAAAACGGAGGGGGTGCAAACGAAGGTATTCGGGGCGCAAACGATGACTAGAAAAACACGTAAATTTGGGGGGGGGGCAGTGTGGAATTTTGGATTTGGAATAATTGAAAAACGGCAGTATAAAATTTTGTACTTGGAATAACTGAAAAACAGCGGGGATGCATACGAAGGTATTCGGGACGCAAACGATGACTAGAAAAAACGTAAATATGAAACCTGGGGAGGGGGCAGTATGAAATTTTGGATTTTGAATAATTAAAAAACGGCAAGGGAGGGGGGCAGTATGGAATTTTGTACTTGGAATAACTGAAAAACAGCGGGGATGCAAACGAAGGTATTCGGGGCGCAAACGATGACTAGAAAAATACGTAAATTTGAAAACTGGGGAGGGGGCAGTGTGGAATTTTGGATTTGGAATAACTGAAAAACGGCGGGGGCGCATACGATGATTAGAAGAAACTTCAAATTCAAAAACTGAGAGAGGGCAGTATGGAATTTTGTATTTGAATTTGGAATAACTGAAAAATGACGGGGGTGCAAACAAAGGTACTCGGGGCGCAAAACAAGCGCAAACGATCACTAGAAAAAAGTGAAATTAGAAAATTGTGTGGGGGGGGGGGCAGTATGAAATTTTGTATTAGGAATAACTGAAAAACCGCGGAGACTTTTTTCCCCTGCTTGATTTAAACGCACTTCCCTTTTCAACAAGTAATGTTCACTGGTTGGTCGACTTCACACTGTCTCATTTAAATGCATGAAGGTGATTAACACAAAAATATAACATCCACCCTGAGGTAAATTAAAGGTGATTGATTTATTCTCACTGACGGTCACGCTATATCTTATTCACTGATCTAGCCGTGATCTGCACTATTTATAAAAGCACCACGCGCAAACTTACCCACTCGATGCGAACGCTATCGTGGCTCAACGCGCATTGACCCCCCTGCGATTGTCTACCGACCACCCTAATTTTTTTGAACTACTCCCATCGACTATTCGACCGCGTTCCACCAATTAGCCAACTTTTTCTCAACCAATGAAATCCCCTCGATAGGACCATACTTGGAAAGCATTCACCCGAAATAATAATCGAGGAAAAATTTTACAATTACTAAGCATAAATCTTATTAGTAGTGTTTTAACATACGCCACTTTAAGTTGCGCTTATTGCGAGTAACGTAATTACACTGATCACAAAAAAATTTTGAAAAGATTGTAAGTTATAAGGTGACGCTTTAAACGAACGTTATTAATTGTAGCGTAATTACACTGATTGCAGCTGAAGTCTTTCAAAGTGCAGTGTGTTACAGAATGACATATATGTATCTCCTATTTTTTTTGTGTAATTACACTGTTCACAATTAAAACGTTGGGGAAGACGAAATCTACCAAGATAACTTTCTAACGACAGCTTATTTATGGTTGCGTAAGTGCAGTGTAAGTAAAGAAACGCCGTCTGCACCTAACTGCATGTATTGCCATGCTCTGCCACCAGGGGTCTCACTTGGAATCGCGATCTGCCAAAGTTGAAATGCGCAGGCGCAGAAATTTTTTAATGCTTGTGGTTGAAACTCTACAGAAAACCGTATGCTTTTTACCTTTAAAAGATAGAGCTATACGAGTTGCGTTATAAAATCACTTTGGCGCTCACTAATTGCGATGGTTCCTTGCAGAGATCGACTGTGGGAGATGGTTATGTGGGTGTTGCTTGGAATGATCGTCCTTTTGATCGCCCGACGATTCTTTTTCCTCTAATCTAATAGGTAGATTGTGATACGCTTTATTTTTATTGTTTTCGTTAGTCTTATTTACAGATTTAGGCACTTTAGATTTGTATACGTACTATAAAGGACAGTGCAGCGGTTGTGATACCCCCCCAACCCCCTCCCCTGAAACTATAACGATCGTGCACCTACTTTACCCTCGTTCCTTATGTAAATTTGTATTATTTGTTACAAAATAAATTTATTTATAAAGTGTTTTTACGCTTAAGCCTAACTTATTCTAAACTTTCCTCCGTTCCGCCCAGCGGGTGCCATTCTCCTTCGTCCCGGGTACGTGGAAGTTATTTAAATGAAACAACTCGCTTCTACCGTCCACAGTCGGAACCCTCGCGCCTGCCGATTGTGTCCTGACACTACCGACAAACTGCCGTCGACGTTCGCTTGCACTTTGCGGGTGCACCCCGTATAAATGGACGGGTGTCGTTTTATTGGCCAAAAGACCGACAAACGGAAGCGTACTCTGCGAGTTCGCGAGCTGGTTTTTCACCCATTGCACGGCCGACTTGGGCCGTTCCTCTGTGTGATACGTACAGGGGAACGAGTCGTTCGATTTCGAACTCGAAAAGCTTCCCCCGCGGTTAATGTAATCGGTTCTGATGTAAAAAATATCTTTGGACTCGTCCAGACTGTCGTCGCGAACTACGGAACCGTTCAATTTACGATCGTAATCGGAATAGGACTCGATCAGGTCGTCGTCCACTCGCGCACCCTCGTTGAACTTGCGCAATTTCTCGATCTTCTCCAAACGTTCGGCCTGTTCCTCGAGACGTTGCTGCCTGACGTCCTGTTCCACGCGCGTGTTGAGAACTGGATAGTTTCTGATGATGAAATTGATCAGCCAATGGTATCCCTTTTGTATGCCCGGATCGGGGCGCGACTTATCGGTCGCCGCGCACGTCTCGACAAGGGTGGGGCACCGTCGACTGTTCACCAAAGGTTCCAGCTCCAACTTCTCGACGATGTCCAGCTCGTCGAGCGCCTCCTGCCGGTCCTGCTTGTTCGCGAGCAGGAGGATCGGTTTACCTCTAATCTTCTCGTGCGATAGCATATCGTTGAGGACGTCCCTGGCCTCGTCCAGACGGTGGTAGTCGCTGGAGTCGACGACAAAGATTACACCGTGCACCTGTAAAAGACAGTTGATCATTTCGTGACCAGGGCTTGCTTTTCCCCTAGGGGGGGGGGGGGGGGAATACGGTTAAGGATGGCATCGAGTCGACCCGAACTGTTTGAAAATCAAGCTCGGCCTGAAACTATAGATGTCGAACTCGACTCGAAAATAATAAGTTCAGCTCGGCTCAAAACTATTCCGGTTCCAATAACAATTCCTGAGGGAGATTAACGGAATATTTCTTTCCTGGAATGTACCTGTGTGTGGCTGGGGAGTATGGATACCCCTCTCCATACCCCCCCCCCCCCGTGTTAGACTCCCCTTCCAATTGTTAAACATATACTACTCTTGTGATCATTTTGAAGGAGAGTCATCGAACTTTGACGATTCTCTCTAAACTGTTCATGAGAGTGCTGGGGGGGGGGGGGTATACAGAATAGCTCTTGGACTTCCAATAACAATTCGTTCATAAGCTCATGGAATATCACTTTTCTGGAACGTATCTGTGTGTGGCTGGGGGTATTCAGCCCCCCCCCCCCTCCGGTCTTAGACTCCCCTTCGAATTATTAAACCTGTAGTACTCTTGTGATCATTTTGAAGGAGAGCAATCGAATTTTGACGATTCTCTCTTAAACTGTTCATGAGAGTGCTGAAAGTTGAAAAATTAGGAGGCGAGTCTAAAATCGGGGGGGTATGGACTATTCCCCCGCCACACACAGGTAGGTATACAGAATAGCTCTTGGGACTTCCAATAACAATTCTTGGGGAAGCTCATGGAATATCTCTTCTGGAATGTATCTGTGTGTGAGTGGGGGTATTTAGACTCCCCCCCCCCACACGAGTGTTAGACTCCGCTTCGAATTGTTAAACATGTAGTACTCTTGTGATCATTTTTCAATGAGGGTACAAGAGTGCTGAAAATTTGCGGCCGAGTCTAGACCGGGTGGTGGGGGGGGGGTCCCCAACCAGGCGCAGGTAAATATACGGAATAGCTCATGGATTCCATTCGTGAGGGAGATAGATTCACAGAATATTCCTTTCAGGGAATGTATCTGTGTGTGGCTGGGGGATATTCCAGCCCCCCCCCCCCAAGTTGTTGAACCCTTAGTACTCTTGCAATAATTTTCCATCCTTCGAATTTTTATTATTCTCTCTGAAAATTCACAAGAGTGCTAAAAGTATAACCATTTGGGGGTAAGTCTAACGCCGGGGGGTCTGGGGGGTATAGCCACACATAGGTAGGTATACAGCATAGCTCTCGGCTTCCAGTATCAATTCCTTAGGAAGATTCACAGAAATTTCTTCCGGGATGTATCTGTGTGTGACTGGGGAAATCCCCCCCCCCCCCGACCCCCACGGTGTTAGAGTTACTCCCACATTGTTCAAGGAGGAATGCTTGATAACCCTCCCCTAAAAAGCTTGCATCGCTTATAAATTCGATCGATCTGCTCGATAAGCTAGAAAGCTCAAAACAAGTAGCTCGACTCGACTCGAAAAAGACACCGATTCGAATGACATACTTTGAGCTTTCGAGCCGAGTTGAGTTTAGCTCAAGTTCGTGTCCATCCCTAAATACGGTTTAATGCAAACAGTCAATTTATCCGTTTTGGGGCTTACTTTCAATCAATCCCAAGAATCAGGGGTTAAAGCAGTCCTTGGCACAGAGTCAACTTTATAGTAGAGGATAAGAAGAACCCTAAACCCATATTGTGGTGAAAGTCGGTGCTGTTTTGTAAAATTGTACAGTATCGTTTTTTACGAAAATCACGATCGCGCACATTTGTTTCAAAACGCGCGGCAATTCGAAAATGCTACCGTCAACCTTCCAGTACATCGTTCTACAACTTTCTAGGCCTGTTTTAGATTCGTTCCAGAAGAAAACCGCTGGGTGAGAGGGCGAAAATGAATCTCTGGATTTTTCTTATTATTCCCGAAACTGTTTTCAAAACCTTCTCAAGATGCTTTCAGAGGAGGACTTTTCACTTTCTAGAACTTTAGAGCGCCTTATTCTGGAGAATTGCGAATCTAAGTTGTTCTGTTGGTGCTTAGAAAACTGAAAATTGGTCCATAAAGCCTAAGACAATCAGAAAAAGTGCTTTATCATTCTGGAAAAGGTTTGGAAGCACTTTGGTATGCTTTTAAAAGGCTTATCTGGCACTGGGACGTACAGGAAATTCTTAAAAGGATCTATAAGTGCTTCGAAAGCTGTATAAAACGTACTCGGATGCTATGGAGGGGGCTGTCGAAAGCACTTAAAGACTCCGGAGAGCAATTAGTGAGTTTCCATAGCAAGTGCATTCTTCAATGTTTTCTAGACGCTCTGTCTCACCTCTACACTATTCCTAGGCTTGCTTAGCCCTGGCAACTCCGAAGGCTCTCTAAAATTCCAGAAAAGCGCGGTAAGTTACATCAATCGATGCACGTATTTTGACATGTCTTAGAAAACTAGATTTGATACCTTTCAACGTACATCGACAAAGTACCGTTGCCAAATTCCGCGAATATCCGGTCCACCTCCCAGATCGAAAACCTTAACCGAGTAACTGCCGTACTTTAGGTAGGTGACGGATAGGCCGACCGTGGGCATTACCGTATCCAGAGGTTCCCCGGCAAGGCCCTTGACGGCGACGCTCTTTCCTGCATTATCCAATCCGACTAACAGCAATACGATTTTCCTACGATAAATTACTCGATTAGAATTTTTGCTCATCGTCGGTTTAGCGCGCGCTCACTTTTTCTCCTTCTTTCGGTTACAGCAAGAATTACCCATAGCAATGGGGGCGCATTGTAGAAATTTTACATTTGCGTTGCGCCATGAATTGTCACAGTCAACAATTTACGAAATTATTGAGCGCCGCGGGGTACAACGACCTCTATTATCAGTTTTGCAATAGACGATCAATATTTTTCCACCGGCGCCAAGTTTCAAATACAAACACGGCACTTCGCGACAAAGACGAGAAGAAATAAAATCGCAAAAAAACTCCCTTAAATGAGTCACGTTTAAAATTAAGGACGTCCCTTACAATTTAAAATTCAAATAATTTGAATTTGTCAAGGCAGTTTATGGAAGAAGCATTTGTCATACTCGGGGGCATTTTTTATACTAGGTATAGGCGTCGCGGCGTGACCCCTTCACAACAATTTGGCCTCGGGTATTGATTATACCACTAACACTAGGGGGGGGGGGTCCAAACCCCCCAGGTTCTTACATTCTACATTGAACCAGGAACGTGTGGGGTGTGCAATATTCGTTCGGAAAGGATCCCCCACCCGTACATTTTCATACAATTATCATGGTCTTCGTATACCCCCCCAGACCCCCCCGGTTATACCATCTTTACTCTTTATTAGTACCTTTAGCATGTATACCATAATTTTTGGAAAGGGCCCATTGAACTTAACACCTTGGTGGGGTTAGAAAGGGTATGTTCGATGGTCCTTCGTGAAAAACTATCACGACAGTGTTTAGGGTGAACGGTTTGAGGGAGGCCGTAGCACCGGGGGGTCTGGGGATATTATGAATACCTGCCAGAGTATACGACGATATATATCATTAATTGTTGTAGGGAACAATTCAATGATCATTTCCGTACAGAGCTGGGCAGAATACTTTCAAAAAGTATTTGAATACTTTTTATAGTAAATACTTTACACAAATCAAAGGTATTTGAATACTAAATACTTCTACGTCCAGCACAAGCGAATACTAGATACAGATACATTGAAAAGTATTCAAATACTTTAGAATGTATTCGAATACTTTCAAAAGTATTCTAATACTATCAAAGGTATTCGAATACTATAAAAAGTATTCAATTACTTGTCACTCAAATACATTAAAAATTTAAAATAGTATTGTAACGTGATTTATAAATTCGGGTTCGATTTATATCAATATTTATTAAACAAAACTAAAACACTATAAAAACTGTACAATTTATATCGACTATTTATATCACACACTTCGCAGTTTATATTTCCGCACTCGATGTTTCATCCGTACTCGATCTCGTTCGGTAGTAAACTGCCTGCGATGTTCGGTCCGCAACCATTTATACACGCAAGCAATGTAAGTCCAGAACACTCGCGTAATTACCAGATACGTCGCAAACATTCCCACTATCGCGCGCCTAGAAAATTCCAGAGCGCCAAAGGCGACGTCACGTCTGGAGCGTTTCCGTTACAGTATACTAGATAAAAGGCTTAATACTACTTAAAAAATCAAGTTATACTTTGTATGGGGTTAGTTTTTTTTATATTTCTATTGTTATATACAAATTTTTGGGGAGTAAAAGCGTATTATTATGATTATATTATTATATAGGAGGTACCTACCAGGACCTTTCTTATACCAGTTATATCCTTAAGAATACGTGTACCAGTTTGTATCGGATTTTTATATTTGATTTTGTGACAATGGAAACTATCCCTAAACATTTCTAAATTGTTCTCAAATATTTGAATAACTTAAAAGTACTGCCTTTTTTTGAGGCGGGAAAAAAATGTCTGAGATCAACCGGGAAAAAACATTTTCCTATAGAATGTGGCCTGTAGAATCCATAATTTCAAACAGTTTGAAGATTGGGCTACTAGATAAAAAGTTACCACCCTTTGAATTTTCTTTCGAAATTGGTTTCTAGTCTATAACTTTTGATTGAGAAGTCTGATGGAAAGAGTACGAATTGTTTTGGATTCTACGCACCAAAATTAATAAGAAAAAGTGTTTTCCCGAGAAATTTTGGTGTAGTCGAATTTTGGTAAAAAAGGAAGGTTAAGTATTCAAATACTTGTGAAAGTATTTGAGTTACAAATACAAATACTGCTTCCATAAAGGTATTTATTTACAAAGTATTTGAATACTTTAAAGGATTTGAATACTAAAAAGTATTTACAAAATAGAATACTGCCCAGCTCTGTTTCCATACAATTATCTCAGATGGTACACTGGAGGGTGTTCCATACCCCCGACCCCCGGTTCTACATTCTTCGCCAAATCGTTTAACACCCTTATATCATTTGTTTTAGGAAAGGGCCCATTGAACTTAACACCAGGAGTTTGTGTCGTCAGGAAAGCATACGTTCGATGGTCCTTTTGAAAAAGTATTACGAGAGTATGTTTAGGGAAAGTCACTGTAGTTTAGGGGTGAACTTTTTGAGGGAGAACGTAGAATCGAGATAACTGTAGGACATTCTGTCGCATTTATTTTTAATCGATATGAAAAGTGGGTAACTTTTAATATTTAGTAACAAGTCTTAGTTTCTCTTGTTTAAAGAGAGGGTGAGTAATATTAGCGCCACTATTTAGAACATCCACTCTCGTAGGCCTTTTCCAGAGCCGCCCCTACCTTTTTCAAAAATTTCTAATCTAGTTGCAATCGGCTAGATTCTAGAAGGTCCTTTAGAAATGAAGAATGATCTGTGTGTATAGACACCTTAGGGAGTGCCAAGTAAGACCTGTATATCAGCCTTGCCGGGATCTAAACAAACCTGGAGGTATGAAACTCTTGAAAAGCCATAAACCATTAGAAATCGCTCAATTATTCTAGAAAGCTTTCCGAGGGTTTGAGCTTAAAGGGCTTTCCAAAATTTATTTAACGCTCGCTACTGACCTTTTCTATGCTCTACCCAGAACTATAGATGGACTTACAAAAGTCCTGGAAACCGTTGTAGCATATTCCTGGATAAGACCTAGCTATATACAGTGATATAGTTGGTATAGTAGTGCCGGTAATAGTTTAAGGAGCGTAAGAGACTTATTTTCTAGCTTTGATCACTTTAAAATTAGTGGTTATTTAAATGCAATCCATATAAGACACCACAAACAACCCTCAATTTTAACGGAGGATATGAAACTGAATGTTCTAATTTTGTGCGGAAGAGAATTCCATAAGAAACATGTTATTTCGGTTGCATAAAATTAGGCGTCTTTCAGAAGTATTTTTGTCATTTAAAAGTAGACAGAGGAAATCCCTATGTCTAGGTACTTCTAAATGAATAGCTTTGCGAAGGGTCTAGGAATCTAGGACAGTCATCTAAGAGAGCTTATTTTGGAGAGGATCTAAAATGGTCTGAGAAGGGGAATGTTCTGAAATAGCGTTATAGGCTTTGTGAAACGCTGATAGAGAGGTCCAATCCTTTAAACTCATTTTCAGGATTGAAGAGGTTTTCAAAAGCTTTGGAAAAAAGTTATAAAACTATGGTACATGTCTGGGAGAATTATGGAAAGCCTTCTGTTGTTTCCAGAGCCTCCTAATAAAGTGTTCAAAAAATAAACAATAATGATAATTTAATCACACCTTACAGTTAACTTATTTTCGAAACAACAAATTTATTCTTAATCCCTTTAATAACATGACTATATGGCTTATCTATGTCGTTGGGCGTTTTCGGTATCCTACACCATCGTTTCAATTTCGGCGACATTAACACCAAGTTTTGAACGAACCCGTACAAACTAGACGTGGTCCAATACAATGTAATACACTGAAATACACAGATGAACGACAGCCCTCCACGCACCATACTTACAGAGGGCACCCCCGCCGCTACCGGAACCATAACGATCGTAACACCTCTAAAAAAATTCAAAACGAACCTCTGAAACTTGGACGGAGACCCCCTCCTCGACGCTGCCTGTATCTACGACAAACTGTAATCGACTGGCCGTCCCAATCGTAATTTACCTCGATAATTGTCAGATTGATCAGCCCGAAACTCAGCGGAAGCACGAAATACGGATCGACCTGTGTTAGGTTCACGATCCAACCGAACCCTTCGACGGAAAGATCGTGATGAACGAGCTCGGCGTTCACGTGCGAATGGGGCAACTGGTATGCCAGGTTTCGGAGTGCGACCGAAAAGCAAACCCACAACGGCAACTGGAACCAAATTAAAAGGCTCGCCTTCGCCGGATGACAATTGTCGCGTTCGATTAACGCTTTCCATTGCTTTTTCAACTGAAACTTAGCCGTTGATCATACGAGCCGGTGGTAAGCGAACGAGTTACAGATCGTTTAAAATTGTACGCCGCCGTCTTTTGGTCCCAGTCGTACAGTTTGACGGCGACGGCGACTTCCCTCTTCAACTCCTTCGATAGCTCGATAAGTTCCGCTTGCGCGTTTTGCACCTTGGCCATGACGAAGTTTTGGTACAGCGCTAGAGGTACGGTTACGGTTGAACGGAGAAAGAACGTGGTGCAGACGATGGTCGCCCACCACGGTAAACCCGTGACGTCGTGGACGTTGATCACGAACTTTTGGAGGCATTCTACGGGCGCGCTTTCGGAAATTATTCGAAATATACCTGACTGTACTCGGAGAGCGTCCGTGATCGAATTTAAGCTAAACCTTCGCTCGTTTCGGGTCAATTTGTAAAAGCGCGGCAGCGCGTATGCCGGCCGCTTTAAAAGAACGGAGTACATGTAGATTTCGTTATGACGAAATGTTTATTTTAATTAGAAAGTTGCTTATTATGCAAGAGATGACATAAACAAAGAATTAGGTTAGGAGGAGGAGCCAGGTGTAAACAACAGCTGTTTGAAAATGTCACGATTGTACAGTGGCGTAGGCGCAAATACTTTTAGGTCGTTTTGCAGAAGGAATTATTTATAAGAATTAGTTCGATACAGTCACGGACCTCTTAAAAAAAATGGACTGCCAATCACCATATGATGATATCACAAAAATGTCCAACATATGTTAAGACTTAGACGCCATCGTGTGGTTTTTTAAGTTGGTAGTGACTGTTTCTGATTAGCTTTATGTTGGTATAACTTGCAAAACTAACCTAGTTTATTTACTAAAATTGTTGTTTAATAATAATAATAATGACATTTATTGAGTTTTAAGTAAGACAGTATTTTAACCCATTTATAAAAAAAAGAACAACTCAATAGGGCGGAGTTCAGATTGGAGCTACCAAGATAACCCCGTCTGCTCTACCACTCAACCCTTCAACAATATGTATTAATTACAGTGACAAGAACAACTGTTATTAAAGACCCGGTAATGAGAGAGAGAAAGAGATAACTATAACTAAGAGTGAAAAGCAAAAGCGCAGACTGCTATCTATAGCTAAAGTACAAAAATTTATACAAAAAGTAAAGAAAGAATGGTGTTGCTAAGCATGTTTCTGTCTTTCAAGGAGTATGAGGTACAATTTCTTTTTGAATGCATAAGAAGATAATTGTTTTAAATCAGTTGGCAATTCATTGTAGAGGTTGGCTATATTGTTACTGAAGGAACGTTTAAAAAGTGTCGTTTTATGGTGGGGTATCGTTATTGAAAGCTTATCTCTAATATTTAAATCGTGAACGGAGCTCCTAAAGATTACTTTTTCAAATAAATATGTAAGAGTTCTGGTTTGCAGTATGGTATGGAACAAACAAGCGGAATGCAACAATCTCCTATTACTCATGTTTAGCCAATTCAAGTTCGTTAGCTTATGTGTCACTCGGTCGTATTTACGTATTCCAAATATTAGGCGAAGGCAAGAGTTCTGCATCTTTTGAATTCTCAAGGAATCTCTTTGGTCAATACATGGACCATACACACAGTCACAGTAGTTAAATTGCGATAGTACCAATGCTTCACATAACATTATCTTAATGTTACGATTGATAATGAACCTACTATTAAACATGATCTTAAGATTAATAAAAGCTTTGTTAACAACTAGATCAATGTGTCTTTTGAAGCGTAGCTTAGAGTCTAACATTAATAAACCAAGGTTTTTATACTCATCAACGATTGGTAATACCGTATCTTTTAACCTAACCCTTAATGCATGCTTGTACTTGTCAACAATTAACGATCTACCGAATAACATAACAGCTGATTTTTTACAATTGAGCTGTAGTCCATGCTTTTCAGAGGTTTGCAGAATGTTAGATAAATCAGCGCTGAGATGCATATTCACGGTGTCCATATCTAGGCATGCATCAGATGTTTTATATAAGAGTTGCGTATCATCAGCATACATGTGGTATGTACAGTGCTTTAGACATTTATGAAAATTTGAAGTGTATAAAATATATAATAGGGGTCCTAACACTGATCCTTGAGGGACACCTGTACGTACTGCTATAGATTTGGACACACATGTATTAAAAACTACACGTTGAGATCTATTGCTAATGTAACTTAAGATAAATTTAGCTGCTGAACTACCAAAACCACTATGATTTAGAAGTGCGAAAAGTATATCGTGATTAATTCTGTCAAAGGCTCTGGAGTAATCCAACAAAACGAGAACTAAGATATTTTTACCATCAATAGCGGAAAAAATTGAATCTGTAACTTGTAAGAGAGCTGTCGTGCAACTATGATTTGCCCTAAATCCCGACTGTAAAGATGGTAAAATGTTTTCGCTATTCAAATAAGTTTTTACTTGCCCAGCCATGATCCTTTTATAAGAGATGAGAGGTTCCACCCTGTATATATAACTTACGACGATGCATACATTTTTGAGAGTTGGCAACCATGCAATTTCTAAGAGGGAAAAAGCTGCCTGCGCCATCTAAAAAGCACGGACGGGGGTTACTAAAGTCACTAAATATAGAAAGTACCGCAATCCATTGGGCTCGTGTGTTAGAGAGAGAACGCATGATTTTTGCCCAAAAATGGCGGAAGTGCCAGATTCTAGTAACTTTAATGTTAGGGTTTGATCCACCTGTTTGGAGATATCTGTATATATTTTTATAAAACATGACAGTACTATTAAGTTAGGTTATAAAAAATTACAGCTTTTCAGATTTTATTTGTCAATTTTTTTAAGTTGGCAACAAATTTGCCCAAAAATGGCGGATGATTGCGGTACTTTCTATATTTAGTGACTTTAGGGGTTACGTTTTAACGTTTAGCCCCAGAACAAGCGTTTAGCATCTTGTCTTGAATGGCGGTCGTGAACGGCGCTCCATAAATGTTTGTTGTTATTTTGTGTTATTAAAATGCAGGTAGTAATTTTTGCATTTTTTTATATCGTATATGTGTTTTGTGTGCCTCATTTTATATTTTTTGTGTGTTTGAATCTTTGTTTTTGAAATTTACTTGGTTTAACCGCAATGCAGAATGAAATGTTTAATACCGTTATCAGTTTATTTTAATATGTGGAAATTACCGATTCGTTTGATGTATGTACTGACTTGTTTGTAAAAATGTAACTAACCATTATCTCCGCGAATGAAGCAGTCACGGCAGTGGTAAAAACTGTTGTCAAAATTGAGCTATGACACTTAATCCCGTGATTGTCTTCGAGGCGAACCCTACCTATCTTGCGGGGGCGCGATTGCTAATCAAAACTCTTCAGAGAATGTATGTGCGATACGATAATTGAGTTACGATTCGTCATTCGGGTGGCCATTTTTAAACGTTGCCGGGTTGACTGTATTTCCCTGTTCTTGTAGTGTGAAGTTAGCGTAGAACCTGGGGATTAAGTACACTACAAGTTAAAGGAGCTTAAGAGATTTATTTTCTGTGAAGATAAAGCAACAATATTCAAATTAACAATTAATATGACAACCAGATCTTTATTTGTTTCAAGAAGTTGTTTTGGTTGCATAAAATTAGGCGTCTTTCAGGAGATTTTATCATATAAAAGTAGACATAGGAAATCCCTATGTCTACTTCTACATGAATGTCACTGTATAATGCAAGCCATGCTCTGACGTTACGCACTCCCTGGGTCATTGAACCACACAAGTCCCACAACAACGTCAAAGAAGAGCCCTGAGGTGAAACCCTACTTCTACCATATCGTAAGTGAAACCATATGGACTTTGAAATAGACACAGTTTACAAGGTGGTGCCATTGTGCCAAGAGGAAGTAAAAACTCCCTGCATACCTACATTGTGTCACTGTGAGACAGGTTCCTTTGAAGAATGAAGATGGAGATGCTCCCAGGAGGATTCTAGATTTCTTCAAAGCTACTGACACAGAGACTTGGCACTGACAAGCTAAGCGACGTGAGACTAAAACTAAACGGTACAATAGACGAGGTTGGTGCGGGATGTTTGATGGGTTGCCTATTGTCCCGAACAACTTTTTGGTGCGTACGCCACTGAGCTGTCAGCGCGGGCCAAAACGTCAAAGAACGTTGTGGGTGGTAAAGGAAGAACCAGATCACCACAAATACAAATTTTTGATCTCAACGTAAACATAATTAACGCTAATTTATTAATTAAATGTTTATGTTTAGTTCAGTGACTCGTCAAGTGGGCTAATTGGCCATAATGAATTGATCGTGGTGTACGCGAACCGCTTCCCATCGAATGCCGCAATGGGTGGTTTATTGAGCAGCAGTCTCGTAAACTCGAAACACATCGTGAACAACGTGACGCAATTCGTGATCGGAGGAAAGCGAAAGCGAGTCGAAACCGAATCGGACGAGGAGATTAACAAGGTGATCGACTTGGCGCTGCACACCCCGAAACGGTAAATGCGCCCCCCCACTTGAACGAATAACCTCCGTTTCTTTGTAGAAAAAAACTGGTAACCACCGCTCAGTATATCTACCAAACTTTATACGAGGAAGGTAAGAATTCGGACTTGACGGTCGAGGCGTTGGGCCATCAGTTCCACCTGCACCGGATATATCTGTGTCAAAGTCCGTACTTTGCGAGCATGTTCGGGGGCGCCTGGTTGGAGTACGACAAAAAGTATGTCGTTATCGACATAATCGATCCACAAATAACGATCGACTGTGAGTATATTGTGTTAGGAGTCGACATCCGAAATGTTAATGTCCAATTTTAGCGTTGAAAATTGTGTTCGGTTCCCTCTACAATGACGAGATTACGTTAAATCCGACGGAGATTGTACCGATCTTGGCTAGCGCGACGATGTTTCAGTTGGACAGTATTATTGACAAGTGTCGAGAGGTGATGATCGAAACTATCAATCCAAAGGTATGTCATTGGTTGACGAGAGCCGAGAGCTTGTACTGCTTGTCTTTTGAACTGTTTTGAATTTTAAATAGGCAACACGCAATACACCATGCTCTCTTGTAGATTTGGTTGAGGTAGCGTCCCTAAGCAATTTATCTCGTGGTTTATTGTTATCCCAATTACCTTTATTTGGGGTTTTTAATTTCCTGGGTAATGGAAAATTGGTCCTATAGGTATTCTCGCATGATTAGAGCGTTGAAATCTTTTGTTTTTTTGTGTGTGCTGTACCTGTACAGGGTGAGTCAACGATTGCACGGACTAACTTAATGCCTTGGAAGATAAGATTTTTCGATAGAGTGTTTTTGTGTTATGATATGGTTGAATATTCTCCACCATTTAAAAATATTTGGAATTATCCAGGGTGTGCCCACAGAGTAGGGCGCCCAAATGGTATATTTTTTAAATAGGTCTATTTTATTATATGGTTAATATCCGAAAAACTAGTAGTTTTAAAGATAATTCGATTTTTTTCAAAAATTGGGCATTTGCAAGCGTCAGTGTATTGTCAAAATTATTTCTTAAATTTTGATTCCAGGTTTTATATCTTTTATCCTGGGTTAAGTAAAAGTCAAATACATCTACTGTAAAACATTGAAAAAATAGCTTACAGGATGTTTTTTTTCTAGATCCAAATTTACAAAACTTCATATTAAAAAATGTGACTTTTTAAATGGAACACCCTGTATATTTTTCTGTCACATTTTAGCTCCTCCAAAAACCTTCAACTTTTGATAATAATGTCCGATACCTATCTCTGATAGTTTTCGACATATCTTGGTTTCTTAAATAAGTTATATGTAATTTACATAATAGTGACGTGGCCATGCAAATAAAGGCAATTTATCTTCAAGGTATTAAGTTACTCCGCGCAATCGTTGACTCACCCTGTACATAGTTATATTCGTGGAAACTTCGGTTTCTTAGTAGTAAAGCGTCTCTTGATACCAGGTGTTCATCTACAGGGTGATCACTAAAGCCGTTAATTTCCAAGTGGAGAACAGGTGCTTTGTTACACCCCCCTCCCCCTTTCCTAGAAAAGAAAAGAATGTAACTCTTTTTGGCACACTATCGTAAAACAAACAAAACTCCGGGACGGGTAAAACAGGACGGAAATCGCGTATGGGCCGGAGTATTTCGGAGCTAACTTGGCAGCATACCCCATATCAGCTTTGGATAAAGGGTGGTTTTTTTGAAGGACCAAATCCCTTACGTGAGGTATCGGAGTCGTCGGTCTCGTTTATTAACGGTAACGGATAGGCATCTTTAATATTACGGGAAGGTTTGTATTACCATGGCTTCCGTTGAACCTATTAAAGTACCCTAAAGACATTCTTACCCTCCCTTCATTTTTTGAGAATTGCGCTTGATGTGCTAAATCGTCAAGTGCTCTCTGACTGTTACTCACTTTGCATATGGGGTATTATTTGTGGGGGTTTATCGCGGTGCCATAATAACATGTCCAGGAAGGTTATATTAACCCGCCCAACCCACTTTGCTAAATTGTGTGGAAGACGATCTCTTGTTTCATAATTAAGACACGTTATACTTTCAGAGAGTCGAGGAGGGGGGCTGTGACCTTTCGATCCACTATTTTTAAACTAGATCGGAATGGAGCTCGCTCTGACCGATCACGGCGTCTCGTGACCAACGCCGTTTTGGTATCCCCCGCCGATATCGGCACACACATTTGTGTGTCGTATTCTAAAAGGCAAAAAATCGGAAAAATTTAATTCGGCTCAAAAAAGACCAATATATATGGGTGAGCTCTTCTTTAGTCAATCTTATCGTATAGGTTGGTAAAAGTGCTTCGCATTTTAAGTCTCCGCTAGGATGTGCATATTTCGCTCGAATAGCGCTTAACATTCCTCCTATCGGTTAGGTTAGGTCGAGACCTTTCAAAAGACACCCATGAACCCCTAGCTACGACGTTCCGTTCTCGAGATATCGCGGTTTAAGTGTTTGATCCAAAATTTTTGTGTAGATCGTTTAGAAATGTCTCAAAAACGCGTGATTCCGAAGTATCGCGGCCGTAGGTCGAAAGACAACAGATGCGTGTCGATATCTCGAAAAGGGAAGGGGATGAAAAAAATTTGAAAATCCCGTTGCGATCCCCCGGCCGGGCGCAGCTATAGTTAAAATTTGATATGAATCGGCCGATAAATAAGGGAAATATTAAGGGATGCGCGGCGCTTTAAAATGCATGTATATATACCCGTTTGTGACCACTTTTTTTTTCGACGTTTCGCGACCCGTTTGTTGTCCATGAGTACGATTTGAACGGTCCGCGACGGCAATGCGCTCGGCGTCGCCAAAATGCGAATCTCGGTAACGGAAAGTCGTAGGAAGGCGAGCCACATAGAAAAAATTTGAGAATGGAGAAACTTTGCTTCCATCAAGACCTCTCATCAGCATTTTTGCCCCCCCCCCTCCGTCAGTGTGCGTGGCGGCGTATTCCAAAACTAGTACAGGTTGTTTATTAAAGGGGGTCAGGGGAGGCGAGATTAGTTGTTTGGGAATCATTAACTCTAGACATTTGACTTTATTTATTTATTTATTTATCCCTCTCTTGTTCTGGGCCCTCAACAGGCTTCCGCCCAATTACAGAGTGACCCGCATAATGCTTTTTAGAGGTGCCTCTGTAGAAGGTCTTAAGTTGTTCTATACTACTCCGGTATGCACTTTACGAATTAGGAAAACTGCAGGAAACACTAATTCGGAGTAGCCGGCAGAATGCTCGAAACTGGTCTAAGGTAATTTCCATCTCTACCACAGATGAAAAATTTACCTCAACCCAGGTTCGAACACCCGACCTCCGGATTTATAACTCAACGCTCTACCATTGAGCCATAATGCGAACCATGCAGACATTTTACCTCCCCCACTCCTCCCACTTTAGTTTTTTGAAAAAGCACCTGAATGTTTCACTGCATTGAAGATGGCTTTCCCAAATCGGTCTAAAACTGCCGTTACTTACCATTACTGTAGCAGATGTTACAACCCCCCCCCCCCCCGATTTTGTGAGGAGAAGAATAGAAAATTGCTTTTTTCAGGTCATCTTCAATTTCTATTTGTCTTCGTACTTCTTTTCGTTCATCTTCTGTATCCTACAATCCTCTAACAAATTCTTTGTCTCCACTATCGCGTTTTTTTCTCTACGTTAATTTTCCTTTTTTAGCTTTTTTTTCCGTCCGTCCGCCTCTCCGTCCGAGGCGATTTTCTGTATCCCTTGTAATTCTTTAACGAATTCTTGCTGCCAATTTTGCCTCCTCTCTCCCCCGTATTCTTTTGTTCTAACTTCTTTTTTCCTTTTTCTATGTTTTTCCTCTCTTGGTTTTCATTTACAACTTAGGCTGCTTCACTTTTTCTACACCTCCTTTTTTTTCACGTCATCTTCACACTTCATCCACTTTGTATTCTTCTTTTGTCCCTTCATTTTCGTTTCTTCTTTGCTTTTCTTTATTAAACTTCTTCTAACCTTCAATTTCACCACGTCTTAATCTTTATTTTTCTTTCTTCTCTTGCTCATGCAATTTTTCGAACTACTTCTAGGAGAATGGTCCTAGAGTCCTGGAATGTTTTGCAGTAGGTAGCCTATACCTTGAAGGTGTGCCAGACGGCCAACAAATTTCGCTGTCTAAAAGGGGGCCCCCCCACGAATTATTTCCTGAGATTCTGTTTTTGAAAGTAAAACGTGCATAGTAATTGGTCGCAGATTTTGCATACGCATGCCTTTAGTGGTGCCAAGTTAAACTTTAGGAAATGGGATGGGGGGGAGGGGGTGGGGGACACATGTTCTACCCTGCATGGTATTCTAATGAAAGGTCTCATCGAAAGAAATTGGATTGTACAAAGTATAACTTTCCCGTGCGACTCTTTTTCGAGATCAGTGAGCGACGGGGCCTGAAGAGGGGGGGGGGGGGGGGTTAAAAATTAATTTTATTTCTCATTGTATTCTAATTAAAGGTCTCAACGAAAGAAACTGTTTTCTACCAACTACTGCCCTTCTTTCTGTCCTCTTATCAAAGCACGGGGGGGGGGGGGACTAGTTTTATCCTTCATGGTACTCTAATGAAAGGTCTCAACGAAAGGAATTAATTTCTATCAACCATAGCCCTCCTCCTCGACTTCTTATCGTGATCGGGTATATACCCTTATACCTCAAGAACGGATTGTCGGAAGAGGTTACTCACAAAGGGCGATTGAGACGTCTGCAAGAAATATATCCTCTGGTGATGTCAAAACAAAAGCTATTCCGGTTAAAAAAATGCGCTTTATCTGCACAAGAGTTGTGCACAATTTATACTTGTCTTTTCCTGTCATTATCTTGCATCCCTACGTTTGTTCTATGTTCATTTTCCTCTTTATTTCACTTCCGCGATTTTCGAATTTTTCATCACACTTCTTCCATTACTCGTCCACTTTTGATTCTTTCCGTTTGCGATTTTATCAAACTTCTTTTATCCTTTTTCCTCTCTTTTTTACCGTCATTTTCCTTTCGTATTTTACCTCCCGTTTTCGAGTGTCGAACCCTTGATTCCATTCTTTTTTTGCGTGTTCTGGCCACCATTATCGCACTTCTTCTTCTTACGAACGTCGATTTTTGTTTGCTACAGCTTGCGGTTAGTTTAATTTCCTTGCACTTGGCCTGTTTGACTTGTTTAGTCGCGTGCGAACTCATCTATCAAAGTTTCTACTCGATTTACAGAGCGCGATGTTGTACTACAACGCGGCCTGTCAATACGCCGACAAAAAGCTACAGGAGACTTGCATGCAATGGTTCCTAGTGAATCTAATGACGTTCTACTATTACGGCTCGTTATGCTACCTGCGTACGATTCCGATACCGCTGATGACGAGGCTCGTCGCGAATCCGGACCTCTTCGTCGTCCAGACGGAGTTCTCGCTGTACGTCATGCTGAAGTTCTGGATGTACATGCACGTGCATCCCGATTTGACGAGCGACCCCTCGATCAAGGACATCAACACGTTTTATTCGTCGCGAACAGGTAAGGAGACATTTTTTATTGGTCACCGTGCCTCGAGTTACTGCTTCCAGACGAGAATCCCTATCTGTTAACGAAGCAGGGCGAGGATTTCATCTTGGCGTTCCAGGGGTTGCGCGTGCACAACCTGATCTCGCATCACATGGACGTCGAGGCGGTGCAACGTGACAATATCATACCGAGAAGTTGGCTCAATCCGGCCGTGTTGAAGCAGTGGAAGATTATGCTCAAGGTGAACCAGAACGAGGACAAGGGTCCGTCGGGCGAGCTCGTCGACGAGCTGTTTCTAAGCAAGAGTTTGCGGTGCGGCCGAATTCTGAACGAGAAAGATCGACACATGTGGCGATGGACGGGTTTCCATTACGGCATGGATCTCTTGATGGTGACCGATGGGGCGTCTCTGTCGATTAAACGCAACCACAGGCCCGAATTCGAACAGCTGCTCAGTTTTCAGACGGTGCGCCGTTTGGCAATCAGGTAAATTACAATCTGAACTCTCTAAAAGCCTTTAGAAGTTCTTAGAAGCTGTTGGCGGTCAAGTTTGTATAAGAGTCTATGAGTTTTCAAAGGTCTTCAAGAGACTCTAAGGGTCTTCTAAAGGTTTTGAAAGCCTTTAACAGTTTTTATCATTCCTTAAGTCTTTGGGGTTCTTGAGATACTGTCTTTTTCAGAGCATTAAGAAGTTTTAAAAGGTCTTAAACATTTTTGAGACCCTTCAGAAACAGTATTTTGTCCTCAGTGTCCTTAGGAGTTGTTAAGAATCGCCTTAAGTCTCTTAAGAGCCTTTTTAATGTTTTAGTAAAAGAGCTTTTATGCGTCTTTAGGTGCTTTTGAGAGGTTTGTATGAGTCTTTAAGGATTTTTTAGATTCTTTGGATTAGAGTTTTCAAGAGCCTTTCTGACCCTTTAAGAGATTTCAAGGGTTTTCAAAAATCTTTCATAACCTCTGAGGCCTTTTAGGTCTTTAAATTTGTTTAGATTTTATTTGACAGATTCTTTACTTAAACGTCAAGGCTCAGGTTTAGAATTTTAAGCTTCATGACGAAAGCCTCAAGGCTCGAGCATCAGGACCTAGGTTTGCGGTTTTAAATATCCAGTAGACGTCGGATTTCAAATTCCCCAACTTGGGTGGAATCGATAACCTTTTCCTGAAAATTGCCAATGAGAGATATTTATTACACAGATGTCCTAAGGGTTGAACGTTTTGGGAGATCAGACACTGACTTCACTTGTTATTAGAGCACATTTTAAAAAATACTGTACAGGGTGTGACAAAAATCAATGTTTTTCTTAAAGCAAATTTTTGTGTTCTCCACTCAGAGTTACGGTCGCCACTTTGAACGAGCAGCGCCAGATGCTCTTCCGACAGACGACCGGCATCAAGAGCGTCTCCCTCTCGAAAACCGAAGAGCTGCAGCTGATGACTTTCGACAAGGACATTACGTTCCCGTTGATCATATCCGCGAACATCCTCTTCACGTCGCCCGAAGACGTCGTGACGCAGGACGCCGTCACGCAGACGACCCATTAGAATGTGATACAAATTATTTATTTTTTTTTTACGGTTTGGGATATATTTGTTGTTTTTTTTTTTGTATATAACGCCCAAGGACGAATCTACCATTATGGCATTTATTTTATAGTAAGTTACTCGTAAATTGATCCGTTTCAGTTCCTGTATCTTAAGAGGTGTGCATGTACTTAGCGATATTTATTTTCCCTTTTCAAAGGCTACATTCCAAAATTAGATCGGTTACTTTTTGAAATTTTGATGTATATTTGGGTGCCATCGAATGTTACCACTTTTTATATATATATATCTATACATGGCAGCATATAAGGTACGTTCACACTGTATGCGTATCTTTTAAGTGCTCTTACTAATGCTAGTCAACTTTGCTTTTGCAATTAATATATTACTTACCTACAGTGTATAATGTAAATACATTATATTTTCTAACCTTCAAGTATTGTTCATTAACTTTGTTCATAGTCGGCTAACGTGGTATATAAATCACAACTGCCTTGTTACGAAAGTCTAGAGAACGCAATTAAAGGCTATTGATAACTGTTAAGGTAATTTGTCTTTTTTGCAACAAGTGCGGCAAATATGTGCAGTGCAATTTCCAATTGTGTAAGAAGTGCGTTCATTCAACTTCAGTCAAGTGAGTATATTTCGTGGATACAAGTGGAGTCAAAAGTTTGGTTCCATGAAAGACCATAACAGAAATCAAATTCTGATCCGCAGCAACTATCAGTGTAGGTTTTCAGAATAAGTAATCAATTTTTCCTGTGTCCTGGGGGTTATTTTCAGAACGCAATTGTGGGTTTGTAAAAACACTAATCTTTGTGCTGAGGGGTATTCCCGACCCCCCGGTGCTATGCTCTCCCTTACTTTCTAGGGAGTGCCATCAAATTGTCTTCTCCTGTTAGATTTAATTACCATAAATTCTAAGGATTGAACGTTTCAGGGGAAAACGTAGCACCGGGGGGTATGGAATAACCCCCCAGGAATTGAATATTTGCTGATCGTTTTCAGAACGCAATTATTGTCATTGTGGCTTTGTAAAGAAGGTAATGTCTGAGCTGGGGGGTATTCCATACCCCCCGGTGCTATACTCTCATTTATTTTCTAGGAAGCGCCATCAAATTGTCTTTTCCTGTACCTGTACGATATTTAATTACCATAAAGTCTAAGGGTTGAACGTTTCAGGGGAAAACGTAGCGCTGGGGGGTGTGGAACCCCCCCCCCCCCAGGAATTGAATATTTGCTGATCGTTTTCAGAACGCAATTGTTGTCATTGTGGCTTTGTAAAAAGGTAATGTCTGTTCGGGGGGTATTCCATACCCTCCCCTCCGTTCTATGCTCTCCCTTACTTTCTAGGAAGTGCCATCAAATTGTCTTTTCCTGTGAGATATTTAATTACCATGAATTCTAAGGGCTGAACGTTTCAGGGGAAAGCGTAGCACTGGGGAAGGGGGGGTGAATACCCCCCCTCCAGTCCAGGAGGACTGGATTATCTTTTCCCAAAAACTACAAGATCAAAGCCATTTGACAATTGCCTGTACGATATTTAATTACCATAAAGTCTAAGGGTTGAACGTTTCAGGGGAAAACGTAGCACCGGGGGGGTGTGGGAGGTATGTGTCATTGTGGCTTTGTAAAAAAGGTAATGTCTGTGCTGGGGGGTATTCCATACCCCCCCGACCCCCCGGTGCTATGTTCTCATTTATTTTCTAGGAACCGCCATCAAATTGTCTTCCTGTACGATATTTAATTACCATAAATTCTAAGGGTTGAACGTTTCAGGGGAAAACATAGCACTGGGGGGTATGGAATACCCCCTAGGAGTTGAATATTTGCTGATCGTTTTCAGAACGCAATTATTGTCATTGTGGCTTTGTAAAAAAGGTAATGTCTGAGCTGGGGGGTATTCCGGACCCCCCGGTGCTATACTCACATTTATTTTCTAGGAAGCGCCATCAAATTGTCTTTTCCTGTACGATATTTAATTACCATAAAGTCTAAGGGTTGAACGTTTCAGGGGAAAACGTAGCACCGGGGGGTGTGGGAGGTATGTGTCATTGTGGCTTTGTAAAAAAGGTAATGTCTGTGCTGGGGGGTATTCCGGACCCCCCGGTGCTATACTCTCATTTATTTTCTAGGAAGCGCCATCAAATTGTCTTTTCCTGTACGATATTTAATTACCATGAATTCTAAGGGTTGAACGTTTCAGGGGAAAACGTAGCACCGGGGGTGTGGGGGTATGGAATACCCCCCAGGAATTGAATATTTGCTGATCGTTTTCAGAACGCAATTGTTGTCATTGTGACTTTGTAAAAAAGGTAATGTCTCTGCTGGGGGGTATTCCAGACCCCCCGGTGCTATACTCACATTTATTTTCTAGGAAGCGCCATCAAATTGTCTTTTCCTGTACGATATTTAATTACCATAAATTCTAAGGGTTGAACGTTTCAGGGGAAAACGTAGCACCGGGGGGGTGTGGGAGGTATGTGTCATTGTGGCTTTGTAAATAAGGTAATGTCTGTGCTGGGGGGTATTCCATACCCCCCCGACCCCCCGGTGCTATGTTCTCATTTATTTTCTAGGAACCGCCATCAAATTGTCTTCCTGTACGATATTTAATTACCATAAATTCTAAGAGTTGAACGTTTCAGGGGAAAACGTAGCACCGGGGGGGTGTGGGAGGTATGTGTCATTGTGGCTTTGTAAATAAGGTAATGTCTGTGCTGGGGGGTATTCCATACCCCCCCGACCCCCCGGTGCTATGTTCTCATTTATTTTCTAGGAACCGCCATCAAATTGTCTTCCTGTACGATATTTAATTACCATAAATTCTAAGGGTTGAACGTTTCAGGGGAAAACGTAGCACCGGGGGGTGTGGGGGGTATGTGTCATTGTGGCTTTGTAAAAAAGGTAATGTCTGAGCTGGGGGGTATTCCGGACCCCCCGGTGCTATACTCTCATTTATTTTCTAGGAAGCGCCATCAAATTGTCTTTTCCTGTACGATATTTAATTACCATGAATTCTAAGGGTTGAACGTTTCAGGGGAAAACGTAGCACCGGGGGTGTGGGGGTATGGAATACCCCCCAGGAATTGAATATTTGCTGATCGTTTTCAGAACGCAATTATTGTCATTGTGGCTTTGTAAAAAAGGTAATGTCTGAGCTGGGGGGTATTCCAGACCCCCCGGTGCTATACTCACATTTATTTTCTAGGAAGCGCCATCAAATTGTCTTTTCCTGTACGATATTTAATTACCATAAAGTCTAAGGGTTGAACGTTTCAGGGGAAAACGTAGCACCGGGGGGTGTGGGAGGTATGTGTCATTGTGGCTTTGTAAAAAAGGTAATGTCTGTGCTGGGGGGTATTCCGGACCCCCCGGTGCTATACTCTCATTTATTTTCTAGGAAGCGCCATCAAATTGTCTTTTCCTGTACGATATTTAATTACCATGAATTCTAAGGGTTGAACGTTTCAGGGGAAAACGTAGCACCGGGGGGGGGGGTATGGAATACCCCCCAGGAATTGAATATTTGCTGATCGTTTTCAGAACGCAATTATTGTCATTGTGGCTTTGTAAAAAAGGTAATGTCTGTGCTGGGGGGTATTCCGGACCCCCCGGTGCTATACTCACATTTATTTTCTAGGAAGCGCCATCAAATTGTCTTTTCCTGTACGATATTTAATTACCATAAAGTCTAAGGGTTGAACGTTTCAGGGGAAAACGTAGCACCGGGGGGGTGTGGGAGGTATGTGTCATTGTGGCTTTGTAAATAAGGTAATGTCTGTGCTGGGGGGTATTCCATCCCCCCCCGACCCCCCGGTGCTATGTTCTCATTTATTTTCTAGGAACCGCCATCAAATTGTCTTCCTGTACGATATTTAATTACCATAAATTCTAAGGGTTGAACGTTTCAGGGGAAAACGTAGCACCGGGGGTGTGGGGGTATGGAATACCCCCAGGAATTGAATATTTGCTGATCGTTTTCAGAACGCAATTATTGTCATTGTGGCTTTGTAAAAAAGGTAATGTCTGAGCTGGGGGGTATTCCATACCCCCCGGTGCTATACTCTCATTTATTTTCTAGGAAGCGCCATCAAATTGTCTTTTCCTGTACGATATTTAATTACCATGAATTCTAAGGGTTGAACGTTTCAGGCGAAAACGTAGCACCGGGGGGTGTAGAACCCCCCCCAGGAATTGAATATTTGCTGATCGTTTTCAGAACGCAATTGTTGTCATTGTGGCTTTGTAAAAAAGGTAATGTCTGTGCTGGGGGGTATTCCATACCCCCCAGACCCCCCGGTGCTATACTCTCATTTATTTTCTAGGAAGCGCCATCAAATTGTCTTTTCCTGTACGATATTTAATTACCATGAATTCTAAGGGTTGAACGTTTCAGGCGAAAACGTAGCACCGGGGGGGGTAGAACACCCCCCAGGAATTGAATATTTGCTGATCGTTTTCAGAACGCAATTGTTGTCATTGTGGCTTTGTAAAAAAGGTAATGTCTGTGCTGGGGGGTATTCCATACCCCCCAGACCCCCCGGTGCTATGGTCTCATTTATTTTCTAGGAAGCGCCATCAAATTGTCTTTTCCTGTACGATATTTAATTACCATAAAGTCTAAGGGTTGAACGTTTCAGCGGAAAACGTAGCGCTGGGGGGGGGGGGGGGTGGAACCCCCGGAAATTCAGGAATGAATTTTGCTGATCGTTTTCCAGAACGCAATTATTGTCATTGTGGCTTTGTAAAAAAGGTAATGTCCCCCCCCCCCCCCCGGCTCCCCGGTGCTATGTTCTCATTTATTTTCTAGGAACCGCCATCAAATTGTCTTCCTTTACGATATTTAATTACCATAAAGTCTAAGGGTTGAACGTTTAAGCGGAAAACGTAGCGCTGGGGGGATGTGCAACACCCCCCAGGAATTGAATATTTGCTGATCGTTTTCAGAACGCAATTGTTGTCATTGTGGCTTTGTAAAAAGGTAATGTCTGTGCGGGAGGTATTCCATACCCCCCCCCCCCCGTTCTATGCTCTCCCTTACTTTCTAGGAAGAAAGCGAAAAAAAAGAATCTGAAGATTTTGGAAAATCCGAAGAACTAGAAGAATCGGATTATAGGAGATTGAGGGAATTTGAAACATGCAAAGAATCCAGATTTTGAAAAACCAAAATCATTCAAAGAAACGAAAAATTCCTAAACAAGAATGTTGCATTTGGAGAATGTTAAAAACATGAAGAAGAAAGGAAGTAGATTTTGAGGAATATTAAAGAGTGAAAGAATTTGGAAAATGTAATCAGTTTATTTTTGAGGTTGTTAACTCATTTGCATACATTTCCCTTATTCTTCTTCGATTTACCTTACCAGAGGCAGTCAGTGGGAAGCTGTCGACTATTTTCACGCCACCGTTCAGCTTCTCCCGGTCCTGGACCCTATTGTTAACGAAATCGCGAATATCATCCGCGCCGATACTCTTTCTTTCGGGACGCAAGACCACAATCGCCGCTGGCCAGTGGCCATCCATCTCATGCTTAACTCCCACAACAACCGCCAGAGCAATGGCGGAATGCTGCAACAAGGTCGACTCGAGCATCGCCGGGATCACATGAAATCCTCTGCATTTAAACATTTCTTTCACACGCTCGACGATGTAGAAACAATAATCGTCGTCGTAGTAGGCAATGTCGCCGGTTTTTAGCCAGCCTTCATCGTCGTAAACGTCCGCGTCCACCACGCCATAGTAGCAGCTGAGTTGACTCTCGCTCTTCACCCTTAATTCTCCCCTTTGGTACGGTCCTACGATGGCACCACTTCCCAGGTCGACGATCTTATACGAACAGCCTGGGAGCCCGGTCCCGACCGAGGCGAATTTCTTGCCGCACCGCTCGACGTCGTCCAAGTTCGCCAGCCGAAATTGAGTTAAATAGCCCGCGACCTCCGACTGCCCGTAAACATTCGAGATCTTCGTTCCCGGAAACAGGCCATTCACCCTCGCCAGCTGCTCGTTGGAGATCGTGCCGCCCGTCAAAACCAGAACGTCCAAGCTGGTCGTGTCCAGACCTTCGGGTCTGTCGACGGACAGCAGTCGGATGGCTTGGTAGACGTTTAATATGGCCGTCGTTACCTAAATGAGAGCGGTGTAGATCGATTGGGTAATCGTGCCTACCTTGTGATGGAACGGCTCCCAGGGGTGCGCCGGGTCAAACTTGGGCAGAAGGAGGCGGGCGGTACCGAGCGAAACGCAGGTGCCCAATCCGTGCGAGAACAGCGTCCAGTACGGTGAGTAAAATCCGAAGAGTAAACCGAAGTTGTAGGCCGAGCGTCTGCAATGGTTCGGGTAGAGTGAGGCGGGTGAAGGGCGTTATGCTTACGCGTTGTTGGCGTATGAGTACATGAGACCGTGGTGGCTGTGCGCTGCCGGTTTGGGTGGGCCAGAAGTTCCGCTGCTGAAACAGACTAGCGCGATTTCGCTCAAGTCCTCTACGGGCACGGGTCGGAAGTGGTCCACCTCATCGTCATCGTATGACTTTAAAATTTGCGCAAACGCGACGTGTTGCTGGGACGAATCGGCGAATACGACCAACGTCACCTTGTACTCCAAGAGCTCCACTGCGGCTTCGATGCGATTCAGCGAGTCCGCCTCTGTGAAAATCACTTTGGGCTTCGTTTGCCTTAAGAGAAACGCAATGTCGGCGGAAGACAGAGATGGATCTACGGCGCTCGTAATGGCGTTGACAAAGAAGGAGGCTATCAGGGGTGTGCAGCTATCGAAGTGATTGAGGCTACACACGGAGATGAAATCGCCTTCGGTCACGTTGCGCCCTTGCAAATATATCGCCGTTCGTATGCAGCGCTTTAAAAGATCCCCGTACGTATCCGATTTGCCCGTTTTACCGTCGATCTAAGTTAATGGGAATTATTAAATGAAATCCGCGGTAATGCTTACTTGCGCAATTTTATCGGAATGCTTCGTCAGATTCTCGTAGTAGAAATACCCGATGCCTCGGGGATTTGGTCGGTAATCCATCAGGGGTGGCATTTCGATGATATCTGTAAAACGTCCCGCTGCAAAGATCCACCTTAAACAACAACAAAACTTACTTCGCATTTTCGTTACACGACCAAGTGAGGACAGAAAATCGCGCACTTGAGATATACGTGCACTCCCAAAAATTATTTGATAGGTATACTTAACCCGGACGTGTAGGTATGCGATATTAATCTGCGAGTAAAAAATAATCTCGTAGATATTGATCGATAACAGTTTTATGGGTGCATAAACGATGCGTTTTATTGCTTATACACGATTGCATGCAACGATTTTATTGCCGTTGTTATTCATCGTTGAAGGCGCACCACTTAAGAAAAATGCCGATTAAATAATTTTAAGCAATTATATACAGGTTTTAATTGTTATAAATGTATTTCCCCTCAAAATTGTTGTTAATCATTAATGGTTGGCGTTAATGAGCTTCGTTACTAGGTACACCCGTAACATCTTCCAAAACGTTCAGCCTTTAAATCCAATATTGTGTACGGAACTTCTCCCACAAAAAGGAAATTGCGATAGGACATGCTCATTATTGTAAACATTTTGGGGGAACGGAGCATCGGGAGGGGCCGGGGGGGGGGGATGAAATACCCCTATATTACCGCTACCCCCAGCACAGAGATTACCTTTTTCACAAAGCCATAATAACAATTGCGTTTTGAAAACGATCAGCAAATAATCCATTCCTAGGGATATTCCATACCCTGAGAGGTTCCACCCTGTATATACAACTTACGACGATACATACATTTTTGAGAGTTGGCAACCATGCAATTTCTAGGTGGGGAAAAGCTGCCTGCGCCATCTAGAAAGCGCGAACGTGGGTTACGTTTGTCATCATGCCTTGAATGGCGGTCGTGAACGCGTCGCTCCCTAAATGTTTGTTGTTATTTTGTGTTATTTAATGCAGGTAGTAATTTTTGCATTTCTTTATATCGTATTTGTGTTTTGTATGCCGCATTTTATATTTTTTGTGTTCCATCTTTGTTTTTGAAATTTACTTCGTTTAACCGCAATGCAGAATCATATGTGATACCGTTATGCTATTGTTTGTAATTGTTTACGTTTTTGGTGTAATGCTTGCTTAATTTATGTTTATTGATGTTGATTACTTGGTCTTGCTCTTTGCCATAGAGTAAATAATATAAAGAGATGTCATGGGATAGGATATTGTTGCAGTAGAAAATCTTGTAAGGAAGTGTTGCTATCTTGTGCTGTTGTATCGCTGTATTACCTATTTAAATATACTGACAACAAAGTTGAGATTTGAATTACGTCATTACTTTGCACCAGACACAGACCATGATACTGTCAGCATTATATTTAATCACCGGAATGTGATATTATGCTTCCTATGCAAGGAGTCTTTTAATTCTTTCAGGCCATAGACCTATTTATTTTATTATTTTAACGCCTTACCTTTGCCCAATTACAAACTTTATTTGAATTTAGCTAGCAATGAAAATTAAATAGGTACAGTGAGAAAATATAACTGATTATGCGTATAATTTCTAACGTTTTTGTTGGATTAGCGGTACACGTAGACCGTTTTAACACTGCTTTAGCAATTTTGTGTGGAATTTACGCAAACAAGGTCCTTTTGCGCAATTCACTAATGTGGGAGTGCTGTGTATAGTGTATTTGTGAGAGAAAAGATCAATTCCATCCATACTACCATTGTATATAAAGATGTATATTATATACAATATTACTTTTTCGATCAGACTTCTCAATCAAAAGTTATAGACTAGAAACCAATTTCGAAAGAAAATTCAAAGGGCTGTAACTTTTGAACTAGCAGCTTGGAACTGTTTGAAATTATGGATTCTACAGGCCCCATTCTATAAGAAAATTTTTTTTCCGGGTCGATCTGAGACAATTTTTTTTGGGGCCTCAAAAAAAGGCAGTGTATAACCTTCCTTTTTTCCAAAAATCGATTGCACCAAAATTTCTCGGAAAAACACTTTTTCTTATTAATTTTGGTGCGTAGAATCCAAAACAATTCGTACTTTTTCGATCAGACTTCTCAATCAAAAGTTATGGGCAAAAAACCAATTTCGACAAAAAATTCAAAGGGCTGTTACTTTTGATCTAGTAGCCCGAACTTGGAACTGTTCGAAATTATGGATTCTACGGGTCAAATTCTATAAGAAAATGTTCTTTCCCGGTCGATCCCAGACAATTTTTTTTTCGGGCCTCACAAAAAGGCAGTGTATAACCTTCCTTTTTTACCAAAAATCGACTACACCAAAATTTCTTGGGAAAACACTTTTTCTTATTAATTTTGGTGCGTAGAATCCAAAACAATTCGTACTTTTTCGATCAGACTTCTCGATCAAAAGTTATAGACTAGAAACCAATTTCGAAAGAAAATTCAAAGGGCTGTACAGAAAAGTACCTTGGCGCATTAGGATTCGGCCCGATTTTTGTGCTTGCACTACAAGATAATATGGTGAAAGTTGCCGTATTAACCTCTCTGTTACATAGATGGCGACACTTACATACTAATTTCACATTAATTTCATGCATTGCGAATGATTCCTTTAGTTAAAGTTGTAATAATTGCCCTCATTAATTATAAACATTCATTAAGCCCGCTTGACATGGAGCAATAAAAATTGCAATTGCATGCAAGTTGCAAGAAAAATTGCGAAAGGCATTCGCAGTTCAAAGCCAGCTGATCAATTGCTGCAAGAGACTTGCATGCAATTTTTATAGGACCGGTGCTATTTTTCTTGCATGAATCGTGCAATTCTAGGGATCAATCTAGTTGTTTTTGTGGCACCAACCTAGTAAAATACAGCGGCGGCAACTGTGATGCTGAGAGACGCACTCATTACTTGTTTTTACTAATCTTATTTATTCTTGTAATTTTCATGTTTCTTCAAGCAATGAAAATTTAATTTTCATTTGAGGTTAACAACTTTGTTGACAAATCCATATGTTTCTTCTGTTGGCAGACATGTGGCAATTGAAATAGAATTGCACCATGTCAAATACCATGCAATGCTTATTGCATGCAAGGATTTGACCTTGCAATTTTTTTCTGCAAGTTCTTGCGCGTAGTATTGCTCCATGTCAAGCGGCCTTTAGAGGTTGTGAATGCACCTATAATCTTTCCGGGATAAAACTGTAAATATCATTTCGAAAGACTTCTTTATATTTTTTCACCTTGTATAAGTTTTCTGATTGCGTCCATTGGTTTTGGTTAGGTTGGTACTTAAAATATATATGATCTAAGGGTTGGTAATGCTAATTTTTGACAGAAGTCCGTTACTCTTCGAATTTTTGAATTTTAACGTACAATTTTTTATCAGTTTTACCATATATGTGAGTTTTACACACGATGAATTAAATAATAATGGAAGACAGCGTGAACGTGGCGATTAGAGTTAGACCTTCGTCGAATGTCTTCGAGAAATCAATTGCGGTATCGGTAGTGAGCAATAACCCACCGGTAGGTTCCCCCTCCGCGATGAACCTGTTCTAAGTGTCCTACTGTAGGTCCTCCATGTTACCAATAAACAGCTGTACTCTTTTGATAACATATTCTCCGACAACGCTTCTCAGAAGGAGGTGTACGATGCTATGGTTAAACCGTTGGTTAAGAAAGTGCTGGGAGGGTATAACTGCACCGTCTTCGCTTACGGTCAAACGGGTACGGGGAAAACGTACACCATTGGCAGTAATCCGAAGGTACGTTTGATCGGTCGTAGATATGTTGTAAAACTGTTCGTCTACAGTCCGATTCAGAAGCAGGTTTTATCGCTCGCGCGTGCGACGAGCTCTTCAGCAATCGTGAAGATTACAGAGATCTGGCCGTCTCGATTACCTTTTACGAAATATACAACGAGAAAGTCCTCGATTTGTTGAGCCACAAGAAGGGGCACGTCCCTGTGAAAGGTGATTACTCGACGAAGTCACGCGAATCTCACGGGACACGTTTCAGGTTTTAAAGTCGATGGATTAGAAACGATACAAGTGCACAATCAGAAGGAGGCGGCCCAATTACTCGCTGTCGGTAGTTTGAATCGTCACACGGGCGAGACGAAGCAGAATCGTTTCAGTTCTCGTTCGCACGCCGTGTTCACACTGACTTGCGTCGTTAAGAATGAGTAAGTCGGTGGTTTGTTGGTCGTCCGCGCTAACCGGGCGTGTTTTAGGAACCACGAAACCGAAGCGAAGTTAAATCTGGTGGACCTGGCCGGGTCGGAGAGCGTCCGCCGCACCGGAACCGAGGGCTCCCAGTTTCAGGAGGGCGTCAACATCAACAAGGGCCTGTTCTACATCGGTCGCGTTATTAACGCGTTAACGACGAACGTGGCTCACGTACCGTACCGTCAGTCGATGATCACGACCACGCTGCAGGATTCTTTGAGTAAGCGTAATTTTATCACGCTCGTCGCGTGCGTCAGCCCCGATCTGCAGGACGTTCAGGAGACGATTCAGACGCTCGAATTCGCGCAGGGAACGAAGAGGGTGAAAAACAGGCCTGAGGTGAACAATGTCATTTTGGAGTATAAGGTGAGTGGGACCCATTGAATCTGAACATGTGTGTCTTTAGTCACGGCTAGATTAAAGAGAAATTACAGTTGTACAGGGTGGGTCAAATCCGTTAGCACCTTCTAAGGTACTTTTTTTCGGAGAATCTGAATCTGTTATCAGAATTTCCATAACATGCTAGATGTAGAAGCTACAGGCTACTACTTCTTATGGACGCCATATTGAATTTACGTCTACGTCAGGTTTATGACATATGTGTTGCGGGTTATTATTCCCCCTATGTATTGTTAAAGTGCGGACTTTATTTGGTATCTGCACCCATAATAATGTTGGGTCACCCTGTATGTTGAATTTCAATTTTTCAATTTCGATCATGGTATTTGACTTTGAAGAATTAACTTTGTTTAAATGGTCGCGTATTTTGATTTTATAAAGATAAGGGACATTTGGGCTTTGTTAAAGTTATCTCGTTTAAATCCGGTCGTCGCGATAAGACATTGGTTATCGTCCAGCGAGCTAGTTAGTTTCAAGATGGGCAGGTTGCGCTGATAGCAAAATACAGGTATTTAATTTAGAAGCCGCAAGGAGAGGCGGAAACTGGGAGAAGGAAGAAGGTTTTAAATGGCAGGGGAAAATGTGAATCGTCACTTTTTTGGAGCTGAACGTTAATTGTTGTTTGTGTAAAAGGCGAACACAACCAAACCGAAACACATTCGCTTGTCTTTTTATTTATTTTGTTAAAACGGTCAGCTGCTGTGGTGTCTCGTCTCACGCTACAGTCCCACAATCTCCCTGTTGCCAACACTTGTTTGGTGGTGGACGTTAATTGTTGTTTTGTTTTTTAGTGGACCTTGAAACGTAGCCGCTTATTTAAGTTAGAGAGTGGTTAAGGCGATTTTTATTATGCCATTTAAAGTGAATGTTTATGTCGGATTGAAGCAGTAAAGTCTAAAAAGGAGTTAGTCGGACTGTTGTGTTTATCAAGCTTATATGAAGCCTTTCTCAGTACCCGTTAAAGGGAGTTTTTCCACCATCAAAGAGCCAATTTTACATCTGTCGTCTAAATCGAGTGCAATCAAAGAAGTGAAGTGTTTGTGCATAAGTTATAACGGTGAAGCCGGGAGCGAGCTTATGCTCATTCATTGGTTTTAAGTAGAAAGGGATAGGTGATTCGTCAAAATGCACTGTGTGTTGTGAAGGTAAAGAACAAAGCTTATTATAATTTCTCTTTCTTTATTTTGATGAGCGGCCGACAGGTTTACGCGATTTCCATTAAAATAAAATAGTTATGCAACTTTTCATACACCAATTTCAAACAAAAAGGTTGGAAACGTTTTCCAAGATCCCGGAAGAATCTCTACGAGTCTTCTAGAAGCCTAGATTTTTTCCCCTCTTTAGTTGAGGTCCTATTTAGAACTCCCCTATTACCATTGCAGAAGAAGAACCCCACACTGTTCGAGCGTCCCGCGCCTTCTTCGGCCGTAAAAGTTCGCCCGACGCCCTTGAAGCGCCAAAATCAATCGATGGACTGCCCCAATACCCCGAGCTTCGCGAAAACGCCGAAGGTAAATCATACCTGGACGCCTGGAGTTCAGACTCCGCCCACTTTGGCCGCGTTGAGCGTGGCCTCGTCGCTCGGAGACGGCACGATCGTACTGTCGTCTTTCAGTCCCATCGTCAAAAAATGCACGGAAGCGGTCGAGAACAAAATCATGGAGAAATTCCCGCTGCTGATGAAGTCGTACGCGCCCCGATGCAGCGCGGAAATCGACGAGCAACAGTAAGCGATCGCTATTTGTCTTTCTCAGCTTACTACGCAACGTTTAGATTTTCCTGGCAGCGTTTGCACGCGGAAGTGTCGCAAATCGTGCGAAACGAGTTCGTGCAACTAACGACGGAACGCTCACGGGCGTGCAGCAGTCCCATTCAGTGCTCCAACGTTGCGAAACGCCTGGAGTTCGACGACGACGATGACGCCTTTGTCTTCAAAGTACCCAAGAAACCGCCTCCAAAGGTTGCCGAGAAAAAGGCGACAACTCGACGAAGTGCCCGCCTGTCAAAGAAGGTCTCACCCCCGCCACCTACCCAGCAGCCGCCCAGACGGCAAAGCGTAAGGCTAATCAGCAAGAATCGGACGGAGGTTTCACCAAAACCTCGACGGAGCAGTTCGAAGTATAAACCCAGACTTCACCCCCGGTCACCGTGTAAACCCACTTCTCGTTGCAGACGCCCTCCCATTCCCACGCCACGCAAAACGCCGTCGACTCAGGACGCCAAACACGCGCACCACGCCCACATCCTAAGCGTACTAAACAAAGGCAACGAAAAGGAGCTTCAAAAACTTCCGTCCGTCGGTGCCAAGACGGCGAGACAAATCTTTCTGTACAGGTAAATTCGCTACCGACACGATCGACAATTATACGGTTGGTTTAAGGCAACTGCACGGACCACTGGACGACATCAAAGATCTGGCGAAAATGCAGTCGTGGATAGGAAACCAATACCAAAGATTCTTACGGTCTAATTTTCTGCAGATTGATGACTGATTAGAAAAAAGGTTTGTAGACATTCATGTTGAATTACTTGCCTTTTCGTAAAAGAAACAAAATGGTAAATATAATTATTAATAATGTAGCTACAAAGCTTTTTTTTTAAATAATGGCCAAAATACGGGATCCATAAGTTAACATGAATGGATTTTGCATGTTATGAGATTGACTTTATCAATTTATGTGTATTTATTCTTGTTTATATATTAAAGACTTGCATTTAAAGGTGTCTACGCCACATTCCCAATTGTAATTATGTTAATTCCACTTCATCCTACCTCTGGTTAATATTTGATGAGATCTGTGGTTAAATAAATAAAGAAGACCCAAATGAAATGGTGAACAGGTGTAAAGAATGATAGCAAGAAGTATAATTTAACATGGAAGTTTTCATTATCTCTAAAGGCCGCTTGACATGGAGCAATACAACGCGCAAGAACTTGCAGAAAGAAATTGCAAGGTCAAATCCTTGCATGCAATAAGCATTGCATGGTATTTGACATGGTGCAATTCTATTTCAATTGCCACATGTCTGCCAACAGAAGAAACATATGGATTTGTCAACAAAGTAGTTAACCTCAAATGAAAATTAAATTTTGATTGCTTGAAGAAACATAAAAATTACAAAAATAAATAAGATTAATAAAAACAAGTAATGAGTGCGTCTCTCAGCATCATAGTTGCCGCCGCTGTATTTTACTAGGTTGGTGACACAAAAACAACTAGATTTATCCCTAGAATTGCACGATTCATGCAAGAAAAATAGCACCTGTCCTATAAAAATTGCATGCAAGTCTCTTGCAGCAATTGATCAGCTGGCTTTGAACTGCGCATGCCTTTCGCAATTTTTCTTGCAACTTGCATGCAATTGCAATTTTTATTGCAACTTGCATGCAATTGCAATTTTTATTGCTCCATGTCAAGCGGGCTTTACTTACACTCACATAGCATGACAGCAACAGTATTCAGATGTCTGATTTCAAAGGATCAGTACCTTTGGCGTATGTAGAGGCACCGTAAAAACGACAAGTACCGTTGGCGTATATAGAGACACCGTTAGAAAAAAGTTCCACCATAGGAATAAAGCCCATCACACAATGAAGGAATAACAATTTTCAATCTACTGATCTTTATGGATTTGCACACGACATTGGAATGTGAAATACGCCTAGGAAATAAGAAATAATAATTTCTTATTCATATTGCTTGGCAGTCTCTCTTAAAATGTCCATGTTTACCACATCTAAAACAAGTTATAATTTAGCAACATTGACATGTAGCTATCGACCTTAGGAAAACTTATGTGACGAATAATGCCTTTACAGGGATAGATTATTTTTAGCTTTTAATGATAGGTACATTAAAAAAAGTTGCAGGTATGCCACGTGCTAATAGGCAGGTAGAACGTGTTAATAGAGTGTTGGCAAAACTTTGTAACGAACCAAACCATTGGAATGAGGTAGAGAATGGTGGGGAATATGCATTAAATAACATTGTGCGTAAGACTTATGATAATATAACGGTGAACGGAATTTAGATGAAAAAAATTGTTAAATATCAGGAGTAGAGTGACTCTTAAGTCACCGCCGAAATATTCTGTAGGCCTGGGTACAATAAGAAACTTCCGCCGAAATTTAAAGGACCCTATGTTGCATCAGTAATAGGTATGTTGTAAAAAGTGTCCCATCTGAGGGTATCTTGGAATCATCTCGAATAAAATCTTGGTTTCGAAATCAAACCTTCCGCATCTTAAGTAATGTTTTACTTGTAATATTTTTCCTTAATGTATGGAGGCGATCATGAGTTGAAAGAGATGTTTTTTGCAACAGCGCTTCTGTATAATTTTATAGAGTGACAACATTGTTTTTAAGTGTTATGAAGTTAGGTAGCTGTATGAATTGGGCGCGATCAAGCGGACAACAGCGACATAGCAGTTCAGCGGATTTGCTGCGTGCAAAATTAAGCCGCTGCTGACCGCGCCCTTTAAGATGTAATATATTGCATGGTTTGTTTGAATAAAGTATTTTGTGAGTGTTTGAGTCAGGAGAGATAACAATTGAAGAGAAACCAGAGGTTGAGAGTACCAGAATAAATAAAACCCATCGATACGCCACTGGATGCCAGACACTAATGAGCCTGAAATTGACTTATACCGGTATTTGAGCTACAGCCAGACATAAACTACATATCTTTTGTTACGTCTCAGAAATTTGTTGTAAACTCATCTCTTGATGAAGTTGGTGCTAGATATGGACGAAAATGATGTGCCACTGATTAAAATTGAACCAAAACAAGAGGAAGAAATCAATTCCGATCTTCAAGCAAGCATTTTAGTAAGCAACGAAGCATTAGTTACAATAAAGGACGAAATTACCTCCATTCCACAGTGTTCCAAATCGCTCGATAATGGACAACAAATAAATTGTGGATGGAATATTAAAACTCAAATTTCCAACGATTTTGAATGTGACTTTGGTCAACGTACAAGAAATAGTAAGTTGCAAGTTAAACAACATCTTTTAACTCATACTGGTTCCAAAGATTTTAAATGTGCTCTTTGTGATTATGGAACAAATAATAAACAATGTCTTAAACGACACCTTTTAAAACATACCAATTTTAAAGACCTCAAGTGTATTAATTGCGATTATATGACAAACAATAAGTCAAACCTCAAACGACACCTTTTGAAACATACCAATTCTAAGGATTTTAAATGTGCTCACTGTGATTATGAGACAAATAAAAAATACCACTTTAAACAACACCTTTTAACACATAATAATTCTAAAGATTTTAAATGTGCTCATTGTGATTATGGAACAAATAATGCACGACATCTTAAACGACACCTTTTGAAACATGTCGATTCTAAAGATTTCAATTGTGCTAATTGTGATTACAAGACAAATGAGAAATACCACTTTCAACGACACCTTTTAACACATAACGATTCTAAAGATTTTAAGTGCTCTCATTGTGACTATGGAACAAATAGTCAACGATATCTTAAACGACACCTTCTGAAACATATCGATTCTAAAGATTTCAAATGTGCGAATTGTAATTACGAGACAAATAACAAATACCACTTCAAACGACACCTTTTAAATCACATCGATTCTAAAGACTTTAAATGTGCTAATTGTGATTATGGAACAAGTAACAAGTACAGCTTTAAACTACACCTTTTAAAGCATAAAGTTTCCACAGATTTTAAATGTGCTAATTGTGATTATGAGACAAATAACAAATACTATTTTAAAAGACACCTTTTAAATCATACCGATTCCAAAGATTTTAAATGTGGTAATTGTAATTACCAGACAAGTAACAAGTACCACTTTCAACAACATCTATTAAAACATCAAGTTGCTACGGATTTTAAATGCGCTAAATGTAATTACGAGACAAATAAGAAAAACAACTTCAAACAACACCTTTTAAATCATACCGATTCTAAAGATTTTAAATGTGCCAATTGCGATTACGAGACAAATAACAAACGCTACTTTAAACAACACCTTTTAAAACATAAGGTTTCTAAAGATTTTAAATGTGCTCATTGTGATTATGGAACAAATAATAAACATTTGCTTAAACGCCACCTTTTAACACACAAATAATAGGTTTCTCGTTAAGTTAAATATTAATTCTGTAATCTATAGTGTGTCGCAGCTTCATGGGAGGGATTTCAGTTTTTTAAAATTAAAGAATTAGGTAAACTTCATTAAATTGAATATTTTATCTTTAATAGCGCTTGCTATCGGAAATGTAGTACGCAAATAATAATTAATATATCTATTGAAAGGCAAAAGGAAGTTTATTGAATAATAAATAAATCAAAATGCCGAAAGAGTTCCTACTATTTTAGACAGAACATACATTTTACATCACATCTGCAATAAGTTTTAAATTTGAATAATTGAAATCGGACGTTAATTTAATACATGTGATAAGCCAAAGAATTACCCGCTCAAATAGATTTGAAAGCGACTCCCTTCCTTTCTCATTTGTGAAAGGTAAGTCTCTTACACAAAGTACATATGCAATACATTGTTAATTAGCCGGACCACCTTCAGTCCAGAAGGTACTGGACACGGTAACCTTAAACTAAAGTTGTATTTCGAGAGGAATGGCGCTAAATACTTCGGCATTTACAACGGCGAAACAAATGACATTCAAAAAGGCAAATTCATACACGAAGAACTGAGGCCATTAATCACTCTAAATGAGTGACACAAACATTGCTTACGTTCACCAGGCGAAGACTAGCACGATTTCGCGCGCGAGTTGGTGTTTGATGTGTAAGCTACGAGTAAAAAATAAAAGGAGAGAACCTTGCATTAAAAGGGGACTTGACGGAAATGAACAAAAAGGAAGTTATAAAATTGCTAGAAGAGTGGGGAGAAACGCGTCATTATTGGCAGTGGTGTAATAAAACAAAACTGACATCGTCTCTTCTGTTTTATGATAAGTCAAGTCGTTATAACTGACCAGCGCAAAGGAAGTGATATTTTCACGACTTCCGTCGCGTGTTATGCTATTTCCCATCACCGTTATATTCTCTCCTCTTATTTTTTACTCGTAGTGTGTAAGTAACACTGTGTTTTCAGTATAAAATAAAACCCATCGATACGCCACTGGAAGTGAGATTCTAACGTGCATGCTAAGTGACCTATAACAGTACTTGAGCTACAGTCTGTACACACATTTCTTGATAACGTTATTGATGCTAGATGTGGACGGAAGTGATGCCGTTCCGCTCATTAAAATCGAGCCAAAACAAGAAGAACAAATTCGTTCCAATCTTCAAGCAAGAATTTTAGTAAGCAACGAAGTATTGGTTACAATAAAGGACGAAATTGCCGTTATCGCACAGTGCTCCAAATCGCTCAATATTGAACAAACTGAACGTGGTTGGGATATTAAAAATGATGTTTACAACACTTTTCAATGTGACTTCGGTCAACACACAACAAACAGTGCGGTGCAATTAAAGCGTAAAGTTTTTGAAGGCTTTAACTGTTATCATTGTGATTATGGAACAAAGAATAAACAACTGCTGCAACGGCACATTTTAACTCACAAACGTTATGTCCTACAATGTGCTAATTGTGATTACCAGACAAATAATAAATGCCACTTTAAACGACACATGTTAAAACATAAAGATTCTACAGATTTAAAATGTGCTAATTGTGATTACAAGACGAATAACAAATACTACTTTAAACTACACCTTTTAAAACATAAGGATGCTAAAGATTTTAAATGTGTTAACTGTGATTATCAAACAAACAACAAATACTACTTTAAACAACAC